CACGTAGAACTAGGTACCATCGCCTCGTAGAACTAGGTACCATCGCCACGTAGAACTAGGTACCATCGCCACGTAGAACTAGGTACCATCGCCACGTAGAACTAGGTACCATCGCCACGTATAACTAGTTACCATCGTCACGTAGAACTAGGTACCATCGCCACGTAGAACTAGGCACCATCGCCACGTAGAACTAGGTACCATCGCCACGTAGAACTAGGTACATTCGTCATCAACACAAAGTAAAATCGTGACGTAGAACTAGGTACCACCATTGTTATGCCATACGCCAAAAAAGCCAACCGTACTTAGCTATCAGTACATTAGTACACTAGTAAACATCCTAGGTCTACCATCCCAAAAGCCACAGGTCAGGATTTGAAAATATATTTTTATCAACACAATATCAACGAACATGGAGCGATCAACATATCTGACTTCCGTGTGGGGTGGATGTGTTATTAAAGGATTTTATTCATTCTTTTCTCGGTAAACGACGCACGAATAAAACGGCTGAAGGTCGACTATGACTCAAAAGTAAACATGGTAGTTACGGACAATTAATTACTTGTTAGCGTGGGCCCAATTTATTTTTGTGTTGTTGTGTAGGCAAGAACGGTAGGGGTGAAAAATTGGGGTTTAGGGGTGGGTGGGTGATGGGTGGAGGAGTGAGGGTGTTCATAGGAACCTTACCTGCACATACAGCCATAATGACAAGCAAATACCGGGATCATTAAATTGCTGTCTACGTCACACATAAATAGGAGATGAATCAACTGGTATCAATATATATAATTTTCTAAATTGGGACCATGCGAGACACCACCAAGACGTAAGCTCAACAGACCATATCGCTACCACCTCCACCCCTATCAGTGTGGTGAGCTGTTTACAATCGTAGTGACAGCTATTAGGGGCAGATAATTTAGTTTCTAAACGATGTGAAATTAAGGGGAGGTAATAACATTTCTGCTTGTTCTTTTCTTTGTCGTCTGTAAACTGTCGTCACAGACGGCCGCTTTAATTCTCTTCTTGGAGACGTTAGAAAACACCAAGCTGTAAGCGCGCCTAGCAGTCCCCTCTCTTCCTCTCTAGTCATATCGCAACAACCCCCACCCCCACATGGTCTGGTGAGCTGTGGTTCACGCTAAATGTTTAAAATCGTAGAGCCGGGTTTAGTGACGGCTATTAGGGGCAGATAATTTAGTTTGAAACTATGTTAAACTTAGTGGAGGTAACTAAGAGGAGGCTGCTTTCACGGGGGGGGGGGGGGGTTGGGGGAAAGGAGGGTTTTAGTGTTTTATAGCAAATATTTTCACTGACAGCATTGGTACTGTCGAATTGACAAATTATGAATTACTGAAAAGTAGAAAATAAAACTAAATAGCGGCGTGTTATACGCAGCGGGTCAGCTCGTTATTATTAATTGCTAACTCGGGGTAAATGTTGTATAATAAAATTTATGAGTTTACTAAAATTAGGAAATGTAAGTATTGGTATGAAGTCAACATGTAAAAGCCTTTTGTGTTGCTAGTGCATGTCGCAGTGCATTTTTCTAAATTTAATGGGATACACTTTCCTAACTTTCAAGCGCACATTCCTAAATTAGGAGTGTTGCACTTTAGTTATTCGTGTGTGCTTGTTCTTTTTGGACCAAGCCAGGAAAGCATATCTGGATGAAACGTCCGTTATTCTATCTCGGATAGATTAGCAGCATTGTCGTAAGCCTAGGGAATGTAATATTATACATAGAAAACATCTTATTCGAAGATGAACCAGCGAATAAAGTGAACACCTTTTAGGAGTTCCGTGCTTTTTTATGATGGGTCTCGAGTTATCAGTACCGCCACAAGCATGAGATCCTGTAACTCTAAGCGCACCGCGACTTTATGATCTAATTTAACAAACCCCCTTATAAAAATATACGTGAGCCCCGTGGTTTTCAGTTACATTGCTATACTTATGGCTCCGTAATTGTGAGAGCCACGTCTCTTTCGTCTCTTTCTAATTATATCACGTGACAGCGGCGTAGCTAGAGGAGGGCGGGTGGGGCGGCCGCCCCGGGCGCCAACCCTAAGGGGCGCCAAAAGTGGTAGAAAAATTAATTTAAAAGCCCATTTTAAGCTGAAGTTTTGAATTATACACCGACAAAGTTACGAAAATAAACGGCTTTAAGGGTTTACACATTGATTTAACAGTTTTCCATATCAATTTTGTGGCAATGAAATATAAAATATTACGGGATACCGGATAATAACGGGTAAACCTATCCAACTGCAAATGGGGGGGGGGGGGGGGAAGGGTCACTTTTTCACAAACAGAAATAACTATGTAAAAATGGGAGGGGGGCGCAAAACTGATATTCCGCCCCTGGAGGCGTAATAGATTTATATGCCTCTGACGTTGTCAGAGACTTTACAGAGTTGGTGATTCTACATAAACAGCCTAAGTACGTCACAGAACAAAAATAACTGCTCATTAATTTCTCATTAATCAAAAAGTGTCCATTCTTTAATTAGTAAGAAAGAAACGAAAGTGAAAGAACGGGGAAATTAAATATTAGCCTTCCTTGTAGAAATAAAATGATGACTAACTCTGTTGTAAAATTAGATGAAAAAAAAAAACCTCTGAAAAACGTAAGAATGGAAACTTGGAGTGCACTTTACGATATCAAGACATCTTCTATTGTTCATTCTGTTCTCTGCTATAAGCTTACGTAAAAAGAACAGGGAAGTTTTGGTGATTATCTCTCCAGATACACCCCCCCCCCCTTTATCTGTCTCTTTACTTTCAGAATCTCTTGACTCTATAGGGACACTTATTCCCTCTATAAGGAACATGTTCCCACTCTTCAATGGTATACCAAGACAGGTTCAAAAGTTCCCGGTACCCGGATGTTCTTGCTATGCTAATCTCCTTACGTGGCGGTCGTTTTGTTTGCCTACCTGATCAACCAAATCCACAGAACCGATCACGTTTTTCAAAGATTTTTTAAGACACAAAGATTAACGTTAAACATAAAAAAAAAATCATAGCGTTAAGCTAACCGCCTGATACAACCCCTCCCCCCTCCCCCCCCGCCCTTCAGCTCCGTATACCTGACTTTGGTCAGGGAGGGTATAGACGACTGGGTGGGGATGCCGTGGTTTAGTGGCAGAACGAGCGCTTGCCAATCCGCAAGTTAAATGTTCGGTGCTTGTAGGGTACCCTGTAACCTAACGGTCATAGGTGTAGCAATGTGCCATGTGAAGGATGGGTGGTTGTTATAAATAATATATATATATATATATATATATATATATATATATATATATATATATATATATATATATATATATATATATATATATATATATATATATATTCCAAGAGGGAAATGTCCACCTCATTATGTAAGCCAAAGTTTGGTAATATTTGCGCTACCCAAAGACCAGGGTTCAAATCCTTTTCACGGTCAACACCTCAGATGGATTTGATACCTCTCATGGCCATCCCCTTAGAAAAAAAAATGCTAGCGCTCCCATCAGAGTATCAACCCTTGACGAAAAATATGTCGGTTAGATACGATACACGATAGCTAAAGAATTTACATTTCGTGGTTTCAATATCTAGATCGGATTTCCGTTCCGTGTTTTAGGTAAATCAGGTTGTATCCGACACAGATTCTAGATCTAGTAACAAATGAACAACAGAAACTATCTAGGCGTAGCGTGCCCTGCTACGGTCAACAAACCATAGCCTACTTGTAATCGCGATGTGAAAGTAAGCAAACATGCGCAGTAAAGCAAACTCCACCTACAAGCTATTTTTAAACCGTAGAAAACCCTTCAGATGACGTCAGCCGTATTATACTTTACCTGGGGATTCCCTCGCATAAATTTAAAAAACTAAACCGGAAAACTGTCAGCAAGTGGCGTCTAGAGTTTAGTTGGGATAGTGTGGTACATTTGTATCAGCAGTACCGTAGCTATATCAATAATATACGTCTAGCGCCTATAAAGTTAGGGTACGGGTAAAATAGTGATTGAGAAAAAAATCTTTATGTGGGTATGGCAATTAAAAAACTATATTTCTAATACACTGATTTTTCATTATAATTTTTATTAACAAAAATTAAAGTTCCCTTTTCAAACCTAGCGGTCCATTAGGCAAGTGAAGTAGAGTTCACCTGTTTCTATGACCAGCCGCCATTAGTTTCCCTCACATGTCAGGTACCCATTTCAGCTGGGTGGACTCAGGCGTCCTGCGGACTAGTCCGGAATCCAAACGCGAGACTTTCATGTTAGCAGGCGTGTGCACTACCATCCGATCGAGGGGGGGGGGGGGTAATCTAAAGAACATCATATGGACCGCCCAACTCTGTGGAGCGCCTGACTTTAGTTAAGGGGGAGGGGGTGGAGTAATATAAAGAACACCATAACGACCAACCGGCTCTGTCGGGTGACTGTCTTTAGTGCAGGGGGGGAAGGGGGAAGAAATCTAAAGGACATCATAAAGACCACCCAGCTCTGTGGGGTGCCCAGTGTTTCTTCCAGGCATCCCTTCGGGGGAGGGGGGGGGGGGCAATGAAATTTATATAGAAAATATAAATCTCAGCATCATCAGCCTTATAAACCACCAGGCCACAAACTTCCAACTTTTTAATATACCCTACACATCATTTTTAATTCACTGTGTTTACAATAGCATAAACACACATCAGCAGCTCTGAACTGTAAAGGTCACGACGGGCCAATCAAACGTTAAGCCTGCAGAATATGGGCGTGTCTGTGGTGACACGGTGCGAGTCGGGGTGAGTTAGTGCACGTTAACAAGTCTGTATCGTTTAACGACGTGACCTTCTCATAACGACCCTAATAAACAAACGCGACACCGTAAATATTCGGCTGTTTACATTGGGGTGTTAGTGTAGATTTAATCATCACGACCCTTCTCCTGATTTATAGACGTGGAGGTTTAGTTTTTTTTATTATAAAGTATCAACACAACGCGAGATTTAGATGGCTGGAAATAGTTGTTCGTCTTTCTTTTATAAATTAAAGAAGATCGTTGCCATACTTATTTTACCTGTATTTCTTTGTCTTTACGCCAAGACTATTCAAAACATCTCTCAAATTATACTTTCTTAAAACTTAAATAAATAAAATTAAATAAAACAATAAAACAACGTAACATTTACAATCGCGCTAAGTTTTATCTAAAACAAGGGCGTGTAACTCTGCCCCGACTGTAGCGTTAAGGATACCGGATCAGCATAGCGTATAAAGGAGCGGCAACCAACGAGAGAAAGCCGCAACAGATCTCAGCTGTTAGTTCAACACTGGCCGTCAACCAGAATGGGGCCATAATACTAGTGTTTACATATTGTGTGCATCCAGATAGACAGCAGAAGCCAGCAGTATAAAAACTATATTCACTGAGATCCCAGGTAAGCACTACGTATATCTACCGGCTAATGACAAAGATAGATTAGGAAAATAGGACGGCTGTGTTGTTTATGTTTGATAACAGCTACATTTGTTTTTTGTCAATACAGAAGTTGAGTTTCTAAACATACAGGTAAGTGTGTAACTCATTAACCTAGAAGAATACGTTTTGAGAAATATTTCAAGAGTTTTTTTTTTTTTTTAAACCTGGGTCCGAATATAAATTCATCACAAAATAGTTTTGGTTATACTACTACTAACTATATTTTACTAACTAAAGTCAACACTAGCCCTAACTATTATCTCTGATAATATCCGACACCAAACGCCCTTCTTTTGAGAAAGTCTAGTATGTGGTTGATAAAAATATATTTCTTAAATGGGAAGTAACTCACCTTGTTAATTTAAATTAATGGTATATCGTTAGTTTTGAAAGCTTGAACGTAGTTCCGGACATACACACACACAAACACATACGTTCACACATTAGAATAAATGGCGGGACAGAAAGAAAATCTGGCCTAATTTAAAAATGTAAAATATAATTAATAACAAACAGGCATGTTGCTTCTCTCTACCGTATTAAAATTTCTTAACAGACCAATTATCAATGAAGGTAGACCCGTGTATAACGATACCAACAGAGTGCAAACAAGAAGTAATACTATTCCTTACAACCGTGAATCTTAACATTAAACCAACTGGGAATCACAATCAACTGTGAATTTAATTAAACTGTGAGCCAGATTAAACTGCAGACATTAGACTGTGAATTACATAAAACTGAATTACTCCATATCAACCGCAACATCAAACTGATATTTACTTTGTATGTGTATTAGTCTTGACAATAAGCTTTATGTGTGATTTGATATGAATTAACCGGAGCATTACACTGTGAAAAGCAGTGTGTCTTCATGCTGCTGTTAATCGAAGCATCAACGTTTGCATCGTGTTCAGTGTCTGCTAAAGCTATGGTTTGCCAAATATACAATGATGCTTATTTGTGAGAAAAATATACGGAACAAGAATCAAAACACAATTTAAATCTATTTATATTCAACAATGGCAACTGAATGTTGTGTGTTTTTTTGTTAATAATTTGAAGAGTTAGTAGGGTTGTTCTTTTTAAAATTTGCATTTGAAAATTGTCTTTTAAAATAGTTTTCTTATGCTTTTAATCTTTTTTGTAAATAGAAAAGTGTTATTAAAATATAACATAACTTGTTACGACTCATTAACACATTTACACTAAAGGAAGTTTAAAAATATTAAAATATTCATCAATTCATCGATTCGCATTGAAATTTTCAACAGCATCAACTAAGCTCTGTTAGAATGCTACGCACAATATTTATTTTCTAACAATAAAATATTTCTGTATAGTTGTACTCACCCTTTAGACATCAGATTTCTCACGTCCATTTCGTGTCAGTTCCCCGTGTTAACCCGCTACACACGAGCACACACACACACACGCAACACACGAGCGCACCCAAAGAAACACGGTCAAAACAAACTAACATCTAAGGGCACTAGCCCAGCTACTCCTATGTTTTCACAGACGCAGTTGCTTCCCTTTATTTCTTTTTTTCTTCTCTGTGCTAAGAAGCAAAACGGGGACAACTTCGCCCTAATGCACTTTAAAACTGGTCTTAGCTGTGAGTTCGTTTTCTCGTGTGAGTAATAAAGTTCTTTAAAGCACGCTTTATATTGCATGTCTTTCTTTATATTTTAAAACGAAAACATATAATCGTTAGCAGGCATACATCAAATGTAATCTATTAGTATTAAATAACACTAGTTATTCCATGTATTAGGTTTTTAAATACTGTTCTTGTATCTCTAAAGTTAACATTTAAAACTTGTACGCATCAAATTATTTCAACTTCTTTCGTCTGCTTTTAGATACGAACACACCATCACAACTACCATCTCTAACAACATCTCCCCTGTGTATATAAATATATCACTTTCACTTATTCCGAATCCCCGGCCCATTTCCTCAGTCTCTTATCTATCTCTCTGTCTCTCCCCATGATATAATTAGATGTGCTGTAATTAATTAGCCTTGAAGCCCACCAGACGGACCACTAAACGGAAATGTGTAAGCCGAGTCAACCCTCTCAAACAGACTCTCCTCGTGATGCTGTCAGCAGACGACGCATGTTAGGTCAATAGATCAATACGTCTGCTCCGGCGGTCACGGTGACCTCCGCGGGGTCGAGATGGTCAACTATACTTGTGTTGTATTGGACTGGTCGCATTGACCCCTGTTGCATGGCGCTGTTCCCTATACATTCTATAGTCGTACTCAGACATTGCGCCATGACCTTTATGGCCTTGAACTGGTCATCTAGGCCTATAAGGCTTTATACGGGTCATCTTGCTTTCTGTAACCTTCAACTTGACATCTTGACCAATCAAGTATTATATGGGTCATCTTGCTTTCTGTAACCTTAAACTTGACATCTTGACCTATCAAGTATTATATGGGTCATCTTGCTTTCTGTAACCTTAAACTGGACGTCTTGACCAATCAAGTATTATATGGGTCATCTTACCTTCTGTAATTTTAAACTGGACGTCTTGACCAATCAAGTATTATATGGGTCATCTTGCTTTCTGTAACCTTCAACTTGACATCTTGACCTATCAAGTATTATATGGGTCATCTTGCTTTCTGTAACCTTCAACTTGACATCTTGACCAATCAAGTATTATATGGGTCATCTTGCTTTCTGTAACCTTCAACTTGACATCTTGACCTATCAAGTATTATATGGGTCATCTTGCTTTCTGTAACCTTCAACTTGACATCTTGACCAATCAAGTATTATACGGGTCATCTTGCCTTCTGTAAACTTAAACTTGACATCTTGACCAATCAAGTATTATATGGGTCACCTTGCTTTCTGTAACCTTAAACTTGACCAATCAAGTATTATACGGGTCATCTTGCCTTCTGTAAACTTAAACTTGACATCTTGACCAATCAAGTATTATATGGGTCATCTTGCCTTCTGTAACCTTAAACTTGACATCTTGACCAATCAAGTATCATATGGGTCATCTTGCCTTCTGTAAACTTCAACTTGGCATCTTGACCTATCAAGTATTATATGGGTCATCTTGCCTTCTATAACCTTAAACTAATATCTTGACCTATCAAGTATTATATGGGTCATCTTGCCTTCGTTAACCTTAAACTGGACATCTTGACCAATCAAGTATTATATGGGTCATCTTGCCTTCGTTAACCTTAAACTTGACATCTTGACCTATCAAGTATTATATGGGTCATCTTGCTTTCAGTAACCTTAAACTTGACATCTTGACCTATCAAGTATTATATGGGTCATCTTGCTTTCTGTAACCTTAAACTTGACATCTTGACCTATCAAGTATTATATGGGTCATCTTGCCTTCTGTAACCTTCAACTTGACATCTTGACCTATCAAGTATTATATGGGTCATCTTGCTTTCTGTAACCTTAAACTTGACATCTTGACCTATCAAGTATTACATGGGTCATCTTGCCTTCTGTAACCTTGGGGATTGTCACTTTGGCCTTTGAAGTTTAAGATGAGCAGCCTGAACTCGTCTGGCCTAGTTTAACAGCTTTGCGAGGGCGTTAGTAACGAGTAGGACAATCAACCCCTTCCTTTTAGCGCTCTCTATTAATATCTACCAGTAGAAGAGCGGATATACAAGCCCCACCCCCTTTTTTACATATTTTTTTTCACATAGAGGTGAATAAATTAAGTATACGCCTTGTGTCAGCATTTAGATATTTGAGTCTAAAGTGTCTACTCATTATATAAATAAAGTAAACTTAATTATCAAGCTATGTTAGTAATCCTGATATGTGAACCTACTACACTTACTACACTGTTGTTACTGTTCTGTAGACTATGTTTATGTTGAAACTACTGTCTGTTTTAGATTAACATATTCTTAAAAAATATATATATAAATATATCACAACTTTAGATTAATTAAAAGAATTAGTTCTTTTAAAAAAAATATAATGATTGAAATTAAACACCTTAAAATTTACATTTTCATTAAGTTTCAATCCTGGTACATTTCTTTAATACAAAAACAAAATGGTAAGCTGCGTGTTAACTCGAAACTTCTAAAGTATAACAGGATGACAAAGAAAAGAACGGTAATTATGGATTAGGTTTTTTTTTTTTTGCTGACTAGGTTATTTCCCTTTATTCGTTCGGTTGTTTACAGCCCGCCTCCCTCTCCCCCACCTTCCCCCTTCGCCCCCAATCCTATTTCCGGCTTACTCTAGTTTTACTCACCCCAAGGTGTGGGAGGTTTTGTTTCCGATGTACTTTTAGTTGAGTGCTCACACGTGTCGTGATTCACGTACCAGGTACGTTTCACGGTGTGTCTATGTGGAGCAACATGTGGGGGAGTGGTGGGGGCGGGCTAAGTGTGTGTGTGTGGGGGGGGGGGGGGTGAGTAAGTTCCAGGGGAAGCCTGGGTTAAGGAAAAAACGTGTCGTCTTAAAAATAGCAGACACAAACGAGCAGGCAGACAAATCGATGGACAGACGGACGGACGGACGATCATCTTATGAAATGAATAAAACAAGTTAATTAAAAAAGTCTAGTGACATTTATGCGCAATTTCCTTATGTTATCTAAAAATAGCTCTGACGTATAATGATGGGGTGCGTTCAAGCTAGAAGAAAGATCGGTTTGTAGGTGTTTATGTAATTTTAAAATTTGTGACCGAACGAGAGGATATTTTTGAAAACTTTCTTCGGCAATATTGTTCTAAATTATGGCAGGAATCGATTGGTACATGTTTCAAGTCGCTAAGTGGTCTGGTTGCCGAGATATGGGCCAAAAACTGAATTTTTTCGAGGTTTTTTGGCTTTTCCGGGAAATACATGAAAGAAACCCGGAATTTTTATGGCCTATGCTCATTCTCCTAACTTACTTAACATAATTGCTTTTGGAACTAGTCATCGATATTGCTTCGTTAAGGAGGAGATACGACTTAAAGCCCGGACACACATTCATCCATCCATCCATTCCCAGAAATGACGAGTTAATAAACGCAATTCTCCAGAATGGAAATTGCGCTAAAAATTAGATAATCCTTTGAAAACAACAAAGATCGTAATATTTTAATTAATATCTGAATAGCAATGCACTAATTACAGTTTTTACAATCTTAATCCTTTACTAAACACATACTTTCCCGTCGTATCTGATCAAATGTCATTTTGAAATATTATCAACATTTTATATTTTTAAGTTAAATCACACTTAAACAGTTAAACATAAATCCTCCTCATTGATCGAATTAAATTAAAGGTAAGTTTAAAGTGCAATCACATGTTAGAAAATAAGTTTAATTTATAGAGCAGACAGATATTGAAACATTAATCAAGCAGTACGAACTAGAAAACCGCAAAATAAAAATAACAACCAATCAAAAAGCCATGAAACTAAACTAATAACAATTTATTATTGAAAGAATAAAGGCTCAAAATCAAACAAAAGGATTTTAATCTTGACTTTGACGCATCGTACTGACTGCACTGTGGTATTAATTATTTTCTAGATTAAACGATAGACAGATGCCGCCATTTTTTCCATCATCTCCGGATCAGATTTCGGACAACGCTTAGGTAAGAATATATCCTCTATATGTAAAAAACCGTTAATTAGAAACAACAACGATTTTCCCACGCGTTGAGCATAACGAAACAAAACCTAAAGGATGTAGGTGTCAACTCCACCACATCACTAATCCATGTAGACCCCAGACACACACACACACGCATAAATTAGGTGGTGTTATTGAAACCATTAATAATCATCAAGATGTTAGTACTTTGGGTGGAAACAATTTATATAATTGATATTAAACTATATCAATGATGCAATAATTGTAGTAGACAAAACTATAACTCTTATAGTGGGTAAAATGGGGATGTCTTCTAAAATGTTATTATATTGTTTAAAAAATAATAATACAAGATTTAATAAACAGTTGATCGAGCAAATTAATGCCTTAGCAGTTATTTTTCTAAAAGATTTTTGTGTGAGATGAATGTGAGTAGCCTACACATTTTCACCATTGAAAATACACAACACTGCTGACATATAACTATAACCAAGCAATGCAGTCTGTGTAGAACGATTTAAATGAGGGGCACGGGTTCAAACACCAGTAAGTAAGCTACAGTAGGTTCGATGAACGTTTTGACCACGGCATTCCGTGCGATCAACGCCCTTGAACTCTGCCTATGTTTTATTTACTTGAGACACAGACCGATTATTGACCAGTTCCCGGTGTAGCTGAGGTGGGGGTGTGAAATGCTCAGGTGGAGAGTATGATGGAGGGGGAGGGGCATGATGGGGAGGCGGCTGGGGATGGCACAGTTTAGTTTTTGAGGGATTTCTATGAACGCTTCTGTAGTCAATAAATTACTCGGATCGTTTAGTATACCGGTAACTTAATTAGTTAGACAAAGGTTTCAACTGCAGGCACCACATTCATAGACTGGGCAGGGATCAATCGCTAGTCATGAACCATCTTATTCAACGACCACCTAAGTAGACCTCCCTCATGTGTTTCGTAAGAAGCTTAATCTATTTATAACACCGGGATTTTATCGATGTCTAATTTTAGAACAAGGGTTGGGGGTTATCAGGTCGATCAGGTCACGCTGGTCGCAGTGTCAAACGACTGTAATTAATGTGACGTCTGCCTGACTGTCGTGATCTGTCCAGGATCTTGAGATGATCTGTCCAGGATCTTGAGATGATCTGTGATAACTTAGCGTTCCCACACAGCCGATGTTATGCGCTGCTAAAGTTAACCTTATATAGAGGTTATTATAGTACACAAAGTCCGCAATGGTTTCTAATTCAGCGCATTCCTTTGAATTAGCGCTTACATTTGATGCTTTACATGCAGTAATCAACACAACTAAGATGCGTATCGTCAACAGAAACCCTTTTTTTTTTAACAAAGTGTGAGGCCAGTCATAAACCATTGCATAACAAAGGCTATGGAACAGCGTGGATGGGTGGTAGAGCGCTCCACTGCTAACCCAAATGTCTGTGTGTTCAGATCTCAGTCCGGCCTGGGTCTGCAGGGTATGTCACCTAGTTCTGATGTTAGGGAAAGAAAACGCGGCTCTGCATTGTGCTGACCACACCATCCGTTCATATGCCAAGGTTTAAAACATATAAATTCTACTTAATTTACCCCATGGTATATGAAGTAGGTCTGAATGAAAAGGGAACGTTAATGTTTTGTACTTTTTAACTAAGTTTGACCGAAGTAGGAAGACTAAACTGCATACTTTATACCCGTGATGCATACAGATTTTGCTTAATTCAAACGTTAATTTTAACTATATATATATATATATATATATATATATATATATATATATATATATATATATATATATATATATATATATATATATATATATACTTCCGAACTTCAAAGCAAAAGATGCTCTCCTTTAAAGGCTATACCAATCCCACGGATGGCAATAATTGATATTCAAGAGCTCCACTTGGCGGTACCTAATGTCTTCTACAATTGGTTCAACCCTTCAGGGAACACCACACCTTGACCTATACCTGATCTCATGCTCTTATCTCCCCTTTATTCCTCTTGATTCTGAAGGATATTAGCTTCATTGGCACGGTTTCCAGAAAAATGCGCAAAGGAAAACTTTGCAAACAGAAACATAAGCAAATAAAAACGAATTACACTAATACACTTTCATTTTGTTACATTTCGTATAAAATTGTTTTATTTAGCTACGATGTACCTATGGTCAATCTTTGTTAATGTCTATAAATGCACGAAACAAAAATACCCTTCCGCACTTTTTTTTGTACGCAGTTTTCCGTTGCGCATATTCCCAGTCACCCATGGGCACATAGCTATGCTATTTCGCTGTTTCTATTTACTAAACTTTGTTCTCAATTTGCTTGTTTGTTTTTACCTCAGATTCACTAAGAAGAGCTGGAAAAAAAACCAATAAAAACTCCACAAGTCTGAACCATGACAGTCCATCATTGTATGTACATAGGAGCATTATGTGTGTATCTAGTTTTAGGTGAGTTACTAATATCTGTTGTAATCTATTTGCAAAGGTGTATTGAGATAACCTAATAGACTTCTTATATAAAATGTCGGTTATTTCTAAAATATAAATAGTTGATAATAATTATATATATATATATATATATATATATATATATATATATATATATATATATATATATATATATATATATATATATTGGATATTTTAATTGCAAAAACAATATTTTACTTAAATTAAATATCATGACCTGTAACTAAACGTTTTGTTTTTCAACTTTCCAAACAATAAGTTCTTATTTTTTTTAAAACTTCAGGTCAACGTGAAGTCCCGGTCCAGCGTTTTGATGGATGGTACAACAACCCCCTCAACCCCAGCTGGGGAGGCGTAGGTATGACGTCACCGTCCCACTGGATTAAGCCTATTCTTCAATCTGTCATTCTTATTTATATATATTTTAAATCCACACATAATCCTCCCATGTGTGCAGCAATTTTGTCTGTGTGGTCGTCATTTAACGATGTGACGCTCTTTAACGCGATTTTTTTTACCTTTCCCCTGATCCTCTCCGTATTGTCACACGTCACAAAACGTCAGACCTTCTACCTCAACGACTAAAGTCACCCTTCAGCCTACCATACACTCAAGATAATAATTTCCGCTTCTTAAATGATCGATTTCATTCTAGAATAATAACTGAGCTCAGTCAACATTAAGTATAAGTATAATTTTTTATTGCAATTTACTAACAAAAAACTACGCAAAATATTGGGGGAAAAATCCACATTCTGACACTACTTTTTAAAATGCAATTGTATCTTCATACTTTCACCTCTACCCCCCCCCCTCCCCCCCCCCCCACCATCCCTCTCCTACTAGTCGCAAAAGTCCCCGCCACGGACAAAAAAATATATATTGAATTTAAATACAAAACATCTTTTACCAATGTTTCCCTAACCCCCCCCCCCCCCCCCCCCACCCTAGAAAAAATGTCTAAAAGAAAAACGGCATATCTCTGACCCTAACTTCTGACTTAAACACTACCATTAGCTAGAATTATACACACTACCAACAACCTATTTTAAGACGAGTCTAGAGTCTGTACACTGCCCTTTTCTTATTAAACAAACTATGTCATTTACTCTCTCTCTCTCTCTCTTGAACAGGACGTCCGCTTGAGAGAAATATAACACCCACCTATGAAGACGAGACCTACCAACTCTCCGGATGGGATCGCCCAAATCCTCGACGAATCAGCAACGAGCTGTTCGGGAACATCGCTGGCGAGTCGGGAATTCCCAACCAGAAAGACCTGACCGCACTCTTTGCATTTTTTGGTAAATAATTTAAAAATATTATTTTTAGTTTCAATTATACCGCATGTTTTAGTATGTTTTAGTATGCGTCCACTTTTACTGTATATCGATCTTCCATATATTATATATATGGTCACAGAAACAAGTGAACTCTACTTCACTTGCCCCATAGACCGTCAGGTTTGAAAGGGAAACTTTTTTTTATATATTATATTTTAAAAAATATTAATTTTGTATCCACCACACCATGTAATAATTTGTTGACCACTCATAGGCACAGCGACCCATTCCGGCGTCCCGCGACAAAATATTAATTTTGCGCCCCAATCCATTTATTTAGGCTAAAATTCTTCATTTTGGCTAAAAAACACACCCCTCCCTCTCATTTGAAAAGGTCGGGGTGCGTTTTATCGGATACTGGCCCTGCTTTTATTTTGGTGTCGCACAATTGACGTAAAAAAACACAGTTATATAATTCCGTAATATCAAGTAGCTGTCCATTTTCGTAAGTTCGACTGTGTATACTTTCGTCATGCTGTTCAAAATGAGCTTTTTATTATTTTCTTTAACTCATTAATATCGGCACCTGGGGCGGCCGTTCACCCGCCCTACCCTAGCTACGCCTCCGTGACCCTTACAAAAGATTAACTCACGTTGTTACAGTTTGTGACCTGCAGTTCAACGATCTGATGAGTACCTGGGGAAAACTTGGATCGTTGAAGAAAGTGCGCACTGAAAACGTTAAGTCTTCGCTTCAGGGTCACACGACGCTTCGGTTTAAGAGAGGTCACGGGATTTCATTAGGACACAGTGACTCATTAATTGAAACGATGGTAGAAATGGGGAGTGTGTGCTGGTGGGGGGGGGGAGAGAAAATAACGGTTTATTTTAAAGGAGACAAAAGGAGGGGAACAGATGACCGCGAGAGTAGAATGGTCTGTTAACTGCTAGCCTGTTTGTTAGTCAGAGCCACGTATTCCTATTTCTTTGTATGTCACTTCAACTTTAAGCTGAAACTAACCTCCATCATAAGCTTAATCCCAATTGGTTAAAATATCATTATCGGTGATACAAGCTAATTTTAAAATGTGGGGATGGCTTGTCTATATGAAATCATGTTCTAGTTCTCTCTCTGGAATACAATTACTTTCAAGCTAATCAGTTAAACATCAATAACAGAATTGCGCGTATCCTTGATACCGATACTTTAACCTTTATTCCAAATTTAACCCGTTATACTTGCCTCGCCCCAATCTTAACTTTAGCCACACACCCAACACAACGTACAGGTAACCTTAGAGTACTAACTTTAATGAGGCGTTGTGGTATTTGAACGGCCAGATACAGGAACTGAAAAAAAAAAACGTGTTCAAAGTTTAAATTGGGATGGTTAAACCACAGAAGTGACCTTGACACTCAACTACGCAATATTTTTAAAACACTCTTAAATCAACACATTATATCAATCAACTCAACTTTTAAACTCAGGAGGATATATTTTTTTCTCAAGGTCGTCTTGTTGAGTATGAGATACTGGACACCGATGACGTCACCTGCCCCATGGAGTTAGTCAACACTCCCGTGCCCCGCGGTGACCCCGACTTTGACCCCGATTCCACGGGAAGGGAGAGCATCCCGTACGAGCGAAAAGCCTACGACAAGAACACGGGCCAATCGCCGAACAATCCTAGGAGACAGGTACTCTGACGTCATATTGTACGTCACAAAAAATTAATACGTTAAGGAAGCTGTCACGGTTCAATGAGGTCGATAGGTGATTGAAAGAACCAATTAATAAAATGGTTCATTTAGTTCGTTATTGTTAGATTATGATTAATTGCCTTATTTTAAACTATTGTATTTAAAAAAAAAAAACACGGAATACTTCTACGTTTTAATATATCTCAACATTGAGTTTATCATCCAATTTAACAGAAGGGAGACTATCTTTCATTCCTTGTCTTATTTTAATTGTTACGCCCTTTAGAAAATTTTAATAAAACATAGGCCTAGATGTAGAACTACTAGATCTAGATCCAGAGCGACCGTTCCCCGCGCCCGGGGACAAACTTTAAATTTTTTAAATTTTGCACCCCCCCCCCCCCCCTCACCTCCCACAAGCTTTCGATTTGCACACCCTCCTCATATATTTTTTATATTTATAAATAAGCAAAAATGCAGCTAAAATGAGATTTTAATTTTTAATTTGTTTTTCCAATACATTTTGGCGCCCCCTAAGGTCGGCGCCTGGGGACATATGTACTCCCCGCCCCCCGCTCGCTATGCCTCTGTCTAGTTCTAGAAAGAAGATATTACTATGGTGTGCGAGCATGTTGCCAAAAATTATATTTTAATTTTCTTGTTTCTCAAGATTAAAGATCATAAACATATTTTAACTTATTCTGAAATATACTAAATCTAGATCTAATCTAGATCAAGAGTCTAGATTCTACATGAAGATTCTTATTTCAGCTGAATGGTGCATCTAGCTACATCGACGGAAGTTTTATTTACGGCAACAATGTCGTTCGCACCGAGTTTCTTCGACAACCTAACAGCGGAAAGCTGGCCTGTGAGGACAAATGGGGAAAATTTCCACTGCGAAATGAGGTCAACCTAAAATATCACCCTCTCACTTACAGCCACAATACCGCCCCGGACCTTTGGCGTGAGTAGCCCTAATATCTAGATCTATATTCTAAAATTTGGAGACATGATATAACAAACCCTTTTCTCATCTTTGATTTGAAGTAAAATCTTGTTTTTCTTTTAGGTCTTGGAGACCCTCATGTTTTCGAGAACCCGGCGTTGTTGGCATTGAGCGTCATGTTTTATCGATACCACAACAAAGTAGTCGATAAAATCTTAGAACATCGCGCAAATTTGACGAATGATGAAGTTTTTGAGCAGGCTAGACGCAGAGTCATAGCTACAATGCAGGTGATTGATTTACATTAAAAGTTTATTTAAAAACAAAACATTTTAAAATCTTGGTAATTTTTTTTAAACGGGAGAGGGTGGGGCGGAGGCGCACACTGGTTGAAGTATAGTATAAAGATAGTATAAAGTAATACTACTAAATGTTTTGTTTTGTATATAAATTGAAATTGTGCTTCGTTGGGGGGGGGGGGGGGGGGGGAGGGGAATGTGCTTCATGTGGCATCTCTCTAGAATCTAGACCTGGAATATTTGCTTGGAAGCATGACCTACTTATTTTAGTTCATTTTATGACTTTCAAAGTTTTCCCGCCAAATAACTTTAGACACTTTAAATTTTATTCCTTTATATTTTATGTTATAAATTTGGTTGTAGATCTAGATCTACCCCCAGAGGCTAACTTTCTAATATGGATCAATGATTATTCAGTTTAAATCTTTACACTTTACACTTTATCACAATAATATGAATCTATACTAAATTTAAATTTAAAAAAATTAACTGTCTTTCACAATTACTTAGTTTAACTGTTAGTTGATGATGCAAATCTAACATTCTGTGTTAAATTATTATTTAACAATGATATATTTAATATTCACACAGTGCATGTACCCTATATAGTAAATGAACTTCATTACATTTTGTGTGATAGACAGCTAAAAAATCTGAAAATGGCTGATTTAGCCAACATTATTGATGGTTAATAACAAACAGCTGAGGTTGCTAAGAATTGAAACTAAATACACTACACCTTTATTTATGGTATTGTTTTGTTTTTCAGAAAATAATAGTCTATGATTGGTTGCCTAAGTTGATTGGTCATAGTTTGCCACCCTACACTGGTAAGATATGAATTAATTAATTATTTAATGAATTCTACAATATCTGAGTGAATATTGAAATAGAAATAGGTGTATCTGTTACAATGGGACATTGTAGTCAGTTTTTTTTTGTAGCAACAGCAGCAAAATTAAAATTAATATTATTCTCCAAAATTTAGACAATCTTTACTAATAAAATTGATAAAAGCTATCTACTATAAATACATCAATATTTACATCATTTCAGGTTACAAATCTTCAATGAAAAGTGATATCACAGATATTTTTGATGCTGGCGCCATCAACTATATAATGACATTAATTCCAGCAGGAATTAACCAGTTGTAAGGTTTCATTTAAAGTTAGCATCTCAAATAAATCAAACAGTCACTTCACTTGCCCTCTCTCTAAACATTCTAAGGGTATCCTACAGTTTATCAAGCTCAAAGACAAGCAATAATTGCAAACTAGATCTAATTGAAATTTAGCTTGCAGATTTTGGATTTTAAAACTGTAAAGCAAACCCTACAACTTAATTTATAAAGAAGTCATATATATATATATATATATATATATATATATATATATATATATATATATATATATATATATATATATATATATATATATATATATATATATATATATATAAATATACATATATATACATATATATATACATATATATATATATATATATATATATATATATATATATATATATATATATATATATATATATATATATATATATATATATATATATATATAAACCAGAAAAGAAAACAAAATGTTTTATTTGACAACATTATTAATTTTAAGCGCATTTTTTTGCAGAGACAAGAAGTGTAGCATTAGAAAGGAAGGAAAACACAAAGGAAAACGTCTGTGTCGGACATATTGGAAGGCTATGGTGAGTAAGGAAAGATAACATACATACTGTGGGTGATAACAAAACTTACTTTTCATCCTGACCGATATCTAAGTTTGAAACATGGATTGTTGTTGAATATTAATATTATTAAGATGGTTTTAACAATTTATTTTTTTCTGCATGGTTTGATAACTTTTACACAGCACATCCATGTTGTATAAAAGACTAATTAAAGTTGTATCTATCTATGTTTATATGTTTGTTGGTAGGAGGCAGTGTATGAGGAAGAAGACAGTGTCAATGATATTTTGAAAGGTCTAGCAGCACAGTGGGCAGAGAAAGCTGACACATACGTTGTTCAAGATTACAGAAGTATGTCAACAAATTCTGGCTATAATCAGTTAAAAAAGTGGGGTCGGCGTGGTCGAGTCGGTAAAGCTCATGGTTGCTAAACCGAAAAGTCTCGAGTTCGAGCCCTCAGGCAGATGAGGCTCGTTAGCTGGGGACAGCCACTCTTCTAGGAGAGACAACTCCAAAATTAAACAACTGCTGCCTTGTAGTTTGTTCTTGGTTGGACAAAGGCTATGGAAGCAAATCCAAAAAGAAAAGCAGGCTGAAATCGGAGTCAATGGCCTCAATGGCGCATAACCAGTTGACACGTAACGCTTAATTGTGTTGGAGGCGTGGTCGAGTCAGCAAAAAGCTCATGGTTGATAAATTCGAACAAAGTCTCGAGTTCAAACCCACTGGCAGATAAATCTCGATCCCCTTCAATCACTAATAATTAAGAACGAAGAAGAAGAAGAAGAGTTAAAAAAGTTAAGATTCCTCTTTAGACCTAGTAATCTGTTGGGCAGATGAAGTACAGTTCATAAGTTTCTTGACCTCAGCATATCATGGGATGGTGTGGTCAGCATCATGCTTAGCAGCCTTTACTTTTCCCAAAATCGGTCAGGGTACCCAACATAGCTGGAGGGATTCAAGGATGTCCTACAGTAACTATTCAGACTAGCAGTCAAACAGTCTATCATTCCACCACGCCATCCCATACTAGAATCATTTTAGTTATCATTTAATAAAGTGCCCAAGTTTACTAAAATTCTTAATTTTATTCACCATCTTTATCAAAAGCACGGATAGTAAGGTATAAAAAGTAGTGGCTGATCTGGTTGAAATACCTAACCCAACATTTGATTCTACAGGTTACTTTTATGGCACCGCATACCACACGAGCAACGATGCCGTGCTGCAGGCCATCATGAAAGGCCGAGATTACGGTCTACCTGACTACAACACAGTCAGGCTCACCATGGGGTTGCCTGTTAAAAACTCATTTGAAGAAATAAACACACAGTTGAATGAAAGCAACCCACAGGTAAGTTGTTGAGTCTCTTGACTGATGTTTACATGTTTTTCTATATCTATTCTGTACACAAATATTTGTGCTACATGTCCACTCCTTAACTCAGCATTCAGACATACATCCGTTTTTAAATTAATATCTTGTAGCCACCTTTGTAATTCAATTTAACATCTTTAATTTAAAATAAAATAAATTTTAAATAATATTCTGACAAATTGCTTGTATTATATGAAATTTTTAAAAATCACATGTCTGTTTAAAGAGTTAAAAAATTGTAGATAATTTTTTTTAAAATCACATGTAATTATTTGTTACTTGTAAAATTAACAATAGCTCTTATCAAATCTAATATTTATCTAAAATTGCTACTTTTATCCTGAATTTAACAGTGCTACAAACAAAAGGAAAAAAAACTATTCATTACTGCATTATCCTATCAGCTGTTTAAAAATAATGGGATTACATAAGCAATCTGTAAAGAGAATGAGTTCTTCTCTAAAGAGTCTCGAGTTCAGTTCCCAGATTTGAGACTGTAGGACGCCCCTGAATTGTAATGGGTACCTGACTCTTTTCAGAGAAGTAAAGATGGCTGGGCAAACAACTGACCAAACTTCCCTACACATGCTGAGGAAAAAAAAAAACAGTACTCTGTCCTTTCAGATGGGATAAGGCAAATTTATTTTTCTTTCATAACAGCCAATTATTCCTAACCTTACGTATACGTAACATATTGCAGCTGATGGAAACATTCAAAAGGATCCACATGAATGACCTGAGTAAGGTGGACATGTTTGTTGGGGGCATGATGGAGACAACAGACGAAGGTCCTGGCGAACTCTTCACTCTCATCCTCTATGACCAGTTCATCAGGATCAGGGACGGAGACAGGTTCTGGTTTGAGAACAAAGATAATGGGTTAGTAGTCTGATACATCTTTAGCTTGTCTTAATTGTTTTTTCCTTTTATTTTTTATTCACAAAGAAACCATTGAGAAAATAAAATAGTTGACTAAACTAATCCGCTTTCGATTGTATTTCAATTTTTTTCTCAAAGGGAATAGGATATATAATTTAGAAGTCTACCCATTTTATCTATTAGGCTTTTATTTAAATTCTTTTCTTGTTTTGATATTGTCTTTAGATAAAATTTAGAAGTGCAAGTAAAGCAGTATGTTAAAATAAAGTTAATGTTTTCAATAATTTGAAAACCAGGAATCTGGCTATTGTAGGTCACCTTTTAACTATCTCTGGTCACCTTTTATCTATCACTGGTCACCTTTTATCTAAACTGGTCACCTTTTATCTATCACTGGTCACCTTTTATCTAACACTGGTCACCTTTTACCTAACACTGGTCACCTTTTACCTAACACCGGTCACCTTTTATCTAACACTGGTCACCTTTTACCTAACACTGGTCACCTTTTACCTAACACTGGTCACCTTTTATCTAACACTGGTCACCTTTTATCTAACACTGGTCACCTTTTATCTAACACCGGTCACCTTTTACCTAACACTGGTCACCTTTTACCTAACACTGGTCACCTTTTATCTAACACTGGTCACCTTTTACCTAACACTGGTCACCTTTTACCTATGGTCACCTTTCACCTACCACATGTCACCTATGTGCTAACATAGATCAAAATCTTGCAGGTTGTTCAGTAGTGAGGAAATAGCTGAGATCCAGAGCATCACACTCCATGATATTATTTACAATGTCACACAGATTGAGGACAAGTTCCTACAGAAGGATGTTTTTCTTGTCTCTAATGGTATATCCTCGTTTTTATTTTTTTATTATTATTCGGTGAAGATAATTTTTGTCTGTGCTCATAATAAATAATTGTTATAATTTTGGGATCTGATACAAATACTTGTTAATAAAGAATAATAAAACATCACAATATTTATGCCATTTTTATAGAATTTCAGAATTATTATTTTTTTCTTTCCTTAATTAATTAAAATTCTAGACACCTGTGCAGAACCTCAAACATTTAATGAATCTCAACTTGCTCCATGTCCCAAGAATACTGATAGAGATTACTTTAAAGGGAGCGAAATAGCATACATTATCATCTGGACTTGCATTGGATTGCTTCCCTTATGTAAGTTGATTGTGAAATTTGCTTGATTAAAGTTTTTTTTTCACTACTTGGAGGATGAAAAATCTGAGGAGATTTAAAAAACTATATATGTTTACCTTATATATTTAATTCAAACAAAAAAATAAATCCAATAAATTGTGGAGTAGTAGGCCTACTTATTAATAAGTATTAGTTGTATTTGCATAGTGTATATATTGTGTACTTAAATAACAAAACTTGGCAGGGAAAGGTTAAACATGTGTATCACCAAACACTTGATATGTTTGTTTCAGTGTGTATTTTAACTGCATTTATCCTGGCCAAATGCAAGAGGTGGCAGCACCAGAAACACCTCAACTCCATGAAGATAGAGAAGGAGAAGAAGAGAATCTTGAGAAGGACAATTTCCTGTAGTGTGTCTGGTAGGTTTATCCTGTGTGTGTTTGGTAGGTTTTCTATATCCTGTAGTGTGTCTGGTAGGTTTATCCTGTAGTGTGTCAGGTAGGTTTTCTATATCCTGTTGTGTATCGGGTAGGTTTTCTATATCCTGTAGTGTGTCTGGTAGGTTTACTATTCAGTATCCTGAAGTGTGTAAATTAACAAAATGTTTGGCAGTTATTTCTTCATCTTGTTTCAAAATTCATACTTGAATACTTAATTTAGGTGCTTTTAATTTTAGCTGATTATCACGAAAAACTGTCTGGCTACATACAATAATTTGATTTTGCTTAGTCTGTATAACAAAACATACAACTTCAAAACCTGATGGTTTGTAAGGCATATAAAGTGTATCTGCTTTTGTGGTCAATAAAATATCAGCCACCTTCCCAATGTCAGATATCTGTTAGGTGGGGGTGGAACCTCCTTTGCTGCACGCTATAGACAGAAATGTACTCAAAATTTTTAGTTGCACAAACATTGTCACCACCCCATAACCACACCATCTTATACAAACTATTAATGTTTAAATTATTGTATAACAGTGCATGATGCCTTGGAATGGCTTGGATGCTACACAAACAATGTCACCACCCCATAACCACACCACCCCATAACCACACCACCTTATACAAACTATAAATGTTTAAATGATTGTATAACAGTGCATGATGCCTTGGAATGGCTTGGATGCTACACAAACAATCTCACCACCCCATAACCACACAACCTTAGACAAACTATAAATGTTTAAATTATTGTATAACAGTGCATGATGCCTTGGAATGGCTTGGATGCTACACAAACAATGTCACCACCCCATAACCACACCACCCCATAACCACACCACCTTATACAAACTATAAATGTTTAAATGATTGTATAACAGTGCATGATGCCTTGGAATGGCTTGGATGCTACACAAACAATGTCACCACCCCATAACCACACCACCCCATAACCACACCACCTTATACAAACTATAAATGTTTAAATGATTGTATAACAGTGCATGATGCCTTGGAATGGCGAGGCTGTGATGTAGAGCCAAGATCAGTGGAACTACATCTGACCAACAAAGGTTGTCTAGAGATCTTTGCAACAAGCGGCATGCACATCAGGTAAAAAGATATTTTACTTTCAACTAGCAATTAATGTAGGTATTTTCACTTGGATTTTCTTAGGCAAAAAATTATTAAAATGTAAGATTTTTTCCATAAAATTAATTTCAAACTATAAGGATGTAAAATATAATGAAAAATATATATTCAAAGAAAGACCAAAATTAATTTTGTGGCTAGATAGTAAATTTTGTTTTTAATTGAGGTGCTCTCATAAAAAAGTAAAATTTACTTTCTTAGTACAGAGGATGACATGAGTTAAAAAATAATGTTGTATATCTTATACTATGACACAATCTGCTTATAACTGTATTAAATTTTTAGGTCAATCAAAATCAGCTACCTGTCCACCGTTGCCATTAAGATGAGCTCCAACAAAAAGAGAAATGTTCTGGCCATTATCATGCCTAGAGAGTATGACCTGGTAAATCAAAATGTTGGACTTCAATTTGTGCTTGTAGTCTTAAGTAAATTTTAGGATTTGTCATATAGTCCTATTTGTGGTTATAGTCTAATTATATTTGAAACTCTTTTCCTTTTTTTTTCTTTGCAGTCTGATGTAAATTTGTAACTTTTTTCTATTTGTGTGCTTGTAGCCTATTCTAAATAAATATGATACTTTTTCTTGTAAAAGTGTTTGTAGCTATTGCTAAGTAGTCCTACTCTAAGTAAATTTTGAATGAAAAGTTCATGAAAAGACCTACAGTATTCTTGGTACTTTCTTAAATTAAAACCTTTGATTGAAATGTCATATCAAGCTAGACTTTGATACTTCAATGACTAGTAGGGCTAATTGATATAGTAATGATACATTTAATTTTGAAATGGTAGGGTTGATAAGCTTTTTGAACATAGTGATGAATATTCTACTATATTTGTTTTGATTTTTTGATTCAGTGAGTGTTAACCCTAACTGACCTCTAACCCTAACCAGGTTGTTGAGTTTCCCTCTGAGCCAATGAGAAATGAGTTCTGTACGGTGCTGTGTACGTTTGCCCAGACCCACAACGTAGACTTCTCTGTGATAGAGCTGAGGCTACGAGACCTGTACAACGCTGCCACGACCAAGGAAAAAAGAAACAAAATGCTGGAAAAGTTCTTCAAGACTGTCTTCTCTGAGGTTGGTGCACTCAAAACAATGTGTTTTACAGCACTAGTTATTGCTGACTGTCTATTGGCTTATCTAATATAATAAACTAATTTTTCTATTTAAAGATGGTAGCACTTTCAGTCATTTCAAATAGACAACTGATATGTATATTTGAATTAAATTATTACATTTAGAAATAATATTAATTTACAAATTTTAGTCACTTAAAATGCATGTTGCAGCGTTTACATTGGTTTTGATTTTAACTACCACAGTTGTGTATTTGAAATGTGAAAACACTTAAAAATAATATAATCTTTATACAGGCATTTAATATGGATTACAATCCTAACTTTGACACCATACAACTGGACATGAGGAAATATAGCCAGGAAATTATGGAGGTTTGAGCTTTGTAAATTCTTATATTTGTATCTAAAATATTATTTTTTAAATCTTAAATAATAATCTACTGCAAAAAAGAAATTTGACATAAAGTAAAAAAAAAGTACAAAAAATTTGAATTTTAACATCTATAAACAATAGCTAACTACACTTATGCTGATGACTATTTTAAAATCTAATTATTTGTAATATAACAGATCTACAACATTCATCATAATAACACAAGAGTGTTTAAAAATTACATTACAATGTATTTTTCTCCAACTAAAAGTGGTTCAAACATATTTACTGTACATATAAATATGGATAAGATGTACTTGCTTTACAACTAAACATGATGTTTTACACCTGCAGGTTGAACTGTCTAAGGAAGAGTTTGCTGAAGCCATGGCTATCAAGCCCAACTCCCTGTTTGTGGAGCACTTCTTCTCTCTGATTGACTCCGATAGGAACGGCTACATTTCCTTTAGGGAGTTCCTCAATGCTGTGGTCCTCTTCTCTAAAGGTCAGCACCATCAGCTTAAATCTCAGCACCATCAGTATCTGAAACATGTATCCAGTCATTTAAATGTTAATTGGCAATTTAAGGGGACTCAAAAACCCCTACTCCAGGTTCAATCAATGAGAATCTAGAATGAAAGAATTTAACTATTTCTCCCCCCTTCAGGGTTAGTTAATGAGAATCTAGAAATAAAGAATTTAAATATTTATTGTTTCCCTCCAGGTTCAATCAACGAGAAACTCCAGACCATGTTCTACATGTATGATATAGATGGCACAGGCTACATGAGCCAGAAACAGATTGGACAAATGTTCAGGTAATGTTTATGTTATCTCTTAAATTGTTTAGGTCAGGTCTATTTTGGCCACTTAAGAATTTTATTTAATTTTATGTTTGTAAGTAAAAATTTTGATTTGGTTTTATAGAACAGAATCATGTATTTAAATGTCTGATGTGTGCTAGCACAAAGCTATGTAATCAAAGTCTGGTGTGCTGCCTCAGAGTTGTGTAATCAAAGTCTGGTGTGCTAGCACAGAGCCAGAAGATTAAAAGTCTGGTCTTAAAAGTCTGGTCTTAAAAGTCTGGTCTTAAAAGTCTGGTCTTAAAAGTCTGGTCTTAAAAGTCTGGTCTTAAAAGTCTGGTCTTAAAAGTCTGGTCTTAAAAGTCTGGTCTCAAAAGTCTGGTCTTAAAAGTCTGGTCTTAAAAGTCTGGTCTCAAAAGTCTGGTCTTAAAAGTCTGGTCTTAAAAGTCTGGTCTTAAAAGTCTGGTCTCAAAAGTCTGGTCTTAAAAGTCTAGTCTTGAAAGTCTGATCTTAAAAGTCTGATCTTAAAAGTCTATCTTAAAAGTCTGGTCTTAAAAGTCTGATCTTAAAAGTCTATCTTAAAAGTCTGGTCTTAAAAGTCTGATCTTAAAAGTCTGATCTTAAAAGTCTGGTTTTAAAAGTCTGGTCTTAAAAGTCTGGTCTTAAAAGTCTGGTCTTAAAAGTCTGGTCTTAAAAGTCTGATCTTAAAAGTCTTGTCTTAAAAGTCTGGTCTTAAAAGTCTAGTCTTAAAAGTCTAACTTAAAAGTCTGGTCTTAAAAGTCTGGTCTTAAAAGTCTAGCTTAAAAGTCTGATCTTAAAAGTCTGATCTTAAAAGTCTGATGTGTGCTGGTACAGAGCTGTGTAATCAAAAGTCTAACTTAAAAGTCTGGTGTGTACTGCAGGTCCCTGCTGGAGCTGGCCCAGAGCAACCTGGACTACGAGGATGTCAACCTGCTGGTGGAGTCTCTGTGTAGCCAGTCTGGGATGGAACCCAAGGAGAAATACACCTTTGAGGACTTTGTCCACCTGCTCTCACCTGAGATGAATAAATTATCACACTCTTCTTTTGATTGGAAGGGTAAGTGGATGTTTTTTTATATTTAAAAAAAAATTATTTTATATGCACTCAAATAGCACTTCCTCAAATAAATTATTGTTCATGGGTTTAATTTGAACTATTACTTTTCATATTTTTTATTTTTCTGCTTAATGTAATGTTCAGCAAGCTACTGTGTACCTAAACTTGATCAATAAGAATCATACACCTACTCTGCAACTCATCCATAAAGTCATATATGGTTTTTAAACTGTATCTGTTGTTTGGTTAATTAAGAAAATTGTACATCTTCAGGTTTGTCAAATGTGCTGCCAAAATCACCCAAGAAAAGGTTTGTTTATGTTACTTTTATCCTTCACATTATTTGGCTAGTTAATGTTGGCTACATAGTAAGACAAGCCTACCTGGTTTTCTGAAACTAGTGCACATTTTTTACATTCTGCAGTAAATACTGTATAGTAATTTCTTTAGGGGAGATAAAGTCTAGCTTAAAATGTGTTCTCTATACACCAACTCACAAGACTAGGTTGTCTTTTGTCCAAGGTACCCCAATATCCCAACAGGTGGTGCAATGGAAATCAAATGCCTGATGAAAATACACACATTTTGGGGTTGGCAATTTAAGGGAGAACAGCATTGAATCTTCATCATGTTGTTATCTACCTAACTTATGAGCAACATTTGAGCCAGTTTTGTCTGTAAGGAAAGTAGAAATAGGGGAAGTAATCTCAGTCCAATTGTGTTGTCATCAGCAGTGACAGTGACATGCGCAAGAGGGGGTCAATGGCATCCCTGTCAGGGCTGGAGAATGGAGGAGGGTCCAAGCTGGTTAAGAAGTTTGAGGCTGTGAGGGAGACGTACACGCCTGTCAAGGCCAAGATGAAGCTGGTCAAACACTTTATTGAGAACTACAGGCAGCACATCTTCTTCCTCATCCTGTTTTATGGCGTCTGTGTCGGGCTGTTTGCTGAAAGGTTTTATTGTGAGTTTAGATTACAAAATTTAAAGTCATTTTTTAATACAAATTTTTAGTTTTAAAACAAACTATTTAATAGTTATTAAAAAATTTAAGTAGTTAGCTTCTAAAAAAAAAGGTAAGTACCTTTTTCAACCTGGTGGTCCACATCGCAGTTGATGTAGAGTTCAACTGTTTCATTGACCTCAGCATTTGAAGGATTAGTGTGGTTAACACTATGCACAGCCACCTTTATTCTCCTTTACTTGATTTGGGTATCCATCAGATATCTTCTTATATAAAACTAAATTGAAGCCATTTATAAAAAGAAAAAAAAGAGTTGTTTCAGAATCTAAAACTATTTGTAACCACCATTTTACACAGACTACACAGTGGAACAGGAACACTCAGGCTTCAGGAAACTGATGAGTTATGGCATCAGCTTTACACGTGGTGCTGCTGCTGCTATGTCTTTCACATTCAGGTAAATCTCATTTTCACTTTCAGGTAAATCTCATTTTCACTTTCAGGTAAATCTCATCTTCACATTCAGGTAGTTTTACTTCTCATTCTATCATTTAGGCAGTTTTAAAAACAATTACACACATAATAAAAACGTTTTGTTTTATTAAATCGTATTTAAATAATTTAGGTAGATTTTTTTAGGTAGTTGTTTTTAAAAATCTGCATTGTAGGCAGTTGTTTTTTGAATTGTTTTTTTTTTAAGAAATACAACAGCACACATCAACAAACCCGGACACAACAATTCCTAGCAACACAAAAGTTTGGTGTACACACTCACACTCACACACACACAGCACTCTTGTCTTACATATACACCTCTCATGTATTTCATATCATCACACTTACTTTGTTTACATTGATATTATATTTTGTTATACTAATGTTTGCTACAAGACGAAACAGTCACCATGTAATACAACAACTGTTTCCATTTCCCAGTTTTCTACTGCTGACCATGTGCCGGAACACAATCACATACCTGAGGTCAACAGCCTTGAACTTGTTCATTCCGTTTGACTCACACATCTCATTCCATAAGGTTGTCGCCTGGACAGCTTTATTCTTCTCAGGTAACTCATGTCTGCGCTAACCAACTGTTTCATTTGTTTTTTTAATGAATCTATTTTTAATTTAAGAATGTTTATACCTGAATCATTGTTCAGCAATTTTGCTACCTAAACAATCTTTTCTTTAAATTTACCTTAATGCCTACCCTAATAATAGTAATAATCTTCAGTCTTCTTGCCAGCTATTGTTTTGCTTTCTTCAGAATTTTTAATGTTTCCTTGGATTTTTTTGTGTACTTGTTGAAGAACACTTTAATCAATTGAATCCAAAAACGCAAATAACATTGCGACCAAATTTTAAGTCTGATTATTTGATCTTGATGTACCTGCAGCTATTCACGTCATTGGCTACAGCTTCAACTTTTATCACCTTGTCTCTCAGCCCACCAAATACCTGTGTATTTTTACAAGCTTGGTCTTCAGGTAAGTGTACAAACACAGTTTTAAATAGTGTACAAATATGTGTGTATGTAGAAGGTAACACCTGTGTATTTTTACAAGCCTAGTCTTTATGAATTTCCAAAAAGTAAAAATACTTAATAATTTATTTGAAAATAATTTTAAGCAAAATGTTATCTTTTGTAGGAATGAAATACCTCTCACATTCCAAGAATGGGTCTTTGGAACCATGCCAGGTAAATTATCAGTTTCTATTTTTAGCATATTTTTTTTTAATTTAAAATTTATCGGCTACTTTATACATGTTTAAAAATTCTTCTCTAAGTCTTCTGTCCCGTCTTACCAACTAAGAAAAAAAAATGTAATTGTTTTTTTTACCAGGTTTTACTGGGGTCCTGCTAGTCCTAGTCCTGTGTGTCCTGTACACGTTTGCCACCCAGATTGCCAGGCGCCACATCTTCACCCTCTTCTGGATGACCCACAAGCTGTTCATTGCCCTGTACGTGCTGACCATCATCCACGGCGCCACCGTGGTCGTACAGAAGCCGATGTTCTTTGCCTACCTGACCGGCCCCGCCATCTTGTTCACACTCGACAAGCTCATCTCTCTCAGCCGCAAGAAAACTGAGATCTGCATCTTAAAGGCACAAAACCTACCCTCAGGTATTAGAACATTTCCTTTACATTCATTAACCTGCTCACATCTTAAAGGCACAAAACCTACCCTCAGGTATTGAAACACTTCCTTTACAATCATTAATCTGCTCACATCTTTAAGGCACAAAACCTACCCTCAGGTATTGGAACACTTCCTTTACATTCATACACTAGAGCTCTGGCTCATCATAAAGAATAGTTGATTTGATTATTTAATTATCAATAGTTTTAAAAATGTATTGCCTCCTCTACGGATCCAACTGGTAGAATTTAAATGACCTCAAATATTTAAATGTTTTATAACATTTTATAACCCCCCACCCTACCACCTCATACAGATGAGTCTGATAGGATTTTCAATATCATAAAAGATGAAAATGTTTTGATTAATTATAAGTAATTCGTATTACCCCCTTTTCCCATTTAGACGTGACTATGATAGAATTCAAACGACCCCCAAGATTTGAATACAAATCTGGCCAGTGGGTGCGCATAGCCTGCCTGGCACAAGGTAAAGATGAGTACCACCCATTCACCTTGACCTCTGCCCCACATGAGGACACCCTGAAGCTCCACATCCGAGCCCTGGGACCGTGGACCTGGAACCTGAGGCACATATTTGATGATGACAAGAGCAGCAAGAACTACCCAAAGGTCTGTAGCTGTGTTTGGTATTTGTATCTCATTATTTACATCAAACAAGAGCAGCAAGAACTACCCTAATGTCTGTAGCTGTGTTTGGTATTTGTATCTTACAGTGTATCTGACAGATTTTTTTCTCTATAGCACTTGATATTTTTGGGGGCGGACACTGGTAAAAGTATATATTTTCTATATAAATTCCATTTTGTTCGAGGGGGGGAGGGGGGGGGGGGGTTAGACTTTCTTCAGGAGGTCGAAGAGATGCCTTGAAGAAACTCTGCGCACTAACTGCTAATTATAAACTCTTGTTGTATATCCATGAGATTACCTAGCAAAGGCGGCTGGGCATAGTATCTATAACGCTATCCCTTTATATGCTGAGGTCACAGAAACAGGTGAACTCTACTTCATGTACCATACAATCCACCACATACAAACTTATAACTAACTAAAATATCATTTATGATGAGTTTGTTAAGATGATTGTGCATTAGAGTGATTGGGCTTGTTTGGCCATACTCATAGGACTCAGCTCATTGACTTTATGTCTATAGGTTTGTGTCTTATTTGATTTATTTGATTTAATTGTTACCATTAGAAAAATATTATGTGTTTATTGCTATTAATTTATATCTCTAAATTTTTATTAGATCTCATTTAATTATTTGAAATTATCTGATCAAACACCACATAGCCCGTATCTTAACCTCAACAAATTTATCCCATTGCACCTATCTGACTTAATGTATCACATTGTTCCTATCTGACTAAATGTATCACATTGCTCTTATCTGACTAAATATATCACATTGCACCTGACTTAATGTGTCACATGCCCCCCCCCCCCCCCACCCTCAGCTGTACCTAGATGGCCCCTATGGAGCTGGCCAACAGGACTGGTACCAGTATGATGTCAGCGTACTGGTGGGAGCTGGTATTGGGGTCACCCCCTACGCCTCCATCCTGAAAGACTTTGTCCACATGTCATCCATCAACATGAGATACAAGGTCAAATGTCAGAAGGTGAGATGACATCTGTGCCCTCTTGTCTATCTGTGCAAGCCAAATATTTTAGTTGCTCCATGTGTTGTGGGTACCTTGTAAAGAGTGGGTACCTTGTAAAGAGTGGGTACCTTGTAAAGAGTGGGTACCTTGTAAAGAGTGGGTACCTTGTAAAGAGTGGGTACCTTGTAAAGAGTGGGTACCTTGTAAAGAGTGGGTACTTTGTAAAGAATGGGTACTTTGGAAAGAGTGGGTACTTTGGAAAAAGTGGGTACTTAGTAAAAAGTGGGTACCTTGTCAAGAGTGGGTACCTTGTAAAGAGTGGGTACTTTGTAAAGAGTGGGTACTTTGTAAAAAGTGGGCACCTTGTCAAGAGTGGGTACCTTGTAAAAAGTGGGTACCTTGTAAAGAGTGGGTACCTTGTAAAGAGTGGGTACCTTGTAAAAAGTGTCTCCTCAATAAAGAGGCGTAGCGGGGGGACATATGTCCCCGGGCGCCGACTTTAGGGGGGGGGGGGGCCAAATTGAAAGTTTGAAAGTTTGAGGGAGGTGCAAATGAAAAGTTGGATGGGGGTGCAAATCGAAAGTTTGTCCCCGGGCGCCGGAAAGGGTAGCTACGCCTCTGCCTCAATACAGATCTTGAAATAAAGATCATGCTGTATAAGAATGTTTAATATGGACCATATTTATGTGGCACAAACACCAATACATACAGTAGTTCTGACAAAAATCCACTCTTCTTTAAAATCTGTTTTTATATACCACACTTAATTTAACATAACATATTTTATGGCAACATAAGCCTACTGAACATCTGTTAGCAACTACATAGTTAAGTCCTAAGGGATTCTATCTATATAATGAATTGAAATTTTAACTCTTATAAATATGTGTTTTGCTATGTTATTAAAGCAGTAGTTCTTCTGACTGCCAACCCAAATGTCTAGAGTAAGAATCCTGGGTTATTGTCAGTAGAACATCCCTGATTCCACCCAGCTTAGGTGGGTACCTGAGTTATGTTAGGGGTCACTGAAACAGGTGAACTCTACTTCAACTGCCCTTTGGACTAGCAGTTTCGAAATAGTACTTTACTAGACATAAAGAATCCATCTAACAAGTGTGCTAATTTTTTGCAGCTGTATTTCATCTGGATCACTGGCAGCCAGCGCCATTTTGAGTGGCTGATTGACATCCTGAGGGAGGTGGAGGAGATCGACACCGAGGGCATGGTGTCTATAGACATCTTCATCACACAGTTCTTTCAGAACTTTGATCTTAGGACCTCCTTACTGGTGAGTTTTTAATTAGTTGGTAGCATCCATAGACATCTTCATCACACAGTTCTTTCAGAACTTTGATCTTAGGACCTCGTTACTGATGAGTTTTTAATTAGTTGTCGGCACCTCCTTACTGGTGAGTTTTTAATTAGTTGGTAGCATCCATTGACATCTTCATCACACAGTTCTTTCAGAACTTTGATCTGAGGAATTCCTTACTGGTGAGTTCTTGATTAGTTGGTAGCACTTTATTACTGGTAAGTTTATATTAGGTTGGTAGAGTTGTATTTCTATTAAGATTTTATTGTGATGATTTTGTAATGTAGTAGAGGTTTTAGTGGTAAATCCTTACTGGTGTGTTGAAATATGTGTGGTACGTCATGGAAATGTATAAACCCAAATTATGAGAGGATAATAAATTAATTATAAGAGTGAGTCAATGCTACAATATATCAAAACCTATTGCCTCTTTGTCAGTCACAAATATATTGTGATATATAGTTCACCACTGATTTACCAACAATTCAGTTTTATTTAAGAAAAAACAGTTATTTAAATTTAAAATATTTTTTAGCAAAGATTCTAACTTTTCCAATGTTTTTTCTTTCAGTATATTTTTGAGGAACATTTCCAGAAGATGAATGGGGGGAGAAGTGTTTTCACAGGTCTGAAGGCCACGACACATTTTGGTCGGCCTCAGATGAACAAAATCATGGACGCTGTCCATAGGGCTCACCCACAGGTACGTGTTACGTAAAGGTTTTCTTTGATCTACTTTGCTGCATAAGGGAGGATCTATTTAGGTTTGTAGACTGTAAAGTACATCATACAGGTGGAGGGTGAAGCTGTTTGAATCATAGAAAGCCAATCAATGTCTGAATGTTAGTGATAAGTTTTGGAAAACTAAAATTGATTTAAATAAATGCACTCTACTTCATCTACCCTATAGACAGTTAGTTTGAGAAAGTACTTTACCCACTGTACGACCAAATCGCCTCCCTTAAAATAATCCTGCTTTGTTCCCCAGACAAGAAAAGTGGGCGTGTTCAGCTGTGGACCACCAGGTGTGACCAAAGGTGTGGAGCGGGCATGTGTTGACACCAGCAAGGTCACCAAGGCCATGTTTGAACACCATTTTGAAAACTTTTAGGCCAAATGTACCAGTGTGACCAAACTTGTTGAGCTTTTTTTTTAATCACGACATGACTCCAGATATTTTAATAATTTCCAACAAACTTTTTATTTGCTCTTACAGCTAAGTGCCTTAGGAAGGATACAATTATACTTTATTCTTTAAGAAAATCCAAACTATTTTGGAAAAACCTTTTACAGTTTAAAAAAAAATGCTTGTTTCAGTTATAAAAAAAACATTAACTTTACAGGCACTCTTAGAAGTGTCTAACTTAGCACTTTGTCTTTCCTTATAGATAAGTGTAGAAATATTATTTATATGTACACTTTATGCAAGTATAGCCATGTGTACTCATACTGCTGAGACGTATTTTGACATACATTTACTTGATATACATTTTGATCATATTTGTGATATAATTTGTGAGTGTAAATTTGTGTACAGTGTTGCCTGTTATTTTACTGATCTTGTTGTAATTCTTACATGCCAAATGTTTTATTTTATAAATAATTGTACATATCTTTGTGAATCCTTTTTACATGTATTTTGTTTTCATTTTTGGTGATATATTTCTAAGAATTTTTTCCTCTAACTGATAGATTAGCTAGTTGTAGACATAACTGGTGGGTTTTGTAATCTAAGTGGTTTACCTTTAGTTTTTAAAAGATTTCCATAACTATATTTCCATTCCATATTTTTAATGATTTATGTTTTAATGAATGTAATTTATTCAAGAAAAAATTAATAATTTGTTAAGATGGTACATGATTTTCTTAAAAATAAGATTTTTTAAATGCTTAGAACCAGAAAATATAACAAAAGTTTTAACCATAATTTAAAAAAAAGAACAATTATTATAATCCATAATTTTAAAGTAAGGACCGGAAATTTAATTTATTCTAGAATAATATGTTAGTATTTTTGTGATCAGAAACATAGCTAAGAACCTATTAAGTGTATTATAAAGCACTGCAGCAAATTTTAAGATCTGTCATATGTTATCTAGAAAATTAAATTCACATTGAATATTTTGTTTTGTTTATGAATTTAGAGAGAGAGAGAGTGTGTGTACTTAAACTAAACACAGTCTTTGTTATAAGCTGTTAAAAGCAGTGTCTGTAATGAGTTACTATTTTGGATCTGAGAATAGGGTCAGTAGGGTATAAGAAGTAGTAGAGTTCAATTGTCTTTGGGACCCAGGGTGTATGAAAGAATAGTGTGGTCAGCCCTATGTCCAGCTGGTGTATGTGAGTCTGGCTGGAATCAGAGCTTAGTGGCCTCTTGGACGTCATACAGACCCAAACAAAAGACCAGATAGCAGTTTTGCATGCCACTTCCCATACGAAAATGGTGAATATATATTTTATTATTCCCAATGAGCTTTAATTGTCAGTCCCATGAAAAATGGAACAGTGGTCTCTACTATTACAGTGGGAATTCTGACTTGCATTAAACTGACAAGACTATGCAGATAGATTTTTCACTACAAAAAAAGTTAATGGTAAGTAAGGAGGAAAATTGGTAAAGTCGAGATTTTTGTTTCCATTTGTTTGTCAAAGCAACAGGTAAAATGAGATGGAATAAGAATTATGGATGAAATTGATTTAATTAATTAGTAAAACTGAAACAATTGTTTAATGCTGATCACACCTGAGACCTTTAGAGCTTTACATCTCTATAAGATTGTTGCACAAGGTGAAAGGAAACCAATCTCCTCCTTCCTCAGTTAATGTTGGGTACTCATTAGAGCTGAGTGAAGCCACGATTAAATTTCTTGTAGTATTAAAATCTTCTGAACCTAAGTCTGAGATCAGTTGCACTGCTGTGGTTCTGTCGCAAATTGGTCACGCCCCAGAAAGCAACGCCCCCACCCCCCTCCCCAAGCATCAACCCAACAAGTGACACCTCATCAAGAGACACCCCACCAAATAACACCCAACCAAGTTACACCCCACTAAATAACACTCTGCCAAGTGATAGCCCTACCATTTGAAACTCCACCAAGTGACACCCAACTGAATTACACCCCACCAATTGACACCCCACTAAATCGCAGCCCACCAATTGACACCCCACTAAATTGCACCCCACCAAGTGACACCCCACTAAATCGCAGCCCACCAAAAGACACCCCACTAAATTGCACCCCACCAAAAGACACCCCACTAAATTGCACCCCACCAAAAGACACCCCACTAAATCGCACCCCACCAATTGACACCCCACTAAATTGCACCCCACCAAAAGACACCCCACTAACTCGCACCCCACCAATTGACACCCCACTAAATCGAAGCCCACCAAGTGACACCCCACTAAATTGCACCCCACCAAAAGACACCCCACTAAATCGCAGCCCACCAATTGACACCCCACTAAATCGCAGCCCACCAAGTGACGCCCCTGTCTGATCAAAACCCTCTGAAAGTGTCATCTATAACACAGTCTGGTGCCTAGCCATGAAAATTCTCGATGTTTAGTCTATCCGAATAAAAACAATTACAAAATATATTTTACTAGCCGTCCCGGCCAGGCCCTGCTCTGGCTTCTGTGAAAAACCTTTCTGTTAAAGACCATTACCTGTGTGAAACGCAAACATAACGCTAACACAACTACAAATACAAACACAAACAAAAACCTAACAACAAACCCAACCACAACCACAAACACCAATACAAACACAAAGAAAAAACAAACAAAAAAGCAAACGAAAACAAAAACCTAACAACCAGTGGCGGAACTAGAAAAAAAAGGCTCCCCCGCAAAAAAAAATTTTGGGCCCCCCCCCTATATGTATATATATATATATGTATATATATATATATATATATATATATATATATATATATATATATATGTATATATATATATATATATATATATATATATATATATATATATATGTAACTAGTGGAGTTACCAGGGACGATAAGAACGTATTACAGTCTGTCAACTTTGACATGACCAAGGCCAAACTGGGCTGACGCAACAGTGCAGGTGGTCTAATAATCGGATTGTACGACAGAGCTGCGCAATTAATATTCTGATGCAACGATTAGAATCGATTACGAATACGATTACGAATACGAGGAGATAATATAGGAAGGAGACAGTTGAGAACGGGAGTATCAAGTTGGTTATTGAACGGTGTAGACGTGTGTGTTATGTGAGGATAGGAATTAGGGACACGTGCATTCTGTTATGTGAGGACTAGTGAGGACAGTGGGGGTCAGTTGGTTCATTGTATTCTTGTGGAACATTGATGCATTTTTATGTGGAGCATTTCTATTGATTCATGTAATAAAGAGATCAATGTAAACCTGCATTTCCGAGTATCTATATTGTGGTCGATGTTGTGTGCTGGTCAAAGGTAGCACGAGTAAATACACTCGGTAACACTTGGCTCTGTCAGCAGTGAAATCGGTAACATTTGGCACTACAAGCAAATAGACTCGGTAACATATATATATATATATATATATATATATATATATATATATATATATATATATATATATATATATATACCTAAGTAGCCCGCTCCACTAAATTTTAAATAGTGTATTACCTGAGTATTTTAATCAATTTTATAGCAATATATAACCACTCTGAGATAACGAACCAGGTAAGAATAAGTCCGAACTCATTTCGGGCCCGTAATAATCGTGTTTTACATTTTTTTTTCTTTTTTTTTTGTTATTTTTTTTTTTTTTAATAAAATCGTGTTTTACAAATGTTTGTATTACGTTTTATGGTTACCGAAAATTGCCAAATAATGTTGGCTGGTCAAAATTATATAAACACGTAAGCTTGATTTTGCAATGGTTTCTCGCGTTATGTTTATTTTTATGATTTTTTTGTATTTATATTAATAGTTTTGAATACATTCATTTTTATAGCTATAGAATTCTTTAGTATGCCTCATTTAAATAATAAATAAGAGAATAAATGGCTCTTTAATTTACATAGTACAAAACTATTTAAATGAGCTTTGTGGGCACTTGTGTTTTAATGAAGGGCAGTAAGTCATGGAAGTAGTGTGAACGTTTGCCTATCTTTCAAAGCAGAGCTCTTGTAGATTTTATATTTTTCTACGCAACAGTGTGTGTTAGTTACTGTAGAACAATCACAGCTACAGTAGACCTGTTTGTTTTTTACAAAACTACTATCAAGGTGCACGAAAAACATTATTTATGAAAAGAAAATTCATTGTTTTTTTGGTCGGAATTGGGCCCCTAAACGTCGTGGGCCCCCCCGCATTGCGGGGTCTGGCGGCACTGTAGTTCCGCCCCTGCTAACAACAAACCCAACCACAAACACCAATACCAACAAAAAAAAAAAAAAAACGAAAAAGCAAACGTAAACAAACCAAATCCAAACGCAAAACCAACCAAAAACACAAATACAAACCCAAAGAAAAAAACACAAACAAAAACGAAAAAAGAAAGAACAAAAACGAACCAAATCAAAACGCAACCACTAACGCAAACCCACCTAAACACAAAGAAAACACTAACGCGAACATAAACGCCCGGGGCGGAATCACCTGTTTTAGCTTAATGAACGACTATAGTACCCCAACTTATTCATAGTCTTTTGCACTCACTTAAACGAACGCGCCTGTTTCAATTTGATGAACAATTATAATACTCCAAGCTTATCCGTAAAATACCTACAACATTTGCACTTGATCAATCCCCGCTAATTATGTAATTATTTTTTTTTCCCAACACCAAAACAAAGTAATTAAAAAGTAAATACTTTTCACAAAATGCAATGGTTTTATAAAGGGAAGTAATTGTGTTTTCCTAATTTATCAAAGGGAAGTAAGTGCTATAGGACTAAATAAAGACATGATTAGAATTGTTGTAAAAGATGATATTTTTTTTTAAACTTGTGTTAAATGAACATGCCGACAATTATTACTGTAATTTGAAAAATGAAAATGATTTCCCAACACTTTCAATAGTAATTTTTTAACTCATAAATTTAGACAAATGCGCACGCTAATTGTCTAACACTTAAATCCATCCAAGACCATCGACAAACATATGCGTTACATACAGAACTGAGCTTTATATATTAGACTAGCCGTCCCGGCCAGGCCCTGCTCTGGCTTCTGTGAAAAACCTTTCTGTTAAAGACCATTACCTGTGTGTTTAGTAATCATCATAAACCCGGCATTGCCCACCCAAACCACAACCAACCAAAACCAAAACAACAAAACGCAAACATAACGCTAACACAATTACAAATACAAACGAAAACAAAAACTTAACAACAAACACAACCACACCCACAAACACCAATACAAACACAAAGAAAAAACAAACAAAAAAGCAAACGAAAACAAAAACCTAACAACAAACCCAACCACAAACACCAATACCAACAAAAAAAAAATCAACGAAAAAAGCAAACGAAAACAAACCAAATCCAAACGCAAAACCAACCAAAAACACAAATACAAACCCAAACAAAAAAAACACAAACAAAAACGAAAAAAGAAAGAACAAAAACGAACCAAATTAAAACGCAACCACTAACGCAAACCCACCTAAACACAAAGAAAACACTAACGCGAACATAAACGCCCGGGGCGGAATCACCTGTTTTAGCTTAATGAACGACTATAGTACCCCAACTTATTCACAGTCTTTTGCACTCACTTAAACGAACGCGCCTGTTTCAATTTAATAAACAATTTTAATACTCCAAGCTTATCCGTAAAATACCTACAACATTTGCACTTGATCAATCCCCGCTAATTATGTAATTATTTTTTTTCCCAACACCAAAACAAAGTAATTAAAAAGTAAATTATTTTCACGGAATGCAACGGGTTTATAAAGGGAAGTAATTGTGTTTTTCCTAATTTATCAAAGGGAAGTAAGTGCTATAGGACTAAATAAAGACATAATTAGAATTTTTGTAAAAGATGATATTTTTTTAAAAACTTGTGTTTAATGAACATGCCGACAATTATTACTGTAATTTGAAAAATGAAAATTATTTCCCAACACTTTCAATGGTAATTTTTTAGCTCATAAATTTAGACAAATGCGCACGATAATTTTCTAACACTTAAATTCGTACAATTCCAAGGACATACAAATGCATTACATACAGAACTGAGCTTTATATATTAGATTGTCACGTTTGGACCTTATAAATACGAAATTTAAAAATCACCAGTTTAATTCAGGTCTTTTTTTTTTGCTTAGTTTTGAGATCACTTTCAAATACGGTAGGCCTTCCTGCATTTAAAAAACAAAATCTTTGTTCAAGAAAATCTAAAGTTTCTTAAAAATTAATTGGCCAAAATATTCTGACAGCCAAATAAGCTTCTAAATACACCGTAATATCGGTGACATCAAAATCTGGTGTTATTGGTCTAGAAAAAAAAATTGAAAATAAAACATGGGTAATGAGGTCACCCTAAACCTCTTTTAGGGAAATTAATTTTATAGAATTTAATTTTTGGAAACAAGTTGTTTTTAAAGGTAAGCAATTAAGGGGAACAAAATGATGAAAAAAAAAACTAGTGAACATTTCTAGATAACTTTTCGAAAATGCAGAGCCTTCTTTCCCATTTTTGCATTCATTTATTCCTTAGTTTTATAACATTTCATACGACTATATAAAAAAATGAACTATGATTAAATTAAGCAGGATAGTCTATTGAAATTTGGTCTGAAAATAAATCTAATTAACTTTAGCGACCGCTCTCTTCGTTTTCAATTTTCTTGCCTCGGCATTTTTTAACTTGTCTTTCTGTTGACTAAAATTTGATTAAAATTCATTTCTTAAAGGCCATGTATTAATATCCTCTAAATTGAGTTTTTAATCAGTATTTCTAAAATTATTTTTTTTAATTAAAATGTAGTTTAAGACTTTAAAATTGCTGTAATGTTTTTAGCGAACGCAAAAAAAAAAGAATAAAAAAAAAGAAAAAGAAAAAAAAGAAAGAAAAAGAAAGAAAAAGAGCACAGGCTGAAATAGCAAAGAGGCAAATGTAGGCAGCGGTAAATGTGAGATAACATAGGAATGAGAGTGACAAGATGTTATTGGAAAAATTAAAAGACTGCGGAATTTTCTTGCAGAACACCACTTTTATATTCTTCTGGTCTACACATTTGGACCGCAATAAATGTGGTCAAAATGGATACAATTCAAATCATGAAGCTCCGACTGTTTCTTAATCCTATTCAATTACCTCCCCTAATCCGTGGAATCAGGGAGGTGTAATTGAAACAAGTTATCGCCCCTGGACGGAGGGACGAACTGAGGCGAGGCGGGGATTACTGGGACAAGATAACCGTGTCAGGGGGACGTGTTCGGATCACGGGGGGATGAACATGTCCGGTCTACTCACGCGTCTACGTCTGTGTTTATGGCTTCTTACGTCCAATTATTTTCTTACGCGCGTGACGAGAGTTCAGAACTAGTCATACACCCGGGGGGGGGGGGGGGGGGGGGGAAGGCTTCGTGGCAGCTTGCTCGTACAAGGATTCGTTGCTCGTCCGTTAGCCGTACTCTTCAATTGGTGTAGTTTTTATTAAAGATTTCAATATTTGATTCTTTTTTTCCATTCCAATCTCCCCCCCCCCCCCCCGACACACACACCAACACCACTAAAAACACAACTAATACGAAACCGCGCGTGGTCGATCGATAGAGCGCACGACTGCTAACCCAAAAGCTTCGAAAGTCTTGAGTCCGTAGGACTTCATTGAGTTCAAATAGGGAAGCCTAAGCGGTTGGGCATAGAACTGATCACACTACTCTTTACAAGGGTCACAGAATCAGATGAACGTTACCTCATTAGCCCTATGGACTGTCTGGTCCCAAAAAGTAGCTTTACTCTGGGTTTTTAAAAACTACCACTAGCATTAGATTTAAACATAATCTCACGAGATAAACCATCTTTATCGGCATTTCCTACTATATACATTTCTGGACACTGCTCATCGATACCAATTAATTTGCGACATTTGTTGCATTAGAACAGAATACAAGTAGGCCTATATCACGTGCTTAAGACACATGGAATAGATGACGTGAGATGTTCCCATCAGAGTTGGGTAGATTCAGGGACGTAGTTTACTGACGTGAGATGTTCCCATCAGAGTTGGGTAGATTCAACGACGTAGTTTACTGACGTGAGATGTTCCCATTAGAGTTGGGTAGATTCAGGGACGTAGTTTACTGACGTGAGATGTTCCCATCAGAGTTGGGTAGATTCAGGGACGTAGTTTACTGACGTGAGATGTTCCCATCAGAGTTGGGTAGATTCAGGGACATCCTACTTACAGACTCGAGCCTGAAATCCGAACCTACGACTTGCAACTTAAGACTGATAGCGTTGATAAAATGCGGAAACTGTGAAACAAAAAGGCAATGGATTCTGATCATCAAAGTTAATTAACTTCTTAATGATTTATTTTTAATTAGAGGGTCTTGGTTGATCCTAAAATCAGATGCATATTTCAGGAATTGACTACGTAATTTGTGATTCTAGTTGACAGAGAGAGAGAGAGAGAGAGAGAGATAGTTTATATATGGCATTCTTCAGGAAAAAAAAAGGAAGGGGGTGGAAGGGTGGGGGGGGGGCAGAGCACGTCATCCGCCCACTCGGTGAAAAAGGAAAATTATTTATCATTTATATAGACAATAAATACTTTGAGCTGTGTCCGGAAGTTTCAAATGCACCCGCAGGGAAAAATGTCTGTAACACTGATAACATAAGATGGACAACATGGTCTGTGATTATAGAAAACTCAAAAATACATAGGACTAAAGACCGCGACACAATGGATCCTGCACATACAGTAAAAAATCCGACCATAAAAGCACTATAAAAGCATCACAACAATACCCTTCACATCTATTATTTCTGATTGGTATGACGAAACATCTGTGGGTTTTTTAAATGAATAAACAACTAAAAATCTTTGGTTACATCATCATTTTATGTAATGATCAAATTGTTCAAAAATAAGAAAGCCTAAATCACCTTCAAACTTTTACTATGACGGGCATAAAGGCAAATTAAAGCTCCAGAATTGTAAAGATATAACCTTATTTTTTAAGACACATTCACATCTTACTTTCCACCCCCTCTCCATTCAAAGACATCTTTATCCGACGCATCTTGCATCTTTTTCCAAGAAAAAAAAAGATCAGCTTTTGGAGTGGGTTGGGGAATCTTTGATGACCCTCTAGTGTCATCATGACATGATATGTGTGTACATGGCTCAACCATTGAATATTCAACATACACTGATCAAAGTTTTACAACAAACAACATACAACACCGATGTTCTATACACACACGCATATATATATATATATATATATATATATATATATATATATATATATATATATATATATATATATATATATATATATATATATATATATATATATATATATATATATATATATATATATATCATTATATGTAATCTAAAAAACTTTAACAAAGTAAGACGATAGTAGCCCTACATATTATTTGATTTAATGTTTTTAAATGTCAATTTATATCTTGGTGTTTAGGGTGAATTAAGGGGGCAGTATTTTTTTTTTTTTTTTTTTTTTTTTTTTTTTTTTTTTTTTTTTTTTTTTTTTTTTATACTTTATTTATACATAAACATTTACAAAACGTCTAAAATACCTATTTACCCTGGTTTCTCTTTCAGAAACCGACGAGTGACTTCGAGGAGCGAGTCCTCACATGGTGTACCTTTGTATGCTCCTTCATGCCCTCTAATGGGAGGGATACGGTACAATCTCGGCAGTCATACAGTGTTACTTCTTGATGATTTTCTGCAAAGTGCGCGTATATGTCTGTGTGGTACCCTTTGTCTACACAAAGATCACACCGTAAGAATCTATAGTGCATTCTATGTTCGTGCTTTTCCGTTTCCTCAGCTGTTCTATTTTGTTCTGGGCAGAACCTACAGCGTTTGTTGTCATGAGTAAATTTTTTACTTTTTATTATTTTTTTCTCCTCTGTGGGGCTATCTTCCTTCTTCCTTTTGAAGCTTGCAAGAGTGGTGTCCATGTCTGAGAAAAAGAACGGAGCGTTCAATGTTAGAGCTCTTGACGTAGCTGGTTTGTCTGACTTCGACCTTGCTGCAGTTGCTTGTTTGCTTGGTGTTGATGGTGTACTTGCCGGCCTGGATGGGTTGATAGGTTTTTTGATCGTTGCTTGTTGTTTGCTTGGTGATGGTGTTGTCTGGGCGGGTAGTGCTTCTAGCTGGCTGCTTGTTGTTGGAGGTGGCTTGGCGATTGGAGTTATTTGCTGTCTGCTTGGTGTTGTTGCTGGTTGGTCGGGTGGCGCTGGTTGTTGTGCTGGGGGCTGTTTTTTGGGCGGTGTTTTCGGGTTCGGTGCTGCGTCTTCGGTTGAGGAGTGTTGCTGATTACTTGGCATGGGGCCTTGTAGAGCAGATGGAGCTGTAGATTGTGCTGGTATTTGATCATTAGGCGTTGATTCTAGGTTGAGAGTTTGACAGCGGTTGGTCCAGTGTGAAGTTGACGAGCAGGTTTGGCAGGCTTGTTTTCTGTCGTTGATGGCTATTAGGATGTTGTGTGACTTGTTTCTGTAGTTTAATTGGATGTAGTGGGGGATGTTTGCTGGATTGTCAGTGTGTATGGAGAAGCTACGGTTGGTGGTGAGAGGGATTGTGTATATGGAAGGTTCTTTGTTACTGTAGGGTTGTAGTGCTTTAATGAGTGTGCGATCGCTTAGTGTAGGTGGGACCCACCTAAGGGTTCCGTTGACTCTGTTCTTTTCGTGTAAAGTGAAGAATAGTGTGTAGGGACCGTGTGTTTTGTGTGTGTTGTGTAGGGTGGTGACGTCGAAGGCATTTGAGGGGGCAGTATCACCCAGACAATAGAAAATTTACGAAGGATTATTCCTCGGCAATATCAGTAGTAAGCAAAGTGCTGAAGGATAGTTTAAGCCAAATTTTAAGCAATTTACTTATGGTTTCGGAAAATTATTTACAAACAAATTAGAAATGCAATAAAATATTAACATATCATGTTTTAGAGAAATTGTTGCCATTTATTTACCTAAAAAATTATATGCTTTCTTATAACTGACAATTTGTTACTACCACTGTAAAAATGCGACATAAGTATGTCTAATAGCTATTTTTTGGTGAATATTTTTGTTACTCCCCCTTAGTCTGGGTAATACGGCCCCTTTAAATTTACTTGTTATAAAGTTGTCTAAAAAACAACTTTTGTACATGGTACAAATGATTCCTATTTAGATAGATCGCTGCTAACATAAATCTAGTGGCAGTGATATTACTTTAACCCTATCATAAAGCAAGTTTTGATCCATAATTTTATATGTAGGCCTATTTCCCTCCATAACTAAGTTTATTCATAACTTGAATAATGAAATCAAGTGGCGACGACGGGTGGGGACGGGGGGTATTGTGGGAGCAAGGTTGGGGTAGGGGATGTTTCAATGAGCGCGGTCATGGCACCAATAAAATGGCAACTCTGTGAGGCCGCCTGCTAACCCCGCCATCCCTTCCCACACACTTCCCACCTTGCTTACGGAGCTAGCTATAAAGCCTTCATCGGCCAACTCGGGGTGCATTTTCGATCCACAGTTTCGTACGACTCGCGGCAGTGACGTGGGACTGCCTTTGCTGGCTGAGGCGGGTGAGTTCTTATAATGTATCTTGTTTGAGTTCTTCTTCTTGTTTGAGTTATTCCTCTTGTTTCAGTTTTTCCTCTTGTTTCTTATAATTGTAAATTTGTAATCCTAATATAAAAAAAGCCCACGTGCGCAATTCTTTCTCTGTCTGTCGTACTTTGTCCGAAGCTATGAGATCAAAACCTATTGTATGTGTAGACCTTGAAAATGCGTACTTTGATAAAAAAAATATGCTGCTAATATAGGCTATATAAACTTAATTTTATTGATAGAGAATAATAAAATAAAGACATGTGCAAAAGTAAAAAATCAATTTGACTATGCATTACTTAAAGTCAGATTTTGTTGAATACTTACTCTTCAGCGAACTTTTTATTTTTAATAGCAAATTCAATAAATTGAACAAACTCAAAGAGCCTGAACATAATTTTATTTCAAGCTATGTGCATTTACTTTTGAGCACTTGACTTTAAAAAAAATTGACTTACTAATTAGTTCTAATCTTTTCTTTTGTTTTCAAATGAACTTGGCTTGTTGGAACAATTGATCGGGCTTGTATCTAGGGATGTTTGAGCTCCCCCAGCTAGCACAAAAAAAAAAAACAGAACCCTGCGTGGTCTAATGGTAGAGCGTATGAACGCTGACTCGACATTTTCAAGTTCGAACCTCGGGTTCGAGTCCACACAGGTCTGACCTACGATAGGAAAAGTAAGGGCGGCTGAGCATCTTGCTGCACTCACTATTAGTTTACATGCCGAGCCCTCAGCTCTACTTTCACATTCGCATTGGCCGCCACGTTTGAAAGTGTAACTTTATTAAACATGTTTGAAATTATAAGACATGAAATAAGAAATATGATGCTTATCTCTGTTAGAACCTTGTACGTAGTTTAGTTTTAATTTTGACCAGCATGAAATAAAAAATATGATGCTTATCTCTGTTGGAATCTTGTACGTAGTTTAGTTTTAATTTTGACCAAACTTTTGCTGCTTGAATGGAAATGAAATCTATATATATAATTCTCTTCTGGAAGCCGTTAGAAAACAAGCTGCAAGCGCCTCCTTGCAGTCCCCTCTCTTTCTCTCTATCACTATCACTACCACCCCCACCCCACCCCCACATTGTCCGGTGAGCTGTGGTCACGCTAAATGTTTACAAAGCTAAATGTTTACAAATCGTAGAGCCGGGTTTCTATTAGGGGCAGATAATTTAGTTCGATTTTAAACTTACAGGAAGTAACTAAGAAATAACTAAGAGGAGGATGCTTTCACGGGGGGGGGGGGGGGGGGGGGGGTGTAGGGTCGGGGTTATGGGAAAGGGGGGGGGTTAGTGTTTTAAAGTAAATATTTTCAGTGGCAGCATTGGTACTGTCGAATTCACAAATTATGAATTACTGAAAAGTAGAAAATAATACAACTAAATAGCGGCGTATGATACGCTGCTCGTGAAATAATAATACAGAGACTGGTTGCTAGGGAGACGCTCGTCAACCTGGCTGGGTTGGCGAGTGACCCCTACTACTGCCGGCAACCCGAGGGGTTGTTGAGTGGCCCTTAACTGTCGGCAACCCGCGAAGTCTGTGAGTAACCCATTCTGTCATTATATTGTTGTGTATTGAGTGACCCATTGCTACTGTCGTTATATTTTTGGGTATTGAGTGACCCTTAATTGTCGGTAACTCGCTGGGTTGTCGAGTGACCCATTCTGTCATTATATTATTGTGTATTGAGTGACCCATTGCTACTGTCATTATATTTTTGTGTATTGAGTGACCCGTGCTGCCCGGTGCCTCACGTGAGCACGTGACCCTAGAACCCCCTCGTTTTGTTGCATAACATTCCTCGGTTGAATGATTTTAAGAATCTCTCGTTAATTAAAAATTATTTCGAGAAAAAAATATTTTCAAATCTTTAAATTTATATTGCAATAAAATACCTCTTTTGTGCCAAACTAAATCCTAGATGAACATCTAAGCCATAATTTCATCTAACATCTAACCTAACATTTATTGAAACATCTGTCCTTTCATCTAATAGAATAACGAGCCCATCAATTAACCTCAGTGGCGTCGCTAGGTCGGGTGTCACCAAGTGCGGCACCTCGTGGTGTTACCGCCCCCCCCCCCAAAGATAATATATATATATATATATATATATATATATATATATATATATAAAATATGTGTGTGTGTGTGTTTGCGTCTCCCTACATAGGCCTATAATTTTAACATATGCCGCATACGCGTACATTTATGTGCATAAGCTTTAATAACGACAGACTTAATAGTACTAATGTTTATCTATAGTATGTTATTAATACAGTTGGATGTAGCATTGTTTTCTCTATAGTTAACTTGGTTACGTCATGGTGTCACCCTCTTGTATTATTTTTCGATTTGTAATATAAAGACTATTTAACTTGAGTTTTTCATTAATGGAACTGGCTAAAAAAGCATTTTTCTTCTGTACATTTTGCAATTTTTTTGCCATTGTGTCAACCCCCCCCCCCCTAAATGGTGACACCCGATGCAGTACGCAACCCCCCCCCCCCGCCCCACCCTCTCTACGCTTCAAATTAAACTTACACTAACATTACGTCTAACCCAACAACTAACATGACATCTAACCTAACATCCAATCTGACATTTCACTTGACATCTAATTTGACATCTAAGCTAATTATTAACCTAAGATATAACCTAACCTCAAAACTAACATCTTATGAAACATCGAAACTTGCAATAAACCTCATATTTAACTTCACACTCAGTCAAATAACTAACTAAAAACCCCAAGACACTAAATTGAAATAAACCTATTTACTTTTTTGTGAACGTATATGTGTGTGCGGCATTGGATAAGATATTAAAATATAATACATTTTGATTTTTTTAAATGCTATACAAAATTATATTTTAAAAAATACTGACTTAAAATATTGCGCTGCAAAATTTATATTAGCTATTGATTAATCTGTAAAATGTCAAAACAAATCCAGAAATTTTTGAATCATCTTCCGTTTTCTTAAAGTTTCCTTTAAGAAAACTAATCATCAAAAGAAAATTACGACAGCACTATTCAAACGTATTCTCAAGATTTTCTTCAGGTGACTAGTTGAAACAAGTAGTTTTTGCCAAAATAATGATTTTTTTTCAAATTAACTTTGTATACAGCAGTCTTGTGCAGCTTATACAGACTTAAGTTGTTGGTGGAGGGTGGGTGGGTGGGGGGGGGGTGGAAGTCAAGCAGTGACGTCAGAGTAGGTCACGTCATTTCAAACATTCTCTAGGATCGTGTACGTAGACATTCACAACCTGATGTCGGCTTGTAAGTGCTACATCCGTAGCTGTCAGTGACAAGGACATGTTAACAAAGACTCGTCAACATTCTGACGGAGTCACTGTAGAATAATAATTGAACACTCCGTTTGAACATTTCATTAAGTGAATGACGACACTTTGTTCATGAACAAACAAAACACTGATTAAAGTAGGAATTATAAAAAAATATTACTTAGGGCATAATATTGGCATAAACCTTCATTTAATGCATGTTGAAAACATAATAGAAAATGTCAGAATATGACAACAACTGTTCGACGCTCAGCAAATGCCAGTTTCTACATAACCCCGAGATATAATCGACGATGCGCTAGTATTGTCTTATTCATACTTTGATTACACGTACACTTACACGTACACTTACACGCACACACACACACACACATATATATATATATATATATATATATATATATATATATATATATATATATATATATATATATATATATATATATATATATATGATCCCATTTTAACCTCCCTATGTCACCCCAAAGGTAAGGGGGAAAGACTTTATTAGACGGTGGGAAGGTAGGGAGTGGTTGTGAGGAAAAAAACAATAGTGGATATATGATTAAACGACCGCCTTATTAAACACAGATACATTGTTTGGTAAAAAAAATATAGTTTTGCTTTATTTTGAAGCGTACACTTCTTTAATTATTAAATAAAGTAAATTACTTTATCATCTCGGTTGGCATTGTTTTAAAATAAATCATTTGTAAAAAGAGTGTGTGACGTCAGACAAATTGTTTCCCTTTGTATGCAGATTGATTCTTACTTGAAATCTCTCAAATCCCCAGGAGCATCGATTGTCTCCCCTCTCGCATAGTTCGATGCATGGGTTATCTCTGAACTGCTGCAACGTAGTTTTTTATTTTCGTATTTTTTAAACTTTAAAAAATATTTTTGTTTTGTTTTTGTCTTTTACGTAGGAAACAAAGCGGCCCTTAATAGAAACTTCGCTGTTGCTTTTTATAGACTGGAGAAGGAAACGCTATTTTCATTGCACAAAGAAAGTACAAATAATTAATTGGCAATTAACCCTTTAAAGATGTTGGATTAATTACGGGATTGAAGGAAAAACTTTATGAGTATTTTTTTTGGAAACATTAAAGAGAAGGGCTGTAGGTTTATTGAGAGTAGGAGAGGGAGAGGATGTGGGAGAGGAGATTGAATTTGGAGAAATAGGAGGGGGTAGGGTCTGTAGGTAGGGAAAACATTATTTGACGCAACTTTTTTTCATAGGTTGTACTTCGGCAATATAATTGCCTACATTTATAATTCAACCCTTAACTTAGAAGCACACATATTCATGCTTCAATATTAACTTAAACACATCCACATCCATAACACTTATATCCATAATTCAACATTAACATACACCTATATTCATAATTAAACATTAAATTTAACACATTTATATCAATAATTAACATTAAATTAAACACACTTATATCCATAATTCAACTTTAACTTAAACACATCCATCTCCATAATTCAACTTTAACTTAAACACGCCTATATTCATACTTTAACCTAACTTAGCCACGCCTATATTCATACTTTAACCCTAACTTAGCCACGCCTATATTCATACCTTAACCCTAACTTAACCACACCTATACGTATTTTTGAACACTAAAAGCCAAACTTTATATGTAGAATAGTTCCAAACCTGCCGGTCTATGGGACAAGTGAAGTAGAGTTCACCTGTTTCAGTAAAAAACGGCATTTGAATGATAGTGGGGTCAGCACTGTTTACACTATGTGGAGTTTATAAAAACAAAAAACCACTACATACTGTGGCCATTTCAGCCGGTTAATACGACGGACTGGTCCTGGCCGGAGATGCCGTGAGTCTCCGCCGTAGTGCCAGACGTGTGCCTGTGATTGTCTGCGATTCAATTTTCTGCCTGTGATTAGTTTGACGGACATAGCCAGGTTTTTTAAAGCTGCGAGTTGTAAACAAAATGTCATTAACGTTGCTAGAATTTTGCTAGACCTCGTTCGCTTGCACTACACACGAGGGTTGATTCGAGTTATGAGCGGTACTCATGCACATTTCTGGGGTTCGAATTCTGGGGGAACCAAATCAAGAGAACAGATATTTTGGGGTTGTGTAAATGATTTAAACAATGCACTTTTACGTCAGGTCGCACAATGAAATGGCACATGGTATTGCTTATCACAATGTTATACATAGCAAACTTAGAATTATGAATCTTTCCTTTACCAAATAATCAGCTGATGTTTAAAGTCTTGAGTTTAGTTGACAAGCTTCATTCCATGCCATACCCTGAGTCCACCCAGCTGTAATGGGTACCTGACTTTAATTAGAAAAAGTAAATGTGTCGATGCATACTGCTGACCGTACAAATATACAGACTAGCTCTACTTCAACTTCTATTTAGACTGTTAGGTCTGTATGCTACATTAGTCTACATCGGCGTACTGGAAGAGTCAATATAATGGTACGCGATTTTAAAAATGGAATAATTAATCTCACTTTAACATGGTAGTTATCGACTTAACACATGCTCAGACAGACCACAATAAAACTATAAGTTGAGCATTTCTCTCGCTCACGTTAACAGTCACTAAACTCAACTAGCGTGTCTGATCACTAGACCACACAGCTTCCAACAGCTATTACAAAAGATTTCTAAAAACCCAACCTATAGTGTTTTACAACCTATTTTCGCCTATCACAAACATCCTTAAAAACATCACTAAAATACCCGAGTTGACCCATGATACGGACATTGTCCGGTATGTCTGTGGAGATTTGGTCATGATGTGAAAAGACAAACGTTAGTAATAAAATCTCACCTGTCTAACTCACCTGCATACCCTAGTGACCCGTCATCTGATTTGCTTGGCATGTTACAGATTCTGACCCCGCGTAATTCAAGTCACGCAACTACGTCACACACAGGTGAAAGATTAATTATAGAAACCATCGAATGTGCACAAAAACACTTTTTAGCAACATAATATTAAAGGATTTAAGATAAGAAATATAATTACCACTTTGTTTGGTTTTATCTCACTAGATGGAAATTCATGGCGTTTCGTCTTAATGTAACCCCTATTTCAAATCACCTCATGAAACTTAAATTTCCACCACCTCTGAAATGTATTATACACCTCAACTGAATTACACTCCTAACCTGAATTATACCCCAACCTGAATTACACCACCCCTCCCCCCTCTTAATTTGTATTCTATATACCATTGTGTCTCGCTGAAATTTTTATTTCAAACATTTTGTTTATCTATTTCTTTAGGCTAATCTGTAACTATCATTTTTTTAAATATAAATAGTAAAGAAATTTTCGATTTGTTTTTCCCTCAGAAATATTGATTAAAAACCCAACGGAAATGACGTCATTGTGTAGCTACGCCATCTTGCTGTTCGCCCTCATCTCCACCCTCCAGTATGTGACAGCCAGCGAGCGGGACCTAGTGGAGCTTGAGACAGAGGTCGACCCCGTAGAGGAAGCGGAACTCATGCTCAGCAGTTTCGAAAAACGCGGCTTCGCGGATAAACGGGGCTTCGCGGATAAGAGAGGCTTCGCGGATAAGAGAGGATTTGCCGACAAAAGAGGCTTCGCTGACAAAAGAGGGTTCGCTGATAAAAGAGGGTTCGCGGATAAAAGAGGGTTCGCTGACAAAAGAGGGTTCGCTGACAAGAAGAGCAGCATCTGGGACAAACGGGAACAGATGAACCCTATCCTGCTGAAATACCTGCGGCACCCGTACCAGCATCAGCCCCTGGCGATTGGACAGAACTCCCTGGCCAGGCTCCTGGCTCAGCAGGGATACTGGGAGTGACGAGACCCGCCCCGGTACCAGAGGGACAAAAGATATTTTAATGCGTATTTTAGAATTTAAGTACACGTAAATACATATATGATTAACATCATGTACAGTAACAGTTTTTTTTACGAAAACAATAATTAAAAAAATTTCACCAACACTGTTGTGCAGATATTAAAAGAAACATTTATATAAAGTAGTATAGTTGTAGACATTAGACATTTAGGTAGTTTTAAAATAATATATTTGCAATTACGATACATTCTTACACTAACAATACAACACAGAAGTTAGGACATTTAAATATTCACATTTCAATAGAGGCTTTTTTTCAAGTAGATGGTTTGCAATATGAAATTAAATAAAAAGATCTGATAAGAATGCCTATAAATACCACATTAAATTCAATTTATTTAAAGTTGTTTATTTCTTTATTTGTTGAGTTCGTATTGTTGCCGTTAGTTTAGTGACGATTTTTTTTCAATTTTTCTTATGGATGATGTGTTTGTGTGTGTGCCTGTGAGCGCGTGTATCTGTAGGTGTATGTGAGTGTATGTGTGTTTGTGTTGGTATGTTTGTGTGTGTTTGTGTTTATCTCGCCAGGTCAGTGTAGTTTTCGTCGTATCTTTAATTTGTGACTGTATGCTTGATGTGGGGTGACTGATGTATATCCTCTCCGATCACTACCCGACCAACCATCAAGAAAAACTAAAAATAGCCTGGTTTTCACTGGACTTTAAAAAATATCTGTGTGGGCTCGGTCTAGCTTGGTTCTCGGGCTGAGTCCGTGGGACATCTTTGAGACCAAGCATCCCTTATTGATACTAGTCTTACAGGAGAAAATAACTTCTGCTGAATATAGTGCTGACCTTACAAGACGATCAAACGTCAGGAAAAATAATGAAATGTACTCCATAAGACTGTAGGGTTTGAAAGGGTAGGTCACTTTATAGGCAAACGGACCAAAGATCTCGAGAGTTACTTCCCTTATGCTCAGACGAAATAGAAAACTTATTGTTAAACTCTGCTGTACAACCCTGATATAACATTTGAGACCAACTTTAAAGACAACTGAAATCCTGTGTCCACAATAACGTTTGAGATTAAATCTAAAAGTAGTCAGCTGAAATCATGCAATTACATTTGAGACCAACTTTAAAGACAACTGAAACCCTGTGTCCACAATAACGTTTGAGATTAAACCTAAAAGTAGTCAGCTGAAATCATGCAATTACATTTGAGACCAACTTTTCAAATAACTGGAACCCTAAGCCACTCGGTCACGTTTCGGGTAACTGCAAGATACAACAGATCAGCCAGCATGTAGTACTTAGCTCGGTGCGCGGACCTTTGACCACAGGTGCTTTGACCACAGCGGAGCTTTGACCATAGGGGCTTTGACCATAGGTGGTTTGACCACAGCGGGCCTTTGACCATAGCGGTGCTTTGACCATAGGTGGTTTGATCATAGGCTGTTTGACCATAGGGGGTTTGACCACATGTGTTTTCTCAGCAGAGGGTCTTTGATCACAGGTGGTCTATCAACGGGTGTTTGATCACAAGCGCTGTATCCAGCTTTGGTCATAGGTGTGATACAATTAACACGATTTTATACATGTTTCCTGAGAGTACGTTAATAGAAATTAACATGTATTTAAAAAAGCCAAGAATTATATTTTAGTCTCCACATAAAGGCTGGCGCTAGACCTCATAGATTTATTTTAAATATAAATGAAACACAAATAATGCGACATATAACAAGTTTCACAAATAAATAATGTAGAAGTACTTGAAAATACATATCATATATAAAGGATAAAAAATGAAACAAAACTTACCAAAAATATAGTCAAAGATGTAATACATAAAATGGTTAACTAAATGACAGATGTGCTATAGCACGCAAATATGTCAGTACATCTGTTTGACCATATTATTACATCATGTCGAAATTTAAAATATAATTTAGCAACTTTTAAAATAAATCCTTACCATATATGGACAGCATTGGACAAACCACCTGAGATCAAAGACCCTATGTGGACAAAACACCAATGATCAAAGCCGGACACATCGCTTGTGATCAAACACCCGTTGATAGACCACCTATGATCAAAGACCCTCTGCTGAGAAAACACCTGTGGTCAAACCCCCTATGGTCAAACCCCCTATGATCAAACCCCCTATGGTCAAAGCACCGCTATGGTCAAAGCCCCGCTGTGGTCAAACCCCCTATGGTCAAAGCCCCTATGGTCAAAGCTCCGCTGTGGTCAAACCCCCTATGGTCAAACCCCCTATGGTCAAAGCACCTGTGGTCAAAGGTCCTATGACCCTTAGCTCCGCTTGTAGGTCCTTGGTATAGTTCATCCAATTCTCTACTTCACATTTATCTATTCACAGATTAATTAACTGAATCTAGATAAAAATACACGCCTTTGTAAAGGAGACTTGAGAATGTGGCTTTGAACTTTGTTTTGTTGAATGCGAGTTACCGATTGATGTATACATGCGCCAAAACAACATCGTTTAGAAAAACGTCAACTTATCATAAGGCTGACGTTTATGTGTTTAGGTGCAAAAGACCTCAGGCTTGAGAAACTAACGAAATAACTCGCAATTTTTCATTTTCGTTCATGATAATCCAGACATTACATTGAAACTGCGAATACATGATTCAGTATATCGCTTAATCTAATTTATTTTTAAAGCAATAATTAAAATAATTACGCTCATAACACGCCATCAATTAGAACCTCGTTTTGGTTCATTATTCTGATCTATTTTTCACTGTCTACAAGAGATCTTAAAAATGCAACATTTTCTATAAACAAAGTTCAGATGAAAAATTAAAAACTCTTTATTAACAGAATGAAAACGTCGATGAAAAGATGCTAAAATAGGTCACTTGTCTAAGACGCGTTTTCGTCATTTGATCAGTAATGTGTTGTGTTGCTAATAATTATAACAGGAGATGCTAATTAATTAATAAATAAATAATTCCATATCTTTAACATTAAAACATGATAACACAGGCGACATATTAATTTGGAAAGTATTTATAATAACTTGGGTTTTTTATATTTAAATTTATTGTAAATCTAAGTCAAAGCAAATGCATTTTTAAAAAACAGAATTCATTGTATAACTTTTATAAAAGACAAATTTAACGTGGTCAAACGACACCTTGATTATCTATTTCAAGTGATCCGTTGTCAAAGTGACGAGTTGCAAGTGGTATCACTAGGTAATACAAACTATTGTCACATGCACCGATTAGTGACAAGTGACAAAGAAAAATAAACAAACTTTAAAAGTGTAATAAATATTTTATTTTTATACAATTTTAACAAAAATGGAGAATACAAAAAAATGAGTAAAAAGTGTATCTTTCTCATTTACAAATGATTTTTTTAGTAATTACATCATGAAGTAAACTACCAGTATGACGTAATTACGATTTGTATTAAAACACTACAAGCAAAGATTAAATTATAAAGTACTTAGCGCAGCTGCGAGTATATAAGATACATATCTAGATCTATGTGTACGTAAAGCTATCAGTTGTTTAAAAGATGAATTGTGAATTAAAAAAAAACAACATGTGAGCTGAAAGTACGAAGTAAAATGCGATTGGAATTTTTGCATTATAATATGCACAATGCGTATATTAAAAGATGATGCATTAGTTTTACAAATTAAAAAAAAATAATAACCTTTCAACCGTCAGTATTACTGCTGTATTGTTTAATAACCTTTCAATCGTCAGTATTACTACTGTATTGTTTAATAACCTTTCAACCGTCAGTATTACTGCTGTATTGTTTAATAACCTTTCAATCGTCAGTATTACTACTGTATTGTTTAATAACCTTTCAATCGTCAGTATTACTGCTGTATTGTTTAATAACCTTTCAACCGTCAGTATTACTGCTGTATTGTTTAATAAACTTTCAACCGTCAGTATTACTACTGTATTGTTTAATAACCTTTCAACCGTCAGTATTACTACTGTATTGTTTAATAAACTTTCAACCGTCAGTATTACTGCTGTATTGTTTAATAAACTTTCAACCGTCAGTATTACTGGTGTATTGTTTAATAACCTTTCAACCGTCAGTATTACTACTGTATTGTTTAATAACCTTTCAACCGTCAGTATTACTGCTGTATTGTTTAATAACCTTTCAACCGTCAGTATTACTGGTGTATTGTTTAATAACCTTTCAACCGTCAGTATTACTGCTGTATTGTCACAAGGGTTTGGCTAGGAAACATTTAAAGGTACAAAATAAAAAAAACTTCTAATTTATTGATAAACTCTGCCAAGTCTAGTGCACATATCAAATCATCCTTAATTTATTATGTTTGGCATGACGTGACACTATTAGGCATGGGGTGGCACCATAATATGGCATGGTGTGGCACCATTAGCCATGGTGTGACACCATTAGGCATAGTTGTACCACCATTAGTCATGGGGTGGCACCATAATATGGCATGGTGTGACACCATTAGGCATAGTTGTACCACCATTAGTCATGGGGTGACACCATCTCCGACGGGAGACAAACACCGTCTTGAACTGGGTGACATTCCAACTGCCAAAAGACATAATATGGCCCAAGACACATGAAGTAGATAACGTAGAGTTCATCTGTTTCAGACATCTCGGTACATAGGTAATGTTAAAATTATTTGTTTGAATAATCCAAATTAATTTCATAATGTAATAACTGACTTTTCAATTATACGTCCACATGGATATGAACTATTGGAAAAAATATTACCAGGGAATCTTCCATTAGTCAAAGCTTTATTCCCCAATGATTTCATTTAAAAACAAAAAATTTAAAACAGAAAGCTGGCGTTATTTAAAAAGAAAATTCAAGGGAATACCAATTGTGATTCGGTTAAGCCTTGATATTGAAATATATTTTTACAAAGCCATTCGATGTATACAATTCAATGTATTTACATATATATATGTACACATTATTGATCCGCTCGTACAGAAGTAAGTGTTGGTCTCTAGATCTGGCTATCCTTTAACACCTATTATCACAAGCAGACAAATATAACTAAGACAACAGGATGAAGCGTGATGCGATGAACATATTATCACAAGCACACACATATAACTAAAACAGCAAGATGAAGCGTGAAGCGATGAACCTATTATCACAAGCACACAAATATAACTAAAACAGCAAGATGAAGCGTGAAGCGTGAAGCATGAAGCGATGACCAGGCCGATGATTTGAACGCCTCAACTGTCTTAGCCAGATTATAGTCCACCAACACGTTGTTACCCTCTGCAAACAAAAATCGTCAAGTACCACAAAGGGGAAATCAAATTAGAAAAACAGCACACTATCAAAATCTACAATTAGGAAATCTTTTATTGTAATTGATGAACCTCCGGTTAAGTCAACTTTTAGAAACAATTGAGGTTTTTTTTTTAAATTAAGTAGCAATTAGAGGAGTATACTATTTTTTGTTGTAAAAGGTATCTATTAGTCTAAAATACAGTAAATTATAAAATATTCTAACTTTATTTAAGGGAAAAAAATATATTTAAAAGTCGATTCCCTAAAAATAGTTACCTTTGTTGTTTTTTTTTTAAGTTAATGAAAATAAATGAGACCTGCAGTTTCTGGTTTATTTATAAAAAAAAATTGTCCTGGTTTACAAGTTAGTTATCTTACAAATTCAGTTGTTCTTAAGAAGTAACTAAACATTTCTCAAAATACTCGTTAAAAAACTAAGACTGTGTTTTATTCACTCAAATTCTTTTATCATACTTAGAAATGGTTATAAAGATTCATTAACAATCAACAAGTTATAACTAAACCTAAACAACAAGCGATCAACAAACTTCAGACATAAAGTTTATAAAAAATGTATTAAAAAAATAATTTGAAAAAAAATGTTTATCAACTGAATAAGAAAAAATGAATATTGATGTATATTAAGAAAACTCGTACTTGTTAAAGTTCATTCGAATGAAAATCTATATTCCCAAATAAACATATTTCAATTAAAAAATGCACTTTTATGCAAGATTTTTTTTCTTAGGCTTAACGCTGTATGATGTTAGTAAAATTTGTCGCCCAATTTAATTTTCGCGAATTTCCAATTTCGCATTTTTTATATGACGAAGCCTCTGATTAGCCGAAACACGAAATTAGTTTCATTTTAAAGAAACACAATATTTGTTTTTGTGGACATTCAATTAGTAATCTTTAAACGTCACTATTTACTTTGACCAATGTGTTATTGTTTGATACGTTTGATCCTATATCAGTGCAGTAGCAATATATCTCGACGCTGGAGATGACCCCCCCCCCTCCTTCACATCTAGAGCTGCACCGTTGTGCTTCATCTCACTCGACCTACCTACGACAGCCACCACTAGAGCCACGCTTCTGTCCGACCCACCTATGACGCCCACCTATAGAGCCACGCCTCTGTGGGGCCCACCTAAGACGCCCACCCCCACAGCCACGCCTCTGTGTGACCTACCTATGACGAAGTATGTGGTGAGAGACTTCTTGCCGTACCCCCCTTCACTGAAGGCGCACACCCTGACGGCATACACCACCCCCGGGTCCACCTCGATGTGGGCGTGGTGGGCGTGGTGGTCATGGATGACGTAACGGCACGAGGTCCTGTGGTCCTCATTAGCATGCCAGTAGTAGATCTGTGGGCAGAGTGGGACCTTTCTAAGCTTTTATTTTGTTATAGAGTAATTTAAAGCAAGGCAGTGCAAGCATCGAAATAATGAGTTCAATTTCTTTAAAATTTAATTATTCAAGTATAGCCTGTATCAACCAGCAAGTAATATTTGGGAGATTAAAAACAGATTAGGTTAATATTAATAAGTAAATTGTAGATGATATGAGAAACATTTAGAAAACAAACTTAAAAGCATGACTCGATTTAACAAGGACTAACCAAGTAAAAAGAAAACTGGAAGACACAGGTAATTGAAAACTCATTTCACAACAAAATGACCATACGTTTTGAAAGTAATTTTAATTCTATTTCTTGAGAGAAATAACGACTTGCCCCTTTACTCACGCGGGGAATAGGCTTAATCGAATAGTAAGTAATTGTGTACACTGTACACATGCTCATGTTCCACGTAGCCAATAAATGTACACAAAAATTGTGGCCGTGGATGTTGGAAATGTGGATGCCCCTATACTCACCACAAAGCCGTGGATGTTGGATATGTGGATGGTCCTATACTCACCACAAAGCCGTGGATATTGCCCTCGGGCTGGGAGATGTGGATGCCCCTATACTCACCACAAAGCCGTGGATGTTGGATATGTGGATGGTCCTATACTCACCACAAAGCCGTGGATATTGCCCTCGGGCTGGGAGATGTGGATGCCCCTATACTCACCACAAAGCCGTGGATGTTGGATATGTGGATGGTCCTATACTCACCACAAAGCCGTGGATATTGCCCTCGGGCTGGGAGATGTGGATGCCCCTATACTCACCACAAAGCCGTGAATGTTGCCCTCGGGCTGGGAGATGTGGATGCCCCTATACTCACCACAAAGCCGTGGATGTTACCCTCGGGCTGGGAGATGTGGATGCCCCTCCACCAGATCTCGACGTGGTGACCACCGGCCGAGTAGACCCGGATCTCCTCTGGGTACTGAGAGGCGGCTGGACAGAAAAAGACGAGGATTTTACTAGATGTACACGTGATATTACTGTTAACACAACAATTGCACGCGTCCCGGTTCCGAGTTCGACGTTTCAAAGTCCACCCACATCTGGGGGGGGGGGGGGGAGGAAGGGAGGAGAGTAATGACTTCGGCTGTGTAAATACTGACCACACAATCCATTTTATGTAATGAGCACACAGCCATGTTTCATTTGCATATAATATCCAATGCAAATATTATTTATAACGTAATTTGAAGAATTGCCTTTTTCAACCTATATGATTGAATAATACTTACGACCTAAGAAAAAAATATTAAATGCTTATATGTCATTATATAGTGCTTTAAGTTATAATAATCACGATCCCACCCTCCAACTCACCCACCCCCTCCTACCGATTTCCCTCCCACTCTCTACTCACGTGCATGAAGCGTTTCCTGAAAGTAGTACTCAGAGATGGGACCCAGGCCCGCCGAGTTGTAGACTTGTATGGTGAAGTAGTAGAAGTTGTCGCTGATCAGACCGATGACGATACCGTTATCGATCTGTCCGTAGTGTCTGATAAACTCTTTGTAGTCGGTGGCCACCTCGGTGTAGTGCCAGTAGTTGATCTGTACAGGTATATAGCATGGTAAATTTGGTGTACAGCATGGTAAATATAGACAGGTGTACAGTATGGTAAATTTATACAGGTGTATAGCATGGTAAATATATACAGGTGTACAGCATGGTAATATATACATGTGTACAGCATGGTAATATATATATAAGGGTGTAAAACATGGTAAATATATACAGGTGTACAGCATGGTCAATTTATACAGGTGTACAACATGGTAGATATATATTGGTGTACAGCATGGTAATATATACAGGTGTACAGCATGGTAATATATACAGGTGTACAGCATTGTAAATATATACAGGTGTACAGCATGGTAATATATATATATATATATATATATATATATATATATATATATACGGGTGTACAGCATGGTGAATATATACAGGTGTACAGGATGTTAAATATATACAGGTGTACAGCATGTTAATATATATATACGGGTGTAACACATAGTAAATATAGTCAGGTGTACAATATGGTAAATATATACAGGTTTACAACATGGCATCAGTCAGACAATTTAGCTAATGGGGCTAATATATGTTTCAGCTAGACTAGCTCAAGGGAGCTTACATCGTAGCTCTAAACATGACTTACCTGGTAGCCGACGATTTTTCCCCGCGCGATTTCTCGCACCTGCGGTACAGGGGTCCACATGACTGTCATGGCGGTCCCGTTATAGCCGTCTGCCATCACATTAGTCGGTACAGCTACAGGCACTGATCAAAGCAATAGGACATATTTACAGTGGGCATTGCCACGGGCATTGGTTAAAATAAAAACATCAAGAAATAATGAGGGCACAAATTTTAAAGCTTCTAAGAGTGGAAGACTGTTAAAACCTACGGTCTTCAGCAGACATGATGACCACCACAGAACTGTTAGGGCCCATCCCGTGGTTGTTGAAGGCCTGAATCTTGAAGTCGTACTCCAGGTAATAGAACTCCACCCCCACCAAAGTCACGTGACGACCTTCGTTACCAACGACTTCTGCCTAGATAGACGAATACCAGTCAAAACTGAATAAAATTACGGCAGAAAATATTCTATTTAGTTTGTTGTCATTGAAAACATGTTGGCTAAAATCTGGGTAGATTAGACCATTCTTTAGAATTTGCTTGTGATTTGTTTGTTTACATTTAGACATTTGTTATTTTCTTCGGTTTCTCGTTATTTCACCCACCCCTACCTACGCAGTACAAACTGTACCACCACTCCCCCACCCCTTCCGTTACATCCCTCGCCCCCTCCCCCAGTACTTACAACACTACATACATCCTCGGGTCTGTCAGTATGTCACCTCCAATACAACCTGTGCCACCCCTCCCCTACCACTCCCCCTACTCCCACCCCAACACCTCCTCTACCCCCACCCCCACACTTCCCCTACCTCCACCCCCAGTACTTACAACATTCCAAACATCCTCGGGTCTGTCAGTATGTCTCCTCCAATACAACCTCCAATACAAACTGTTCCACCCCTCCCCACCACCTCCCCCACTCCCACCCCCACACCTCCCCTACCCCCAGTACTTACAACACTCCAGACATCCTCTGGTCTGTCGGTGTGTCTCTTCCAGTACAACCTGTATCCGATCCCCTCCCCCACCCCCTCCCCTAAACCCCTCGCCCCCACCCCACCCCCAGTACTTACAACACTCCAGACATCCTCTGGTCTGTCTGTGTGTCTCCTCCAGTACAACCTGTATCCGATCCCCTCCCCCACCCCTAAACCCCTCGTCCCCACCCCACCCCCAGTACTTACAACACTCCAGACATCCTCTGGTCTGTCTGTGTGTCTCCTCCAGTACAACCTGTATCCGATCCCCTCCCCCACCCCTAAACCCCTCGTCCCCACCCCACCCCCAGTACTTACAACACTCCAGACATCCTCTGGTCTGTCTGTGTGTCTCCTCCAGTACAACCTGTATCCGATCCCCTCCCCCGCCCCTCCCCTCCCCCACCCCACCCCCAGTACTTACAACACTCCAAACATCCTCTGGTCTGTCTGTGTGTCTCCTCCAGTACAACCTGTATCCGATCCCCTCCCCCGCCTGCTGTGCTCGCGTCAGGGGCTGAAAAGGTGAAGTAGAGTTTGGCTGAGGTATGTCGGCACAATGTCATCTACATGACATCTGGTCAAAACAACAACACAGCTTAACTGATACCATGGTGACTGCTGTCCACTGTCATAGTTTATACAGTGAGACATCGGATGTTTATTTTAAGAATAGTAAACAAAACACACAAAAAAGTCCTACCTTCCAAGTCATAATTAGGTCACCCACTTTACCACCCCCACCACCCACGCACTCGGGTGGGATACTGGGTGGGGCGCTACGGGTCTGTATAAAACCTGGAACAAAATTCACATGTTGCTTAAATATTATATTTGCTTCTCTTTCGTGGGGGGGGGGGGGGAGGGTGGTAGTGAGAAAAACGCTTTTAAAACCCACGGGCTGCGTGACATTAAACACATCCCTGAGCGATTTATTCGATATATGAAACAATACAACTAACTATAATGTGTAAGTTGACCGAAGAAGATATGTATGTTACTTCAGGTTAAACGTATGTTACCTGAGAAAAATCGTGAATGTTACCTGAGGGAAATCGTGAATGTTACCTGAGGGAAATCGTGAATGTTACCTGAGGGAAATCGTGAATGTTACCTGAAGGAAATCGTGAATGTTACCTGAAGGAAATCGTGAATATTACCTGAAGGAAATCGTGAATGTTACCTGAAGGAAATCGTGAATATTACCTGAAGGAAATCGTGAATGTTACCTGAGGGAAATGTGAATGTTACCTGAAGGAAATGTGAATGTTACCTGAAGGAAATGTGAATGTTACCTGAAGGCTCACTGGGAGGGCTCTCGCCTAGATTGTTGACGGCCTTGAGCCTGAACCTGTAGCCACACCCAGGCAGCAGACCAGTGACCACGACAAACCGCTTGACCTCGACCGAGTGGATCGTCTGCTCCGCGGGCAGATCTGGCGAGATAAGGGCAACAATTTGACGGCAAACGGGCTACATCTGGGTAACATCTGACCGTAAACTATTTCATTTCACGACCTTCGTTTAACAGGTAAAAACGTGATGACCTACTTTGTCTAACGCAGAGGCGTAGCGAAAGGGGGGTACTTATGTCCCCTGGCGCCGACCTTAGAGGGGACGCCAAAATGGGTTGGAAAAACAAATTAAAATGTCATTTTAGCCGCATTTTTGCATTATAAATAGTTTGAGGAGGGGGGGGGGGGTGCAAATCAAATTGAAAATTTGCTTCCGAGGGGGGCGCCAAATTGAAAGTTTGCCCGAGGCGCCGGGAAGGGTCGCTACGCCTCTGGTCTAACGAGTTTTCATGGCTATAAACAACTTTTAAATCTATGACCTAGTTACATGACCTACTTCCTATAACGACGTCCCAGGTATCCGCGTCATAAGCATTGGCCGCCTCCACAATGTAGTGAGTGATGGGTCGGCCATTGTTCTCATTCTCAATCCACCTACAGGTCACAAATTTAAAAAAAAAATGTTTCACAATTTAAAAACAATATGACGCTTTAATTTTAGACCTTGATAATACTTTTCAGGGCTTCATGCAAAAACCAATAGCCCACCCCTGGTTAAATCAGGTTGAAATATGACTGAGGAGGTTGGGACTGATTACACCAGGTTGAAACCTACTTGAGGAGGTTGGGACTGGTTAAACAAGGTTGAAACCTACTTGAGGAGGTTGGGATTGGTTAAACCAGGTTTAAACCTATCTGAGGACGTTGGGACTGGTTAAACAAGGTTTAAACCTACTTGAGGAGGTTGGGATTGGTTAAACCAGGTTTAAACCTACCTGAAGAGGTTGGGACTGATTAAACCAGGTTGAAACCTACCTGACCAGAGCGCTTATGTTGGTGACGGTTGTCGTGTCGGCCTCAACACCCGCAGGCTCAAACGGTGGACCTGTGGGTAAGATGCATGTGTGGGGTCAGTAACACAATTGAGTAGAGGGGGGGATAGGGAGGAAGGTGATTTGCTGAAAAAGAATGTATTCAAAACTAGTCATACATTGAACGTCAAGTCGAAATACATTGCTTGTATTTAGGAATTATCAAGTAGTATAAAAATATGGTGAGGTAGGATGGTAGAGAACATGACTGTGAACCCGAAAGTCTTAAGTTCGAATCCCCGGCTAGAGTCCGATAGAACGTCCTTGAGTCCACCTAGCTCTGATGGTACCCGACTCACTTTAGGGAAATTAAGGACGACTGGGCAAAGTGCTGAACACATCATCTCTTGATATGCCGAGGCCACAGAACTCTACTTCATTAGTATTTACACAGCTTTTATATTACCTTCCATGTGCTAGGCTTTAATCATAGTCTACCTGATAAGTAATAGATACAAGTTCTTTGATCTATGATGCTCACACAGTACCCTTGAAAAATGCATTGTTCAAGAAACGAATACTCAACGAAAAAATAACAACAATCTTTTCTACTCACCAACGACTGTTAAAAAAACTGTTCTACTCACCCACGACCGTTAAAACCGTACTCTCCCATGGCCGTTAAAAACGTACTCACCCACGACCGTTAAAAACGTACTCACCCACGACCGTTAAAAACGTTGTTTTACTCACCCACGACCGTTAAAAACGTACTCACCAACAACCGTTAAAAACGTACTCACCCACGACCGTTAAAAACGTACTCACCCACGACCGTTAAAAACGTTGTTTTACTAACCCACGACCGTTAAAAACGTACTCACCCACGACCGTTAAAAACGTACTCACCAACAACCGTTAAAAACGTACTCACCCACGACCGTTAAAAACGTACTCACCCACGACCGTTAAAAACGTTGTTTTACTCACCCACGACCGTTAAAAACGTACTCACCCACGACCGTTAAAAACGTTGTTTTACTCACCCACGACCGTTAAAAACGTACTCACCCACGACCGTTAAAAACGTTGTTTTACTCACCCACGACCGTTAAAAACGTACTCACCCACGACCGTTAAAAACGTACTCACCCACGACCGTTAAAAACGTACTCACCCACGACCGTTAAAAACGTACTCACCCACGACCGTTAAAAACGTACTCACCCACGACCATTAAAAACGTACTCACCCACGACCGTTAAAAACGTTGTTTTACTCACCCACGACCGTTAAAAACGTACTCACCCACGACCGTTAAAAACGTTGTTTTACTCACCCACGACCGTTAAAAACGTACTCACCCACGACCGTTAAAAACGTTGTTTTACTCACCCACGACCGTTAAAAACGTACTCACCCACGACCGTTAAAAACGTACTCACCCACGACCGTTAAAAACGTACTCACCCACGGCCGTTAAAAACGTACTCACCCACGACCGTTAAAAACGTACTCACCAATGGCCGTTAAAAACGTACTCACCAACGACCGTTAAAAACGTACTCACCCACGACCGTTAAAAACGCCCCCCTCTTGTCGCTGCTCAGGGTGGTTGTAGCCTGACACTCGTAGTAGCCTGCGTGGTGCAGGTTTACCTGCTGGATGTACAGGCCTGTTTTACCTGTCGCGTCATCTTGCACCTGTGGATGACGTCATCGTGAACATTGGGTCATCTAGCCTAACCACACGCCTACATTAGAACACATACACGCTCATACAAACAACATATGAAAAACAAGTAAACAGTTATTATGTTGATTAATGATCAATTCGAATAACCCAAATAATCAATTACTAAGTTGCCCGAAACTTAGAATTTTGAAAAAAAAAACAAACTACAAATGTTTAAGTAGACCATATTGGTCAGTTTAAAAAACAAAAATGACAAATGATGAAGTTGACCATACCGGCTAGTTTTAAAATACACAAAAGACCTATGATTGAGTTGACCGTACCGGCCAGTTTTCAAACTACACAAAAGACCTATGATTGAGTTGAGCATACCGGGCGGTACTCAGGATTACGGTACAAATCTATGGGATGTCCATTGAACAACCAGCTGTAGATCATGTCGGTGCCCTTGGCATAGGAGGCGTGGCAGAAGAGGAACACGGTGGTGTTGAAGAGTGCTGTCTGGTCTTGTGGTGCCACAGTAATAGCTGTACCTTCTAGAAATTTTGAAAACATGTCTTGTAAATTTTATAAATTTTTGTTTTAACAATGGTCAAAGGGAAATAACCAAATTAAACTTACAACTAAACTTAAAACTGGATTATCGTTCCTGTCTTAAATTGATATGTTATTTTGAGCATTCTGTTTTAGTTGAGGGTGTGTAGTTTTAAAAATGTTACATTTTAATACGGTAAATAAGAAAGTTGAAAAAGGCATGTCATAAAGTATTCATCAATTCACTTTTGTTTTGTTTTAACAAAAATATTGACTTACTTAGCACATACACATCTCAGAGTCTTACAAGTGTACCCAAAACGCACATACCCCCAACACACATTATCACACGCCCAAACTCACTATTTTAACACGCACTATTGAAAAACCTTATACACACATATAACAACACACATACGAACACATACTCATACATATATAAGCATTCATGCACCTCCCACACATACGCGCATATCTCCTACACTTACTCACGCATACACCCCTGACACACGCGCACAACTATACGAACTACTGCTCACACACCCACACATGCACATATACCTACACACACCAAATACACACACACCCACACACGTACAAACCTATGACTCGGACAGTCGTCCTATCCTCGGCCTCCCCCAGAGCGTTGGTCGCCTTACATACATACGTCCCCTCGTCCCCCTTGGTGATCCCCACGACCGTCAGCTGCCCGTGCACCCCCTGCTCCATGTTCATCAGTGACGTCGACAGCTCGATGCCATTTTTAAACCACGTGATGGTGGGGAGCGGTGCGGCCTCGGGACGACATATCAAGGTCAGGTTGCCGACGTTTGACGCACGTGTGATGTGCGGCAGCGGGTATTTCCGGAAATTTGGTGCGAAAGCTGAAATTGTAAAAAAAAAAAAAACAACATCAAAACACATTTAAAAAAAACAAATTAGATTTAGGATGATTTTCTGACTCCTGGCTAAATGTATAGCCTACTGGTCTGACATTACTTAGAAATTTTAAAAAATCCTTACATTATTGTCTAGCTAGGTTATACAAGTAAAGCTGGCGAACTTTTTAGTTTAAAATTGTCATTAATTTGATTATTAATTTGATTATTAATTTGATTATTAATTTGATTATTAATTTGATTATTTGCTACCTGCTGATGATAAATGCTTAAGTTTACTTGTAACCTAATAATGAAAATACATATTTATAAAAAGATTGTTTATGTTTGTGTATTTGACAAGCAAGAAATTGGGTTTGGGAAAGTAAAGGCGACTGGGTATAGTGCTGACCACACTATCTCTTCATATGCCGAGGTAACAGAAACAAGTGAACTCAACTTCACTTGCCCTATAAACCGTCAGGTTTGAAGAGGTCACTTTTTTAATTCCGTCTCTAAAGCTGATCAATATTTAACAAAAAACTGACCAGTCAAAGCTCTAGAACTGACCTAAGACACGTAGTTGACCTTCAGACATTGTGGTGCCGTGGCTGTTGGACGCCGCGCATTGGTACATGCCGTTGTGGAGGTTCGGATCCAGCACGGTAAACACGAGGATGTTGTGGTTAACCTGTTTTACAGACACCATGGTAAAAATAAATTTCAAAAATATAAAATGCTCAGTCTTTTAAAACTAAAATTGTAGGTAACTAAAAACTAAACTTTGTTTTTTTTATAATTTCATTCAATAAAAATATTAAAATTTAACTGTCGTGCTAAAGTTTAAAAAAAAAATACTTGCTATGATATTCGTTTCGTTGTCCGTTTTCAAGCGCTCCCCGTTTTTGTACCACTCGTAGACAGGTGCGGGACTTGCACGTGCATCGCAGCGCCAGGTGAGTCGCCCACCCACGTCTGCGTGCTGGTCCTTGATGGGGTTGATGAAGTAGGGTTTGGCTGGAACACAGTATCATACCATTATTAGGTAACTCATTGTCCTTACCTCCAAGTTCAAGGTCACCCAGTGTGCTCACCTCCAAGTTTAAGGCCACCCAGTGTGCTTACCTCCAAGTTCAAGGGTACCCACTGAGCTCACCTCCAAGTTCAAGGTCACCCAGTGTGCTCACCTCCAAGTTTAAGGTCACCCAGTGTGCTCACCTCCAAGTTTAAGGTCAACAGACTTCCTGTCCCCCGTGCTGGAACTCCGCGTCACAGAACAGGTGTACACGCCCTGGTCTTCAAGTCTGGCATCTCGGATGGTCAGCACACGGCCGTGGTCACTCTGGTAGGAGTTGGCCGGCAAGGATTTGTTCTGACGGTGCCAGCTGTACTGGAACTCGGAGTTGGATCTGTGGAAGGAACCAAACAACTTTTGGATTGTATGGGATGTGAAGGAAGTAGACAAGTACGGTCAAAGTTTGTTTTGTCTTGCTATTGAGTACATCTCCCTTGCTGAGTTTTGGGCGGCCTAGTCTAAGAACAAAATGTTTTGCTTGGTTTTATGAAGTTTAAAAAGGTGACACACTACGGAGATCAGTCACTGAGATCCGATAACGATGACATTAGGTATCTCCTCGGGGTGGGGAGTGTTATAACTGAGTCCATTGATGATGCTACTCACTAGTTGGCTGGCCCAGTTCAGGTGTGGGACGGATGGGGGGGGGGTGGATAACCCACTAGTATCAACAATAGACTCAGTTATAACAGAGAGGAGCGGGGGAGGGGGGAGTTACGATACCTACCCCCAACCAAGACGTTGAATTTATATACAAAATATACACTCTAACCAGTATCCGCTCTGAAAGTTTCAAGTATCCCTCCCCAGGAGAAATATGTTACCAGTTACCTATTGTGAAAGCTAGCAGTCTAATGTCACAGAGCGAATAGGTAAGAGGTCATGACATGACACTGATGAAATACAAAATGTCTTACGATCCATAGGCAAAACATTGAAATCATGACATGACACTGATAAAATACAAAATGTCTTACGATCCATAGGCAAAACATTGAAATCATGACATGACACTGATGAAATACAAAATGTCTTACGATCCATAGGCAAAACACTCCAGACGAACGTCTTGTCCAGCGATGGGCGGGGTGGGGAAGATGGCGATAAACTCGTTCTGTATGACCGGCCCCCAGTCGGCCTTAGGGGCTGGGGATAGGATCATGCGATTGGTCAGATTGTAACACGTTGTATAAGTTTATATTAGGTTATATCCGATTGGATAGAAAAAATAGAAGAAAAATAGCAGTTATTTTTGTTTACTTATTTTAAGTGCATGTAAAAGATTATTTCTATACATTTTTTAAGGTTGTTTTATGTACAAAAAAAAAGCTGGTACAATAGTTATATTCTTAGAATAAAAGCCAACAGAAAAGTAAATCAAACTTCCTAGCCTACATCTTTTTTCTTCTTCTTCGTTCTTAATTGTAGTGTTGTAAGGGACCCCTCCAACACAATTAAGAATACGTGTCAACTGGCTAAGCGCCATTGAGGCTATTGACTCCGATTTCAGCCTGCTTTTCTTTTTGGATTTGCTTCCATAGCCTTTGTCCAACCAAGAACAAACTAGTTGTCTCTCCTAGAAGAGTGGCTGTCCCCAGTTAACTAGCCTCATCTGCCCGAGGGTTCGAACTCGAGACTTTTCGGTTTAGCAATCTTGAGCTTTACCGACTCGACCACGCCGACCCCTCCTAGCCTACAGACCTGATGTGTAAAATCTGACTCACCCTGGTCATGCACGTGCAGAGATATGGGCAGCGATGTTCTAGACGGCGGCTGTAAGGATGAGATGGTGTACTGGTTGACCCCTGACAAGACCGCCAGACAGTAGTACATCCCCTCGTCTGCTCGGGATACCTGAACACAGGTGAAACAACAACACTCAAGGTATTCATGTCGCATTCTTTCGGTAGTCACTTGCACTATAGACTTTTGAATTTATTATCTCCCTGTTGTGTCAGCAGAAAGTGCTCTCCCTTGAGCTAATTAACCTCTGATGGTAGCATAGTCATCCCCTCTCAAACTCACCATCAGCAGGAGCCCCTTCATATCCCTCATCATGACCCCCCACCATGACCCGCCATCATGACCCCCACCCTGATCCCCCCCACCATGACCCCCCACCCTGATCCCCCCACCATGACCCCCAACCATGACCCCCCCCACCATGACCCCACAATGACCCCCCACCATGACCCCCCCACCATGACCCCCCACTATGACCCCCCACTATGACCCCCCACTATGACCCCCCACCATGACCCTCCACCATGACCCCCACCATGACCCCCACCAAGATCTCAACCAAGACACCACTATGACCCATACAACACGTCACAATGACCCTCAACCATGACCCCCATGACCCCACAAGGACCACCACCCATAACAACCACGATACTCACATTGACCCGTTATGTTCCCCACTATGACCCCCGCCCATCACCACCATGACCCCCACGATGACCCCCCCCCCCCCCACCGTCCTACCACCATCACAGCATACCTCTGAAAAGTACAGCTTCCCATTCTGCGATATAAACATGTACTTCTGGTACTCTGGCCTGACGAAGTGGGTTGTACTTTGTTTGTACCAGTTGTACTTCACAGCTGGGGAAAGTACAAAGTAAACATAACTTTAGAAAGTAGAGTAACCATAGTCAGTAAATTCAAGCATACAAAGGTGAACATAGATCTAATACGCTATTGGTAAGACAAGTAAAGTAAAAGTACAGTTCACTGTCGGAAACTGGTAGAGTTCACTTATTTCTGTGACTAGGTTGTATAAAGGGAGAGTGTAATGAACCGCCTTTACTTTCCTTCATTAAGTCAGGTACCCATCAGAGCTGGGTGGACAGAAGGATGTGCTACGACTCTAGCAAGGGACTCGTGACTTTGGGGTTAGCAGTCGATGTTATGGATGCGAAGCCTGGTTAACATGTTGATAATGTTGCACATCTCACCTGGTTTAAAGGCCAGTTTACTGCAGTCTATGGCGGCACCTTCAAAGGCTTTGGCGTTGACAGGTGCGTCAGGAACATTCGAGAACTCACCCATAGCTAAACAGATTTTCAACATTTAGAAATTAATGCCGTGAGAAACAAATGAAACTCGTATTTTTAAATATATATTGGCATTGCTGTTTCTAGGGAATAATCAAGGATATATGTATGTTAAATTGCCTGCTTCCAAAATATTTAATATAAAAACCAAAATATCATCAGGTTTAAGATTTTGAAAAATTACAAATGATCTATACTGATCTACAATTCAAGCGATTCTTATTTGTCTGACACATGACCCACATTTCAACAACTGGTCTATTATATGACCTACTTCCAAAAGACAGTTCCACACCGTTGCCAATGACAACGCCGTTTTTATTCTCGGCCCGGCACCGATACTTGCCACCGTCTAGAACATCCTGGGGATTCTGGGAGGAAGACAGACATACACACAGACATAAGTGTTAAGACAGACATACACGCAGACATAAGTGTTAAGACAGGCTGAGACAACAGACTTCAGAATTAAGACTTACACGACTAACGTCAGCATTAAGACAGACAGTCAGACACGGCAGACTTCAATATTTAGACAGAAGGTATCAGAATTAAGACAGATATACACAGTAGACGTCATAATTAAGTATACAGAGCAACGATCTTTTAGTATATGATCAGAAACTGTGATAATGTAGCAATATGTATAACAATAATATACTATTTATTGTTTTTCTGCGTAAATATGTGTTTAATCCGCATTGAAAATCGACCAGTACATAGTGAAATGAAAATGGAACTGAATAAAATTACTGTAATGATGAGCTAAAAACAGAACCGAATTTCTCTATTGATGAGCTAAAAAAAGAACTGAATGAAATTACTGTAATGATGAGCTAAAAATAGAACTGAATAAAATTAATGATGAACTAAAAATAGAACTGAATAAAATTACTGTAATGATGAACTAAAAATAGAACTGAATAAAATTACTGTAATGATGAGCTAAAAATAGAACTGAATAAAATTACTGTAATGATAAGCTTCCCGTTGGTCAGGGTGTAGCGCTGATCTTTCTCAGCTGTGAGTTGTTGTTGGTAGTTCTCTCCCTTCCACCAGGAGTAGGTTGGGGGCGGGTACCCGTCGACGACACACTCCAGCTCCACCGTCAGCGGCGACCCCACCACCACCGTGTTCTGGGGCTGCAGGATGAAGTGGGGTCCTCTTTGTGCCAGCTTGGGATCAGTCCTTTCCACCCCATAATCTGAGAGGGGGGGGGGTTCAAGAATTATTTTTTTTTAATTTCTGGCAAGATTTATTGATAAAAGGACATAGCTACAATAGCTACACACAGCAAAGGTCGAGGTGTCTTCTATATCTACACGTACACGGAACCATTGTGTATCTGGTCAATGTGTTTATAATAATCTAAAGTGTGCCTTATTCTCGAACACTTCTCCTAGCAACAACACACCATACATAGACTAAAAGAAAAGATAAAGAAACAACTTACTGAAATCCCTGAAGTCCTGAATGATCCTGTAAGCCTCTGACTTAGGGACCTCACAGATAAATGGCAGTTTTTGTGAAGGGTCTGCAATGCTCCATCTATAGCCCTCGACTTTTGAAGGGGTATACACATGTTTTACAATAAAAATCTGTCTACTGACAGTGTAAATTTATAGTATTTTTAAAACGATTTATAAAATGTACAATATCTTCAATGTTTCAAGTATCGAATAATAAGTAGAAAAAAATATATTGTTACAAAGAAGAGTAAAATTATATCTTATAAATATCTTAATTTCGATAAATGGAGGTTTTGAAGTATCCAAACACATAAAAATATATTGTGTAAATAGAGTCAGTTATTACATGATAATAAACAATCACATTGTAAATTCAGACGGCTACTTACCAACATATTTATAAACAATGGCACCAACAGATGAACTTACCAACATATTTATAAACAATGGCTCCAACAGATGAGCTAAGGTCAAGGCCTTCCTGCCAGAAACTCTCCGACCCCTCCACCAAGTTGCCCGTACTCTTCCACAGGAATCCACTTCCGGTTCGTAGTTTTGCCTCCTTGATACCGCTTGTGTACCATTCTCGTCTGCAAACAATTTCAGCGTCGTAAATACATTTTATCAAAATTTACAGTAACGGGTAAAACAGAAAAAAATGTAATACCTAAGCTCCGTAAAAATAAAGACAAATTAATCTTACATTTTTAACCAACAAATAACTAGATAACGTAGAAATTTAGATTTTACAAGCGCCCGATTGAACTTACAAATACTTGTCGTTGACTTGTAGAAGTTTCGAGATAAATTCATGTTCCAGGTTGGTCTCTACGCTGACCACTCCAGCTCCGTGGGTCTGAAACAGATCTTTGTTGACGGTATAGGTGTCGTGTAGGGGATGTCGTAGGTCAGCTAATTAGTGAGATGATGTCGGAGGTCAGCTAATTAGTGACATGATGTCGTAGGTCAGCTAATTAGTGTTTGCTGACAGTATACTGTGTCATGTAGGGGTTGTCGTGAATTAGCTAATTAGTGAGTTGATGTTTTGTAAGTGATGAGATGATGTTCTGTAGGTCAGTTAATTAGTGAGATAATTTCGTGTAGGTCAGTCAGTTAATTAACGAGACAATTTCATGTTATTAAGTTCATTAGTGCGACGATGCATATGAAGCTGATAAACTAATTAGTCCCAATTGATGGCACCCCGTCAAAAGAGCGCACGACAAAAGAGCGCCGACATAAGAGCGCAGACAAAAGAGCGCCGACATAAGAGCGCAAACTAAAAATTGAAAAACCAGATTTAATAAATAGGAACATGAAAATTAACTCAGATCAGAAGGCATCGTTTGATGTTAACTCTTTATTGTTTGATTAAAATACTAATTGTTCAGTTTCTTTAGCTAAAAAACAGGTACAATCAACGTGAAGTCCAATTATTCAAAACGCAATCTAATAACACATACACAGATTTTAAATGTTAGGCTCAAGTGAGAATATAAACTAAAATGAAATGTAAAAAAATGAAAACAAGTTTAAATTAATAAAACGTTTCTTTATAGTTGTATTTATATTCCTAAGTTGTGTATAATCTGCCTTGGTTTTTCCACCCCTTCCACTGCCCGTGTTCGTATAGCCGAAACAACTTTCGCTGCTTCGTTTTTAGCCGGATCTGGAGCGTGATTGTGTTTTGATGATGACAGAACAACATCGTTCAAAATTTTTATCCGTCCTCGGCAGCCATCTTTCTTGCAGTATCTCCATGTCGTACTTCCATCAGCATTTACTCTGTCCTTTTGATATCTGTAGCCTTCGACCAATATAATAACCTTCCCTTTCTGTGATTCGATCTTCTCCATGTTACTTGGGTTCAGAGGCGTAGCGACCCTTCCCGGCGCCCGGGGACAAACTTTTCGATTTGCACATCCCCCCCCCCCTAAAACTTTCGATTTGCACCCCCCTCGAGATTTCGATTTGCACCCCCCCCCCCGAGATTTCGATGTGCACCCCCTCAAACTTTCAATTTGCACCCCCCTCGACCTTTCAATTTATTTTTCCAACCCATTTTGGCGCCCCCTAAGGTCGGCGCCCGGGGACATATGTCCAACCCCCCCCCCCCCCGTCCACCCCCCTCGCTACGCTACTGCTTGGGTTAGAAATATTTTCAAACTTCATTCATAACATATTAATCATAATAGATAAATAAACACGTTGTTTTATCGTATCGCCATTTTGTTTAATTAAAACAAGTGTTAACCATGTTATATTCATTTAGCGTACAACATGTGTTTTTTTAATTGGCTGCGCTCTTATGTCGGCGCTCTTTTGTCTGCGCTCTTATGTCGGCGCTCTTATGTCGGCGCTCTTTTGTCAGCGCTCTTATGTCGGCGCTCTTTTGTCGCGCTCTCTTTTGACGGGTCACCCCAATTGATATTCGGTAACAAAAACAAACGAACTACACTTCAAAGTGTATACACATACATAAAGACCAATGAGATAAACAAAGACCAAGTGAACTATCGGACGCTAATGAGTGACCATACAATGCTTCACCTACCGAGCACTGAATCATAGCAACTTCATACGATTTAGGATTATCACTGTACATATGGTAACATACAATGCTTCACCTACCGAGCACTGAATCATAGCAACTTCATACGATTTAGGATTATCACTGTACATATGGTAACATACAATGCTTCACCTACCGAGCACTGAATCATAGCAACTTCATACGATTTAGAATTATCACTGTACATATGGTAACATACGATGCTTCACCTACCGAGCACTGAACCATAGCATCTTCATACGATTTAGGATTATCACTGTACATATGGTAACATACGAGACTTTACCTACCGAGCACTGAATCATAGCATTTTTATACGATTTGGGATTATCACTGTACATATGGTAACATACGAGGCTACACCTACCGAGCACTGAATCATAGCATCTTCATACGATTTAGGGATATCACTGTACATATGGTAACAACTGTCTCCATGGGTGTACCAATCGGATGGGCAATCTGTTAGGATAAAACACAAATTACCTGAATCATTTAGAAATTGATAAGTAAATAGTATAGCCATTTATCTTTAGCTTTTACTGTAGAGCAACACTATAAGTTTCATTATGTACAAAATATAATATTCTGCTTATAATTAGGTATTACTACTAATTTTTCAAAACCATTTTTGGAATCGCACTCACCTCCCACACCCCGATAATGTCATATATATATATTTTTTAAACTAACATACTTCAAAATGTATGCTATTACTAGAGCAAAAACTAAGTTCCCTAGAACTAGATTTAGAAAATGTATTATCACTAAAATATAGATTTTTTAACGAAAAGATTTCATTCATCTGTTGTCTTAGATTCATAGCGGCAATTTATCAAGTCAGAATGTGCTATTGACAAATTAATACTCAAATTATTAACTAATTTTAGCACATGTTAATGAATGATTAAATTAATATTAAAAAGAAAACTTACTAAATATTTCTGGATTTCCATAGCAGATGTAACAAAATATCAACAGGAATGAGAAGTAATTATAGGACAACCTGTAGAATAGCAAAGATTGAGATAATTTACTTTACTAGCTGGGTGGAAACGCAAACATTAACACGTACATGACATTTGACAAAGTGAAAATTGGGAGGAAGATGACATTGGAGAAAGTAAACATTTGGAGGAAGATGACATTGGAGAAAGTAAACATTTGGAGGAAGATGACATTGGAGAAAGTAAACATTTGGAGGAAGATGACATTGGAGAAAGTAAACATTTGGAGGAAGATGACATTGGAGAAAGTAAACATTGCGTGGAAGATGACATTGAGAAAGTAAACTATACATACATAAGAGTATTTTTCAATGTACAATATTTAGATAATAGATGCCATAAAAGTCATCATCAGTTTCCTATTTACAAAACTGAAGCCGTCTTTATTACAAAGCTTCATCAGGCAGAGATTGAGATTAATTAATTCAGACAATAATTAACCGACTAACACACCAGGTAAAATCTAGACAAATTCCCTTCATACATCTTTGTACGTCGTTAAACTAAAGTAACCTTGGTCTATATTTAAAACAGCCTGAATCACAAATCTACTAGTGACGCTATTTTAATTGCAGCGTCCTTGAGAAATCAGGTAAACCTGACGTGTCTCCATTTTTCACCTGCACACAGGTGTGTCTGCAGTTTATACAGGTGAGACCTATGTATATAGATACCATATCACGCAATTACATAACTTCTAAAATCCAATCAATACATGTAAGAACTATGTAAATACATGCCATGTCATGCAATTACTCAAATTTTAAAATCGAGTCGATACACAAACGAGACCTATTCAATGTATGATTGGGTCATCAGTTCACACAATCCTATAACAAGATGATTTCGTACCTGCTCTAAACATTGAATATAACGAAAATTGAACAAGAACTCGGTCATATAATGTTTAATTTGATTGTGACTATTGCAGTCTGAAATCCTCCGTACTTCATCTAGCATTTATATTAGCGCTATAGCAACCCAAACTTCTACTTTACATATAGCAAATGTTCTCTCTGCTTCTCTGTTTCTCTGTGTAAACACATAGGCACACAAAAACACAAACATACATACATAGATGTATGTAAATAGATGTTACAAATTTTAATGCATTGATAGATGTAATAAGTATTGTTCCGTTTCAAATCTGACGATCTATGTGCAGTTCACCCAGGTCTGTGGCCTCGGAATATGAAGGTCAGCACTAAGCACAACCGCCTTTACTTTCCCTAACGAACTCGAGACATTCGGGTTAACAGTCGCTCTCTCTACCTCTAGGCCACTTAGTATTTATTTATTGTGTATATCTGTATATATATAAATAAATAAATATATATATATATATTGATGGGTTCTTCTGTCTAGTGGTATCCAGGACAACGTATAGTATACGATACAGAATGGATAACACATTAATGATGAAATTGTATATATATATATATATATATATATATATATATATATATATATATATAATACGACCATAATATGAAAATACTGTTTGCACCACACATTACGATACACAATACACACCCGTACAAGTCCTCCCCCACAACCAACCACCACACAACCTAACACACGCTGTCTCACCGGTCAACTGACACACCTCACGTGAACACGTCTCGCTCCAATTGAACACACTCAACCAAGGGCTACAACTATACACAAAATAGTGTATCATTTGTTCGAACACACAAACACACAATAACGAACGACACACGTATTGGAACACACACATTTATACATATGCATGATAGTGTTTTCTGTGGACGAAATGCTGACATGATGGAGCATGTTCTAGACATGCAATGTGTCATGTTAAATCTGAGGAAGTCACGTGACAGCTCACACCGCCACAGGTACACATTGGTACCCCCAGCAGAGTTTTTGTTAACTATGACGTTAATCCGGCGTGGCGTCACGCAGGTAAGGCTGTAGTTTATCTTAGTCACATGTCTTTACTGAAGGTGTTTTTGCTTATGTGTACGGGGGGGGGGGGGGGTTAAAATAAATAGCTGAATCTGCAAAATTCAAAATGGCCATACCTGTTGCTGCAAATTTGTTGTATAACTTTTGTAAATATAATGTTGTGATGATCACACAATGCGTTAAAACGTTTCAAATGAGATGTGGCGGTCCATGGATATATTATATTGTATGGGGTTAGGTTAAATATGTCAATATTCTGTTATATAAGAAATGTGCACGGCCCAATTTTGAGCTTGCAGTATACATGTTAGTTAGACTTTCATATAAAAAACTTTTCAATGGGAAATTTATTTTTTTTTCCCTCATAGATTTCCAACTATATCTTGCCTTTAGATCCCCATCTATTCATGACCTAAAGATGTATAACCTTACTTTCTATATGTATATTGAGTTTGTCTTCTCTTAAAATAGCAAAATTTTGTCTTTAACTGCCGCGAAGGGAAAAAATAAGTTAGGCCGATATGTTTTTTTCTTTTATGAGTTGTCTTTGCTTGGCAGGTTAAAATTGTTCGCTAATGTTGCTATACCCAAATGCAGGTGTTGCCAAATGCAGGTGTTTTCTAAAGCAGATGTTGTCTAATGCAGGTGCTGCCTAATGCAGGTGTTGCTAAATCTAGTTATTATCTAGTGTAGGTGTTGCTTAATAAACCTGCCTAATACAGGTGTTGCCTAATGCAGGTGCTGCTTAATGCAGCTGTTGCCTGATGTACACTAACAGTCAAGACAAAGTATTTAAGTTGTACGACATGTAACTCCAGACTGTGTATTAATACACCCATGAGTGTTTAAACACATCAAGCTCTAAAGCATGCTGATCTTATTGTGCTGCTGTAGTTTGTCGAGACGATGCCGTCTATTAAAAAAAAAGCTGGATGATACATTTTTGTTTGAAAAAATTGTTGGATTATAAAGCTTAATTTTATAAGCACACACGTGTCGTACATCGCTCGACTGACGCACATCGCTCGACTGCTGCAGGGTGGTAGAAAACAAAATGTTCCTGTAGTCATCGTGTGTCTCCGGACGGAACATCGTGTGTCTCCGGACGGAACATCGTGTGTCTCCGGACGGAACATCGTGTGTCTCCGGACGGAACATCGTGTGTCTCCGGACAGAACATCGTGTGTCTCCGGACGGAACATCGTGTGTCTCCGGACGGAACATCGTGTGTCTCCGGACAGAACATCGTGTGTCTCCGGACGGAACATCGTGTGTCTCCGAACGGAACATAGTGTGTCTCCGGACGGAACATCGTGTGTCTCCGGACAGAACATCGTGTGTCTCCGGACGGAACATCGTGTGTCTCCAAATAGAACACAGCCCCCACCCCTCACCCCCTTTCAGAGCACATGTAATTCCCGTCCCCAAGACGAAATAGAAAGAAATATATAATTTATATGCACATCTTTAACCTGTGAGCACTCCCCCTGGGAGGTTTAAGAGCAACCAAGCCACGCCCCCACCCCGGGGTAAAATAGCTAAATACATGTGTGTGAGAGCTGAGTGAGACAATTTTACATTTGATATTTCCATCTGAAAGCCAGAATATTATCTGGGGATTTAAGTTTGGGCAATGGTAAAGTTTGCATAGTTATGGTGAAGTTTCAAGATTTAGGTCCGCAGCTTAATTTAAGTATCCAACCGCTTTACGTTAGCTGTTCCACCTCACCCATTCTTACTAAGTCTCCCGGGGGGATTTTCATTTTCCCCAGTCTCCAGATTCCATAGAAAATAATTTCCTTTATTCTCCGCCGTCTACAAACTTCAGACATAAGGACACAATAAATCTTTTGTACATACACATCCAGTTCAAGGTCGCGCTCGTTAGTTAGTCTAAAAATAGCTCACAGGATTAGTCTAGTCTAGAGAAAGTCACATGTAATTTATTTTTATCACTATACAGAAACATGTAATTATGGGCAATTCATCAACCGAACTTATTATTCTAACAGATTTTGAATTTCTTTTGGCTCGTTGAGAGCGCGGCCAAGAAGTAGAGCACTCCACATGTTTGTGAGTTTGTTTGAATGAGTCCACTCAGACAAAAAGCGTACCTGACTGCAGTCAGATTACCTAGAGGTGACTTCAGTCAGATTAGCTATAGGTGACTTTAGTCAGATTAGCTAAAGGTGATTTCAGTCAGGTTAGCTATAGGTGACTCAGAACATAGTTTAGTAAAACATGGTACTTTCATGTTAGGGTATTTTAAACGTTTGTCTATTTTGTAGCTTACATCACGTAAAAGGCCGGGCCGGTATTTTTTAACACCTGTTATATCAGCCGCTAGAGAAATAAATGCTGCGTTTTAAACGTGTAATGTGTACACAATGATGAGACTTGCACGTATTCTCCGAAACTTCGCCACGTTCTCAAGAAACTCTTGTAATGAATCGTGATGTGTGTAAGACGTTTTAGACACGGAGTGTGTGAAATTAAAAGATGATTAATTGTTCTGCGTGTCTTTAGGTTGAACGGATGTAGCGCCAGGGACCGCTACTCTGGTGGATTTGTGTCCGACTAAGTTACGGGCCCTGTTTTACACCAATCTTGGACTCGTTTTTCGGACATTTAAAAAAAATATTTTTCGCATTTTCCCTAAAGTCGTTTAGCCTGTCCTTTATTTTTTAATACATAGTTTGTAGCGTAGCAATTTCTTTTGCAATTTGAAAATGTTAATGCCTGATGACAACGTACGAATATCTAGGTTTTCAATCACATTATATATTAAATTAATTATTAATAGTAATTTAAATAGAATTTTGGTCAGAAAACAAAAGGGGAGATAACTAGATTGAAGGAATCAGTAAGGTACTCTGCAGTTATTTTTAAAAGTGCTAAAAATAACATAACAAAACAATTATAAAATAGATTGCTGTGCACTGACGTCATTAGTTTCTTAAAATTCTCTAATTTACGTACATTTAACCGATTACAATTCAAAAAGAATCCTACATCTAAATGTTATATAAGCTATTGAGTTGACAGCTTAACATTCGATACGTATTTCCTAAACATTTTAACTTTGAATATTATATGCTACTACGATTGTCTTGAAGTTTCGGTATTTGCGGCAAAATGAAAACTCACTTTTTTTTTTAATGTTTGCGAACGGCATAAAACTTTTAAGTGCGTGAAATTCACTGAAATCGCTTCATCGAGTTGATGTTAGCTAAGTCGCTGACAAGAACCGCTTTTATCAACACATGGTTCGCGATTTGGCGGCCTCAGTTCTCCCTCGTCAGGTCCCTTAACTCCACGTGACTACACAGGCTGTCATAACTTATCACCAGAAGTTCTCTCCCCTGAGTCACATGATGCGGACCGTCTACCTGCCCGGCTTGTCATCCATTTCCTCCACATTCTATGTCACTGCTGACGTTTCCTACTTTTTTACACGAGTTATCCCCCTTCTCAACCCAGCGGAAGTAACTCTAGCCTTAGTACAAGCATTTGACCAAATGAACGACCCGTACCGTAATGGGAAGCTACAACGAATAGCTAATATAGTAATAAGTAGCGGTCGAAAATGAGAAAAATATAACATATAGAACGAATATATAAAAAATCATTACTATTATATTATAGACAATTATATATACATATATATATATATATATATATATATATATATATATATATATATATATATATATATATATATATATATAATTTGAAAAGTAGACGTAAATGTTCTTTTTCTTTAGAAAAAGATGTTTTCTGAGATTTTAAAACGCCTGTACTTGAGTATATATATATATATATATATATATATATATATATATATATATATATATATATATATATATATATATATATATATATGCTTAAGGTTATGCACGGATATACACTAGTGCCTATACTTATCTCTTTAAAAAACAGATATAAAACGCCATTGTTTAATAAAATTAACATATCTAATAAAAAATACTTACATAACTGTATGATGATATAAAACTTTTATATAAAATACCCCGCTAATTCAGGTCCGATAACTGTGAATATATCGTGAAACTATCCAAAACATTCTTGAATACTAAACCCAATACATCCGCTGGTAGAAACCTATGTATTCCCTATCAGCTAAACACAATTGTTACACAGCCGACCACACGTTGCCATAGAAACAGCTGACCTGACCACTAGACTGGCCCTAATACTGACCTCACACTACGAACAAAACGTCTCTATGGAAATATTACAAAGGTTTTTTCCCCTGTTCCACTTCCTGTTGGTGTTGTCAAAGTGATTTATCTCCCTTGTCAGGACCCATAACCCTGTAACTTTTTTTGGTTCTAGCTATTTTAAACCAGCAGGACAATGCGTTAAATCTAGGTATAAAATTATTTCATAGCACAACCTGTATTTTTATGTCATGAGTTTAATACACAGCAACATGGGTAAAGGAATTACAATTTTCAACATGTAAATCATTGTTAATTATAAACCAAACAATATTTTTAATGTATAATAAAAAAGGAGAAAAAAAAGCATTATTGTTACAGATTTAGTACAAAATGAAAAAAATAATAACACAGCTTAACTTTGATCAGAGAAGTGAGCTTTACAAAACAACGGTGACATTAAATTTGAATATTCAGTAGAAAATATTTACAGATTTACACTCGTTTACATTTTGAATGCACGTGCGTATTTTATAAGGCTATACATAGTCACAATTATATACATATTTATATTTATATGTACACATAAAATTGCTTGAATAACTACTTATTTAATTAATCAATTACAGGTTAGCTATTTTAAATTTGAACGTTAACATTCAAATCTAAATTTCACGTCAACGTATCTTACAGGAATTTTTACACTATGCATAAACATGATAACAACAGCTTTACATATTAGACCCTGGTAATTTGTGTTAAATATACCCATGACGTCATTAAGAACACCGGAAGTGTGTGCCAGCTGATCAAACATGGTGACGATGACCTAAAGGCCTCGACAGTTTGAGCCAAATTGTAATCCACTATAACGTTGTCCCCTTCTGCAGGATAGAGAAGAAAATCATTGGTTTCCATGACAACGACTACTGATACAAGTTATTGAAGTTGAAGTCCAATTAGCTGAAGTAAACTGACCCGAGTTTTGTTTGGTATGGTACGGTTTGGGTATCAGATTAATTGATATTAATTGTCATTTAATTGCTGATCACGTCCCCATGTATACAAGTCTCAGTTTTTAATACAACACCAAAAATAGATTTTAGAAATAACCGAGACGTATATCGTCAAAGACTTCTTGCCGTACCCCCACTCTACCACCCTACCTGTAACTCACCTAGCGTGAAGTATGTCGTCAAAGACATCTTGCCGTACCCCCACTCTACTAACCTACACACACCTGTAACTCACCTAATGTGAAGTATGTCGTCAAAGACTTCTTGCCGTACTCCCACTCTACTCTCCTACACACACCTGTAACTCACCTAATGTGAAGTATGTCGTCAAAGATTTCTTGTCGTACCCCCACTCTACTACCCTACACACACCTGTAACTCACCTAATGTGAAGTATGTCGTCAAAGACGTCTTGCCGTACCCCCACTCTATTACCCTACACATACCTGTAACTCATCTAGCGTGAAGTATGTCGTCAAAAACTTCTTGCCGTACCCCCACTCTACTACCCTACACACACCTGTAACTCATCTAGCGTGAAGTATGTCGTCAAAGACTTCTTGCCGTACCCCCACTCTACTACCCTACCTGTGACTCAGCTAACGTGAAGTATGTCGTCAAAGACTTCTTGCCGTAGCCCCAATCTACTACCCTACCCTACCTGTAACTCAGCTAACGTGAAGTATGTCGTCAAAGACTTCTTGCCGTACCCCCACTCTACTACCCTACCTGTGACTCACCTAGCGTGAAGTATGTCGTCAAAGACTTCTAGCCGTACCCCCACTCTACTACCCTACACACACCTGTGACTCACCTAATGTGAAGTATGTCGTCAAAGACTTCTTGCCGTACCCCCACTCTACTACCCTACACACACCTGTAACTCACCTAGCGTGAAGTATGTCGTCAAAGACTTCTTGCCGTACCCCCACTCTACTACCCTACACACACCTGTAACTCACCTAATGTGAAGTATGTCGTCAAAGACTTCTTGCCGTACCCCCACTCTACTACCCTACACACACCTGTAACTCACCTAATGTGAAGTATGTCGTCAAAGACTTCTTGCCGTACCCCCACTCTACTACCCTACACACACCTGTAACTCACCTAATGTGAAGTATGTCGTCAAAGACTTCTTGCCGTATCCCCCACTCTACTACCCTACACACACCTGTAACTCACCTAGCGTGAAGTATGTCGTCAAAGATTTCTTGCCGTACCCCCCAATACTCCAGGCCGAGACACGGACAGCGTAGACCACCCCCGGGTCGACCTCGATGTGGGTGTGGTGGGCGTGGTGATCGTGTACCACGTGACGACACGCTGAGCGGTAGTTCTCATTGGCTGGCCAGTAGAAGACCTACCAATCAGAAACAGTTTGAACGAGTCAATAACGAAACGTGAACATAAAATCGATTCTTATAGTTGAAACCTTTTTTTTAAAAAAAAAAAAAAACTATCTACTACTTTAGGTGCAATGATTACAGACAAATGGAATGGACGTTGATTCTCATTTCATTCAGGTGATATAATTTAGTTTGTATTATGACAGCTGTATAAGGACAACGAGGAACTATACTGTCAATGCCCCATTGATAGCTCTGTTTGTTTTAGACAAGTGTTCCACTACTCGATAAGCACATATGGCTTAGCGATAGAGCGCTGGAATGCTAACCCGAATGAATCGAGTTCGAATCTTGGTCCAAATCAGTTGAGCGACCCTTAGTTAGGGAAAGTAAAGGCGGCTGGGCATAGAGCTGACCACATTAACTCTTCATATGCCAAGGTCTAGAAACATATGGACTCTACTTCATCTGCTAAGTCTAAAAATAAAACTTTACTATTTCTTTTTTTGTACTCGATATTCGCCTGCTGTAGCATACACGAGTTTTATTCAGTGTTCCTTTTAGACAGTTATATTCGGGGTGGGGGGGGGGGAATGGGAGGGGGCACTTGAAACTTTTTCAAGGGTACGCGGACTTAAATTTCCCGTGGGGGGGGGGGGGAGGGGCGGACATTGGTTAAAGTATATTACTTTATATTTAAATTATATTTCATTCCTCCGAAGAGATGCCTGAATGAAACTTTAGTTTTAAAATGCTAGCAACATTCTTTCTCGGTGTACAAAGTACAGGTTTATTTTCACCGACCTGGCTTTAAAATGTGTCTTCAGGTTGTCCAACTCTAAAAATAGAAGTCTTAAAATAGAACAACATGTAATGAAATGTCGTTTCTGTCGTGCGCAGGTACTTGGCAGGTCCACGCGACTTATTTATGTTTTCATTATTACATTATAATTGTATAATTATATTATGTCACAATGTCTGTCTGTCTGTCTGTCTGTCTGTCTGTGCCTTGAGTGGGTTTATTGTCAAATCTAGCAACTATATTTTGACAGTTTTTTAATGCCGCGATTTATTTTAACCTTTGCAGGTAAACTCCATTCTAACGACAGCAGTCTAATTTTTATCTTGTTTGATATTACTTTATACATTTTACAATAAATTTAAAGATAATTCATTAACCAAAGGGGAGATAACGGTAATTAATAATAACGACGACACGATCACGCCATATGATGGGGTGAGCTGGTGTTTATTGTTGTTTTCCGACCTGAGAGCCGACCACAGACATGCATTATGGGGAGGTTAATCGTTTAGGAGTAATATAACAAGCTATTGATTCAGCACAAACCTCTCCCCCCCCCATTTCCTTCACACTTTCTTCTGTACAACCTACCTACTCCCTACTCCCCACCCACTCCCACACTGCCCTCACACCCGATTCACCACAATAACATGCACATTTCCCTCTATCTGTACGATGTGTATCCCCCTCAACCACACCCACCCCACCCCCATTCCCACACCCTCGACTCACCACAATAACATGCACATTTCCCTCTATCTGCACGATGTGTATCCCCCTCCACCACACCCCACCCCCTCCAACCCACACCTACCACACACACTACCCTCACACCCTACTCACCACAGAACCGTGCACATTCCCCTCTATCTGCACGATATGTATCCCCCTCCACCACACCCTCCCCACCCCACCCATCCCTACCCTCACACCCGACTCACCACAAAACCGTGCACGTTCCTCTCTATCTGTACGATGTGTATTCCCCTCAACACCACCCCACACCACCCTCACCCCACATCTACCACACACACACACTTCCCTCACATCCTACTCCCCACCCACTCCCACACTTCCCCACTCCACACACTTCCCTCACACCCGACTCACCACAAAACCGTGCACGTTCCCCTCTATCTGTACGATGTGTATCCCCCTCCACCACACCACACCCACACCTACCACCCCACCCCCACCCTCACACCCTACTCACCACAAAACCGTGCACAATTCCCTATATCTGTACGATGTGTATCCCCCTCTACCACACCACCTCCACCCCACACCTACCACACACATTTCCCCCACACCCTACTCACCACAAAACCGTGCACGTTCCCCTCTATCTGTACGATGTGTATACCCCTCCACCACACTAGCACGTGATGACCACCGGCTGAGTACACTCTGATCTCCTCTGGGTACTGAGATGCGGCTGTCGTAAAAAAAAAATAACTATTTCATAAACCATCATTCTAAATGTTCACCAGAGACCGTAACACTTCAATTTTAGTTGCTAACTTAAAATATCAAATTACGTAAAATCGGACGTTTACTATTTAGTTTTATGCAGTTCGTATAAATTAGGTGTGTTTTTAAACCAATCAAAAATAAAGTTACATACTGACATCAATTATGATGCTTGATGGAATACAGAGGAGGGTTGTTTGCGACTAAATAAGCTGTTACTGATTAAAGAAAATTGAAAATACCCCTTGAGATCTGAATGTATTATCAGGAGAAACTGAACACTTCATCTAGAATAAGTAAAACTGCTCAAGTGAAGTAATTGCCACACATTTACTTCCTTTGCCATAAAAATGCGCAATTGGAAAGCTGCGCAACGGAAAACTGCGCAAACAGAAAAATGCGCAAATACAAACTAATTATACAAATGCACTTTAATGCTGTCATATCTTGTAGAAAAAGTGTTTTATTTTGTACATGAAGTCACTCTTTGTTAATTTCTATAAATGCTCGAATTAAGAAAAAAAAACTGCCTTGCGCACTTTTTTGTACGCAGTTCTCTGTTGCGCAGTTGTCTGTTGCGCATCTTTCCGGTGTCAATTCCCTTCATATGCCGAGCTCAACTATTGCATTGATCGCAAATAAAAAGTCTATCCGTCAGAAAAGTTCAAACATTTCCTACATTTTACTATTACATATTCGATACAGAAATGCACCGTAGGTTTTAAATAAATTGTATGTAGTTTCATGATTGACATAGACAGAGTTCTCGTGTGTGCTGAGTACCCGTGTGTGCTGAGTACTCACGAGCAAGCAACGTCTCCTGGTAGTAATACTCTGAGATGGGCCCAATGCCGGCCGAGTTGTAAGCCTGGACTGTGAAGTAGTAGAACTCTTCACTGCGGAGACCGATGACAATACCAGAGGTGACCTGACCCTCATAACGGATGAACTCTTTGTAGTCGGTCACCACCTCAGACTCATGCCAGTAGTTGATCTGGGAAATTAGAGAACCTACTGTTTTAATGTATGGCTCAGGGACTTGGAGGGTTGTGGGGATGTGGGGTTGTGGGTTTGTGGGGTTGTAAAGTAAGGGGAAGTAGAGACAGTTGGGGCCACCACTGGTCACACTCCAATTATGCATATATGTCGAAGTGGACTTTAAAGATAAACTCTGCTTCATATTGCTTATTTGTCTGGCCTATAGTTGGTGCGGAATAAGTACTTGAATTAATTCATAGTTGCATGTCTATATTTATGTAATTTACATATAAGGACTAAGCTAAGACCTCACCTGATATCCAAGAATTGATACAAGTCATGTCTACCTTCATACAGCTACAAGAACAAAGCCGAGAATTCAGACAACTCATGTCTACCTTTATACAGCTACAAGAACAAAGCCAAGACCTTACCTCATATCCAAGAATTGAGACAATTTATGTCTACCTTCATACATGTACAGGAACAACGTTAAGACCTCACCTGATATCCAAGAATTTTTCCCCTGGCGTATTCACGTATGGGCGGTACCTCAACCCACGTGACCTCCATGGCGGTGCCGTTATAGCCCTCAGCTCTCACGTCGGTTGGGACTGTGGCTGGCACTGTGGGGCAGATAGACACGAGATCACGGAGATTTATTTCACAGTTCATAGAAATGAATTCTACGTGTCTTCCATGAACATTTTTAATAAACCAAGCTTATGCTTTCTAAAACTTGAGCATGATAGATATATTATGAACATTACACTTTCAAGTCTATACTTGCTATAGTTGTAGCTTTAAACTTACGATCTTCAGCCGACATGATAACGACCTCTGTAGAATTGGGACCGTAGCCAGCATCATTGAAAGCCTGGATCTTAAAGTCGTACTCTAAAAAATAATTCTCCACCCCGACCAGCGTCGTGTAGTGGTCAGTGGTGCCCAGCAGCTTCACCTGACAAGAGAATCCCTACATTAAATTATGGTTATATATATTTTTATACATTCAAGTCAGGCATAATGTAGTATGATTTAAAATTTATAAACAATGGTAGACCTACAGCATAAACTGGTTGCGACTAAACCCAAAAATAAATATTTAAAAATATATTAACAATAACCACAAAATTACGTCGTAATGACCAGCCTTATGGCTGTAAAGGTATTTATTTACCCAGGGAAATAGAAAGATGTCAATAGTATTTGGGATTATTTTACCTGTAATAGGCCTTAAACTACGCAACGCGCAGTGTTTCTTTCAGACTGTTTTCTTCGGGGGTGCACTTAAAATTTTCGGGGGGGGGGGGGGGGGGGGACGGACGGACACTGTCAAAAGTATATATTTCCTATATAAATTCCATTTCGTTCGGGGGACAGTAGGCTTTCTTCGCCCCCCCCCCCCCCCCCCTGAAGAGATGCCTGGAAGAAACTCTGGTAACGCGTCAAATTTATTTAAATGATCATCATTGACGAGTCATTGCTGACGTCACCCCACTTACCGTAGACCAAGGCTCCGCCCCCGTGTCCGTGTGTCTCCGCCAGTACAGGACGTATCCGAACCCGCCCCCCGCTTGTTGAGCTTTAGACATTGCCTGTGGAGTTGATAGCATTGGTTTGTAGTCTAGCTTTACTTTGTGGGTCTTCTCAAATGTTACTAAAATCATACGTATAGATTTTACACTGCTGGAACTTACCGTCCACCTCATGGTCAGGTCACCCACCTTCCCGTCCCCACCACAAGGATGAGCAGGGGCGATGGTAGGTGCAGCAGTCAAAGTCTGGATGATTCCTTGAAAAAAAATTGTGTTTACGTTTTGGTGCTTTTTGATATGCGTTGTTAAAAATGTTGGTGCTTTTGGTCAAAAGTTATAACAGATTTGGAGCTTTTGGACATCCTTTGCTAACATTTGGCTGCACTTTTGGTAATAAATTCTAATAGCTTTGGTGCTTTTGGCCATGCACTTTAACAAGAACTCTGCACATGCCAACTAAATGTGCACCAAACAACTGATGCTCTACTGACAATAAAAGCCATGTTAACGCTAAAAAACGGTTACTCTTTTGTGCACATAAGCTAAAATTACAAAATAAATCAGGTTTTTTCACAGTTCTATTTCGTGGGCCTCATCCACAAGCTTAGTGTGTCGCAACAGTTATTTTCGTAGGCCTCACGCATTGCCTTCAAGAGCCGCAACCACTATCTTCTAAGGCCTCTTCCCTTACCCACAAGGGCCGCAACCACTTGTTTCGTAGGCCACATTTATTGCCCACAAGGGCTGCAACCACTACTTTCGTTGGAAATTCGGGACCTGAGAGTGGTCCATGCGATGACCTAGCTATGATGGGTTTACCTGATCGCTATAGAACATGTGGGTATACCTGATCGCTATAGAACATGTGGGTATACCTGATCGCTATAAAACATGTGGGTATACCTGATCGCTATAGAACATGTGGGTATACCTGATCGCTATAGAACATGTGGGTATACCTGATCGCTATAGAACATGTGGGTATACCTGATCGCTATAAAACATGTGGGTATACCTGATCGCTATAGAACATGTGGGTATACCTGATCGCTATAGAACATGTGGGTATACCTGATCGCTATAAAACATGTGGGTATACCTGATCGCTATAGAACATGTGGGTATACCTGATCGCTATAAAACATGTGGGTATACCTGATCGCTATAGAACATGTGGGTATACCTGATCGCTATAGATTACTATAGAACATGTGGGTATACCTGTCGGCAGGCTGGGTGGGCTTGAGCCGAAGTTATTGACAGCCGTCACTCTAAACCTGAAGCCACACCCCGGGGAGAGTCCCGTGACCACCGCAAACCTCTTGACCTCCTGGTGGTGGATGGTGGCGGAGGCAGGTAAGACTGTGGAAAACATTGGCAGAAAATATACATAGAGACCAACGGTAAAACCTCTTTGAAACATCAATACGATGTAGGCAAAATAATGTAACATATTTCCATTGTAGAATAAATATATTGCTGAACGTCTAGCCCACCTAACACTGATACATTTTCACTAAATATAAGCATATGGGGTCCCACAATCGAGTCATCAGAAACCCCCAACTCGCTACACTACTCCCTCCCGACTCCCACACTAGGATAAGCTGTTCCGCCATTACAGACAGCAGACAGTTAGTGTAAGACGGAAGTCTGTTACTGATACGGCTTAATACGCCCATCCCCCCAGCCTAAGACTTACACGACAGAACACCCAATTCCACGCCCCACGTCCCCCCTTCCCTTTTTTACACGCACCCCCCCCCCCCCACCCCATGCTCATACTAAACCCTACCCCCTGCCTTCCAAACATTTAGCCATTGCAAGACTTACACGGCAGAACAATTTTCCACCTGTCGTCTTCGTCAACATTAGCTGCCTCTATGACGTAATTGACGATAGGACTGCCGTTGTCGTCGTTGTCTGTCCATCTGCGGGGGGGGGGGGGGGGAAGGGAGAGGGGAGAGGAAGTGGAGATGAGAAAAGAATGGCAGCCATTTAGGATTAGATCACATTCAAAATATGTACAACTTTAATAGTTCCATTTAAAATCAAACTAAGTATACATTACAACACATTCAATGCAATATTGTTGAAAAGTTTTTCTAGACTTTGATTGTATAGATAATTGAACTTGATACTTTAACAGATCGTACTTTTAATCCACCTGTGCTGTGCGTACCAGCTTATATTCGAACAACTTTTTTTTTCTCATTTCAGCACATTCACACAATTGTTACATTTGGTTAAATATATTATCGTTTATTTTTAACACCCATAGTACTTCCGTTTTAGCCTTAAACGTAACCTTAAAATTGCATTTTAAAATAGGTATTGCATTGACTTCATTAAAAAAATCCTAACGGTTAATCTGAATTTATTCCTAGTCTGAACATTATTTCCCATCATAAACCCTTGCATAAACTGGTCGCACGCGTAAGAATCAAAACACTTTTCTCAAACATCATGTACACAAGTGGTTTTCTCAAGCAACTCAAATCAAACCACTAGATAGTTTACCTGACCAAAACACTAGAAAGTTTACCTGACCAAAACACTAGAAAGTTTACCTGACCAAAACACTGGTGTTGGTTGCCGTTGTTGTGTCCGCCATCACACCCAGCGGCTCAGAGGGTGGACCTAAAGTCACAAACAATATTTAGAAAATTAATAACATAGACTAGAAGAGTTGCTGTCCCTATCTATAGACCCTCAAATTACCAAAAATGCACGATTTAGCTTTTGTTCGAAGGCAGGTCACTATGAGATGTGTATACAACTATTTTTTCTTAAAGCCCGTCTTTCATTAGATGTAGATAAAATTGAAAAATAAACATTCCCATAAGGTCATATGCAGACCTAATAACAACGCAATAAAATGCTCCTGATCTAATACATCGCCATAGAAACGGCTAATAAAAAGCACTGGGATTAGTTTTGGACCTAACGGGAATATATATAAATTGCACATGACTATAACATAAACCTACCAAATATAGCATAACCCTACAGGGAATGTATACAAAGGCCACATGACTATAGCTTAAACCTACCAACGACGTATACACATGCAACATGACAAGTATAAACCTACCAACGACGTATAAAAAGGCCCCTTTCTTGTCGTGGGACATGGAACTTGTGGCCAGACACTCGTAACGTCCCGTGTGACGTATGTTGACGTGCTGGACGTAGAGACCTGTTTTACCACCTGTCTCCTCGTCCACCTGCAGATACATCAAGTGTTACCATCAACATGTTGGTTTCACTCAACATGTTGATAATTGGTCTCACTCAACATAATGATAATTACTGTCAATCAACAAGTTGATATAATATTGCTGTAAATGGACATCCATTTTATCTGCTTATATCAAAATAAAAAATTATATTAGATTTATTTAAATGTAAGAAAAAGCGAATGGTAGTCACGACATGAGAACTGTGTACCTAGATACCAAAGCTAAATCATTCCATGTTAAATACAGCAATTGCCGCAAGTAGGATTTTGTAAGTAGGGGAGGCTACCGTGTGCACAAAAGAGTTAAATCGTCAAAACGTTTTGGTCTAAAAAGTAGTCAAGGGAAACAACCGGATTTTTAAAAAAAATATACATATAGAAAGAAAAAAGAAATCGGTAACCAATTTATATAAAAACGTACGTAAAACGATTTTTAAAATGCTAAAATTTGAAAATAGACTGATTTTCTTTATATTCTAAATCTACGGTCATTAAAACGGCTAGAAAAAAATTCCAGCCGTAAATATATTGATTATTTTATAAACAAATAGTCTTTTAATTAGTTGATCTAAGATTTCATATAAAATAATAAATTGCATTTCATTGTCGACCATGATGATTCCAATACTACTGTAGTAACAAGATCATTAATTACATATCGATATTTGAAAGTAACATCAAGGCATTACTCTGACCATTTTGTACTCTGATGATCTGCTGAAGTCTATGGGGTGACCGTTGAAGAGCCAGGTGTAAACCAGGTCAGTTCCAGGTGAGTAGCTGGCATGGCAGACGAAGAACACGGTGGTGTTGGCTGGAACCCTCTGGTCTACGGGTGACACGGTGATGTATGTACCAGCTGGGGAGAGGTTCGATGCCTTGATTTTGTTTTGTTGTTTTTCTGGATTAATTATATTCATACTGGCTGTGATCTTTAGGTATTTTAAACGTTAATTATGGAGAATGTTAACACAAAATACAAACATTCACAAGTAGCCATAAATACTGCTGTACCTTACTATACCAAATTTAACAAAAGTGAAGTAGATAAAGAATTTTACCAAAAAAAAATACAACTGAAGAATATTGTTTCTAGAAGATAATTACATAGTGAATTACACTTGCTCAAAGCTGTAATTAAAATGAAAATATTAACCTTTTATAATAATTAACATCATCTTGGATAAAAAGGCTTACTGTCAAAATTAAATTGTTCAAATTAAGAAAATAATTTTAGAAATGCTTTATTGATTGCTTAATTCGCCCTATATTTTGAAGATTATTTTATTATCTTTATAAAAATTCTTTGATTTTCGTAGTTTATTACAATAACTTATAATGTTAAAGGTAAGTACTCAACTTATACGTTTTTTGGAATTAATTATAAGTACTATGAATCATATTATATTCCTATCTCGTAAGGATTTGTATTATACGTTTTCGATTTTCGAACTTGATTGTAAATAGAATTAATTAACCATATTGGTGAAACTTAATTAAGTAATGTCACAGTGACCTACCCACAACCCTCAGCTGGGTGAAATCCTCCGCCTGACCAAAGCTGTTGTTAGCCACACACCTGTACTGACCCTTGTCCTCTTTCGCCAGATGCATGATGGTTAAATACCCCTCTGACGTCATTTCCGTTCGTGGTAACAAACTGGACAGGAGGACGCCATTTTTGTACCACGTGATGTCCGGCATCGGGGCCCCCTCGGGTCGACAGACTATGGTCACGTTACCCCCAACAGGGCCCCATGTTGTTTTAGGTAGGGGGTGGTTGAGAAAGCTAGGCTTAAACCCTGTATTGTGGGTGGGGGAGGGGACACCAAAATGACATTTGTAGTAACATTGTTAAGTAATGATTGCTAAAAATTTGATACAACTATACCCATCTATTAAGCTTGTTGTGTGATGAACAGTGGTGAGTTTGTTTCAATAATACAGTGCAGTGTACAACTTTTCTAGTAGGTGTTCACAATATGGATTAAAATAAAGAAAATTGGCATGCTCAGGTTGATAAAGCTCATGGCTGGTAAACGAACAGTCCCCGCGATAGATAGGTGGGTACAGCAACTCATGTAGAAATTAAACAACTGCCACCTTGTATTTATTCTTTTATTTGAAAAAAAGGATATATGTTTTATGAAGGAAAAGTAATCCGAAATCGGAATCTTTCTGCGCAATACTTGTTGATACGTAATATTTAATTATTTTGGAGGAAATCCTGTTGAAAAATTCTGAACGAAGCAGAAGAAGCAAGACATAGAAACAAAACAACACCAACATGATTTTCTGCTTATAGAGATCAGCTTGCACGCCCTTTTACTGGATAGTTGTCGTAAAATATCGTAATGTAATGGATCACGTGACAGTCCGGCAAGGCAGTCTCGACACTCACATAAACTTAACTACGTGGACGGTTCACAGAAAAAATCCTATTTGTCGAACAGTCACCGGACCTACCCAGAAATAGGAGTTGACCTTCAGACAAGGACGTGCCGTGTGTGTTTGTGGCTGAGCACTGGTACATGCCGTTGTGACGTGTGGGCTCCAGGCGGTGAAAGGTCAGCACGTTGCGGTGTACCTGGCCAGGTAGTATATAACAGGTTCTTAGGTTTTTATATGTATTTAATTATTTTTTAAACTACTTGTTTTTTTACAAAGGTGTTTATTAGTTATATCGTATATTTCAGTATTTGTAAACAAAATTGGGTTTGGAATATAAGCTCACATGCTTATTGTCTGTGATAAAAAACTTATAAAAATATTTGAATCCTTACCCGGATGCCGGCGTCTGCGCTGCTATTTAGGAGCTCCCCATTCCTGTACCATTGGAAAACCGGGGCTGGCACCCCACCGGCGTCACACCGCCAAGTTAGTTGGGACCCGATGTCAGCGTATTGGCTGGTCAGTGGTTTTATAAAGTAGGGTTTGGCTGAAATATATTGGTTGGTCAGTGGTTTTATAAAGTAGGGTTTGGCTGAAACATATTAAATGGTCAGTGGTTTTATAAAGTAGGGTTTGGCTGAAACATATTAAATGGTCAGTGGTTTTATAAAGTAGGGTTTGGCTGAAACAGATTGGATGGTCAGTGGTTTTACGAAGTAGGGTTTGGCTGAAACAGATTGACTAGTCAGTGATTAAATGTAGTAGGGTTTGGCTAAGTGACCTCTAAACGCGTGTTAAATTATAAACATAATTTTCTGCATGTATATATGTTATATTAAAATTTTCTTTTAGCAAAGGCTGCTAAGTACTTTAAGAAACAAATGTGCCTGCCTCCAAATACTGACGATTACCTCAATGTGCTACGCCATCTTGTCCTACCCTAAGATCTAAATCAACTACTGTGCTCACCTCTTAGTTCAAGGTCACCCACTGTGCCCACCTCCAAGTTCAAGGTCACCCACTGTGCCCACCTCCAAGTTCAAGGTCACCCACTGTGCTCACCTCCAAGTTCAAGGTCACCCACTGTGCTAACCTCCAAGTTCAATGTCACCCACTGAGCTCACCTCCAAGTTCAAGGTCACCCAGTGTGCTCACCTCCAAGTTTAAGGTCAACAGACTTCCTGTCCCCCGTGCTGGAACTCCGTGTGACAGAACAGGTGTACACGCCCTGGTCTTCAAGTCTGGCATCTCTGATGGTCAGCACCCGGCCGTGGTCACTCTGGTAGGAGTTGGCCGGCAGGGATTTGTTCTGACGGTGCCAGCTGTAGAGGAACTCCGACGTGGAGCTGGCAGATAAAAATAACCCATCTAAAATAATCATCTTGACCAGGGGTTCCCAACCTTTTTTTAGAGCACATTCTAAAATATCGGTAGGGAGGCGGGCACCACCTATTTTAAATCGACAAACTCCTTCCAGCGACCCTTCCCGTCACCCGGGGACAAAACTTTCGATTTGCATCCCCCCTCCTCAAACTTTTGATTTGCACCCCCCCCCCCCCACCCCCTCAAATTTTCGATTTGCACTCCCTGCCCCTCAAACTTTCGATTTCCATCCCCTTCAACCTTTCAATAATGTTTATGAAAAAAATTCTGTCTCTGTCGAATAGTGAGAGGCGGGCACATACGAATCGTTCGGCGGGCGCCATGGCGCCCGCGGGCACGGGGTTGGGAACCCCTGATCTAGACACACAATAACATAATCAATACTAATCGATACTTTAGCTTAATGCAATTTTAATACACATTCAATAATTGTGCTCTGAAATAGATACTTAAACTTAAGAAAATTGATTTACACATTCAATGAGGATGCTACGAAAACGTCAAGCACAATTTATTTGCGAGTTTCTTCAAACTATGAATAAAAACCATTTAGCGTCCAATGTTAGCATAGTATAATTGTATTTATTATTATAGCCTAAAAACCTATGGCTTTAAATAAGGAAAAAATAATTCACACTGAACAAAAGAGTTTTACTAATAATTGGCCATATATGTAAAACAAATAACACATTTTACCCTTTAGCATTAAGGTTTTAAAACAGTAGGTCAGAACACATACGATATATGTTTCAACCAAATGAAAATATGAATTAAAATATGAATTAACACATAAAGAATACTATTGATCAAACGGACACCAATCAAGCTAAATTTACCGAAATTTGTATGACAAGTATATCTGTACTGATATCGTAACCACAATCTTACGAGCCGTATGCGAAACATTCCATCCTGACTAAATTTACCGATATTTTTATGACAAGTATATCTGTACTGATATCGTAACCACAATCTTACGAGCCGTATGCGAAACATTCCATCCTGACTAAATTTACCGATATTTTTATGACAAGTATATCTGTACTGATATCGTAACCACAATCTTACGAGCCGTATGCGAAACATTCCATCCTGACTAAATTTACCGATATTTTTATGACAAGTAGCCTATATCTGTACTGATATCGTAACCACAATCTTACGAGCCGTATGCGAAACATACCACCCTGACTAAATTTACCGATATTTTTATGACAAGTAGCCTATATCTGCACTGATATCGTAACCACAATCTTACGAGCCGTATGCGAAACATTCCATCCTGACGTCATGTCCAGCTAGAGGTGGTTTGGGAAAGACGGCAATGAACTCATCCTGAATCTCTGGGCCCCATATGGCTTTTGGCGCTGATGACGAGACAGTGGTTCGCACTTTACCCATTTTTTTAAAACAATAATTTATATAAGAAATATTAAAAAAAAGTTTAACGACGAGTAAAAAGCAGGAAGAGCTGTTTGACCTTGGTCGTGCACGTGAAGCATGATGGGTAAAGATGTCCGGGAGGGGGGCTGGGTGGTGCCAATGGTGTGCTGGTTCCCGCCCGTCAAGGTGGCCAGACAAAAATATTTGCCCTCGTCTGCTCGTGTCACCTGACAGGAGGTACAATGATAACATGAACGTTTAAACTAATTACTGAAGTGTTGGTTCACTGGGAAATTCGGTGCTGGAAAACTGCGCAACGGATAAATGCGCAAATAGAAAAATTCGCAAATACAAAATAATTATATTAATGCATTTTAAATTTGTCGTATTTTGTAGAAAAGTGTTTAGAGTTTTAGATGTATTTGTATGAAAGTTACTGCTGAGCAATATAACACTAGGTGCGTTGGTGTTGAATCTTACTTAGATGTATTTGTAATGAATCTTACCTCAGAGAAATAGATGTTTTAATGTGTTTGTAATGAAACTTAACTCAGAGAAATATATCTTTTTATGTGTTTGTAATGAATCTTACCTCAGAGAAATAGTTCTTTACATATCTTTGTAATGAATCTTACCTCAGAGAGGTAGAGCTTTATATGTCTTTACAATGAATCCTACTTCAGAGAAATAGATCTTTACATGTCTTTGCCATGAATCTTACCTCTGAGAAGTAGAGTTTGCCGTTGTGTGAAATAAACATGTAGTGTTGGTACTGTGGTCTGACGAACTGGTCCACGTTTTGTTTGAACCAGTTATAGCTGATGGCTGGGGAAGGGATGGGGGACAGGTGGTAGAATGGTGTAGAGGTGGTTATGGAGGGCGGTAGAGTGGTTAAAAGGGGTTTGTGGCAGCGTAGTTAAAGGTGGTTATAGGTGATTGAAGATGCTAGGCAGTAGTGGTGATTAAAGGTGAATGGTGGTAGAGTTTATAAAGTGGTTGGTAGTAAAGGTGGTTGAAATTGCTTACAAGTAATTATAGCGATTGTGAAAGTGGTTAAAAGTGGTAGGCGGTAGTGGTGGTTATAGGAGGTTGATGGTAGAGGGGGTTAAAGGTTGTTAAATGTGGTTGGTGGTAGAGGTGGTTAAAGGTGGTTATAGGTGGTTGTTAGTAAAAGTGGTTAAACTTAATTATATAATGTTATTTATTGAATAGTTTAACAACTCTGCATTTGTATTCAATTGATCTTCCATTTTGCACAACCAAACTTTTAAAATTACGTTATATATGTTTTAAATAACACGAGATTAAGTGTGAAAGAGGTAGTTAAACATGATAATATATACTTGTGACGTTTGCGATTTTCTACTGATGTACATCGCTAGAGCCGAGATATGCTTAGACGAGTAAAAAATGTGACATATTGCCTTGATGAAAATGTTTTAAACGACTTTTCGTGCCTCACCTGGTCTATAGCTGATCCTGCTGCAGTCTATGGCGGCACCTTCATAAGCTTTTACATTGACAGGTGCGTCAGGAACATTCGAGAACTCACCAATTTCTGGAATCAAGATATTTAGAGTTACCGATATTGTTACATTGTAGAGTAGGGGCTGTTGTATCATCTTGGAGGTTTGCATGATCCTTCGGTAGCAAGGTTCATTTGCTCTTGTGGCATATCGAACTTGTTTGATTGGCAATTTTATGTGTCTCAAATATTGTTGTTCAATTAAAAACTTAATTAACTATGTTTTTTTGGTATCAGAGTTAGTAAAGACAATGCAGTATAAGTAAATTAGCCCCCAAGTAGCTTTATTCAAGGTGTCTGTCATAATTGCCAAGCTTCTACCAAACTATAAATTTTCACTATTTAAGGAATGAATGAAATAAAAGAAACATTATGACAACCAACCTCCAAACGACAGCCGGATGGCACGGCTTACAACCGCCCCGAACCGGTTCTCCGCTCGACATTTGTACACCCCTCCGTCCAGATCTTCTCGTGGGTTCTGGAGACATGGAGGTACTATATATCAGAGATAACATAGTTTCTTCCAGGCATCTCTTCGGGGGGGGGGGGGAGGCTAAGCCCCCCGAAAGTTTTTTACCGCCACCCCCCGAACGAAACGAAATTTTTATAATTTATATAGAAAATATATACTTTTAACAGTGTTCGCCCCCCCCCCCCCCCCGAAGATAGTCTACCGCCCCCCCCACCCGAAAATTTCAAGTGCCCCCCCGGAGAAAAAAGTCTGGAAGAAACACTGCTAGATATCATAATTGTATGTAGGTCAGTCGACATGTATGTACATTTTTAATTAATGAACCATCCACAGAAAACTAGCCAATTCACGGAACGATACATTTAAGTACAGATATATATATATATATATATATATATATGTGTATGTATGTATATGTATATATATATATATATATATATATATATATATATATATATATATATATATATATATATATATATATATATATATATTTATATATATATATATATGCCTATAGAAAACTAAGCAATGTATCTCAAAAGAAAAAATAATATTCCTTACAAGATATTTTGTTTTAAAAAGAAATGATTGGTGTTGGTAGATCTGATAAGCCTACTTCAGTGTGTAATTTTTTAATCATTGACCAGCATATACATCACATCGCCTGGTATGTCGTAGCATAAGAAATATTTCCTTTTGTCAATGATAAACATATTTAAGACAAAATTATCACTAGTTGTTCCGCTACTTATCTGTATCACATCTTTATCTGTATCATAACCTTAACCTAAATACAAATAGTGTAACTCTTCAGTAAAATTTAAAAAAAAAAGGTGTAACTATATTCGTTGTGAAGCATCTTCATGAGCTCTAACAGGAACATAAATCACAATTCTTTAAGATGCTTGCTGCAACTCGTGCTAAAAACATATGTTTAACATGGCACATCATCATACATCACATTCCTAATTAATCACATACACTAAACACAAACAACATGAACCTAAAAATAACTTACGTCTATAATTAGCTTCCCATTTGTTAGAGTGTATCGCTGGTCTAACTCTGACGTCACGAGTATTTGGAAGTTATCCCCCCTCCACCAGCTGTAAACCGGATGTGGATTCCCAATGACGACACACTCTAGTTCCGCCACTAGGGGGTTCCCCACTACCACCGTATCACGTGGTTCATATAAGAATCCCGGGCCTCGTTCAGAAAGCCCAGAGTCGGCATGATGAAAGCCATAGTCTGAAAGTCATTTGCCAGATATGTGACTTCACACGTAAACATAAGATGCAAAGATTACAAATGATTCTCAATGTACACAAACAGGTCATCATTGTAACCAATGTTTACTTTAATAAAGTGATAGCTCTGAGCCTAATGCTAGAAGTAACTAATACTAATTATTTAGACAAATTACTAAACCGCAAAACTAAATACCTACAAATAAAAAAAAAAATTCTTAGTTTGTCTAATTAAAAATAATGCTGAAATGCTTGGTCAAAATGTCTGTTCAGTTTTAATTCTTATTTCGAGTACTATTTAAGAACGACATAGATAGTATAATTAAAAGTAACTCGAGAAGCAATCTATATTGTCTAGTTCAGGGGCTCCCAACCTTTTTTTACTCTACAGCACGTTCTAAAATATTGGGAGGGTGGAGGGCACCACCTATTTTAAATCGACAAACTCCTTCCAGAGGCGTAGCGACCCGGGGAAAAAACTTTCGATTTGCACCCCCCCCCCTCAGGTGTTGGGAACCCCTGGTCTAGTTATTTAAATTCAGTACTATACAATGACATGTTATTGTAAACATTTTTCTTCAATTTTTCTATATCGGCCTATTATTAAGTGACTTTCTATGGATTATTAATTGAATTTCTAAGGATTATTGAGTGAAGTTTTATGGATTATTACGTGCAGCTCTGTGGATAAGTGAATGCAGAGATTATTCTAGAAAAAATATGTATCTATTAATTTATTGAAGTTTTCCATCCATATTTATGTCCTGCGATTATGTTTGGTGTGAACTCTGATGGTTCACTACTGATGTAGATAGTGGGATGTCTAATGTCTGGAAAATTCTAGAAGCAGCAACTCACCAGCTGACCGTAGGCCTTGCACTATCCTGTAGGACTCGGCAGCCGGTACCTCACAGATGTAAGGCAGGGGTTGGATACCCGAGGCTAGGGTCCAGCGGTATCCTAGATCTGGGGGGGTGGTCAAACTGGCGTTGTGATGGCTAGTTAGTGGAGAGCGTTAGTTCGTTAGAGAAACAACACCAACTGGCGTTGTGATGGCTAGTTAGTGGAGAGCGTTAGTTCGTTAGAGAAACACCACAAACTGGCGTTGTGGCTAGTTAGTGGAGAGTGTTAGTTCGTTAGAGAAACACCACAAACTGGCGTTGTGATGGCTAGTTAGTGGAGAGCGTTAGTTCGTTAGAGAAACACGACAAACTGGCGTTGTGGTGGCTAGTTAGTGGAGAGCGTTAGTTCGTTAGAGAAACACCACAAACTGGCGTTGTGGCTAGTTAGTGGAGAGCGTTAGTTCGTTAGAGAAACAGATTCCAGTCCAGTAGCTGTCCATTTGTCCGCCTAGCTATGACTCGACAATGGGATAGAGTATGGTGCTGACCATAGTTTTATTTTTCCACATGCGGAGGTCAGGAAAACAGGCTAATGGTGATTGATTTTACCCTATTGGCCTATTTGTCTAAAAATTGTATTTACTTTTTAGCGCAATTTCCTTACAGGACATCTACCAATCGATTCCTGCCATAATTTAGAACAATATTGCCGAAGGAAGTTTTCAAAAATATCCTATCGTTCGGTCACAAAAAATTAATTACTACTTTTTTAAACTGAGCATCGTGTAGGCTTTTTTCCCCCTTTTTTTCGACTGATACGGGAGGCTAGCCTGTCGCGACGTGGGATCATTCGCGTCACTGCGCACGGCAAGAGAGAGAGAGAGAGAGAGGCGAGCTACGCGTCGCTCGTTTTTTTCCACGTGCTAATGTTTACAAACAAGAGGGCGGGTTTTAATCATAGTCAAATACTAATATACATGTTTTAGTATTTGGGCACCGTTGCTAAATATATGATTTATCTCGATTTAAAATTGGTATGGATAACATAATGAAATTGCGCTTAAATTGTCACTAGACTTTTTATTAACTTGTTTTATACTAGCGCTTGATGATAAACTTGATCAGAGGGTATATACTTTTGAGGCACATAAATAAATGGAATTGGTGTAATATTTGATTTAAAATGAACAGCATTTTTGTGCAGTATACGAAATTTCTAACCAAAGCTCAATTCAAAACTATTACATAGGGAAACAATAGCGAGTCTAACTGGTATTGAAATTAATTACTCTATGAATTAAAAAAAAAACAACAAATGGTTGACGTCATACACATGCTACCTGAAATCAGACACTACTCGAATAAAGTCACTGGTGGACAAGCTATTGTGGTTCAAACGGTTTTCGAAAAACTAAAAGTTAGTACATACTAGAAGCGGGTAGCTTATTGTTTTTAAAACATAATGTTGGGCACTTGGGTATTGAATAAAGACGTATTTTTAAAAGATAAAGGAACATATACAAACTTACCGAAGTGTTTGTAGACAATCACACCAGAAAGGAGACTCGACTGCGTCTCGTTCAGCATGAGCAAATCTGGGGAAGTGACGTCATCGCCAGTGCCCTGCCACGTCAGAGCATAGCCGCCATTTTGTACAGCCTCTCGCTTGCCGCTTGTGTACCAAGATCGTCTGCAAAGTAACTTCTGACGTGCGACATCCAACAAAAATCACATATCTGGCTGCATACGTTAATTAACATAACACATAAAGATACTTTCATCCAACATAATTAAACTACAAGCCTCACAATAAAATAGGCTATAACTTTTAACATGTACACAGCAAATGTAATTCACAAGAACACATGCGTAAGCTCGACAGCTTGTTCCTTTAATCTCGTATGTCGGGGCACTCGTATGTCGAGGTACTGCTGTATTAAGATATGACAACATTCTCCCTCCCCCCCCCCCCTCCCCGAACGTTTTACTAGTTCCAGAGAGGGGAGGGAGGGTAAGCTCCCTCAAGTCTAGGCCGGCATATGATGAAATCAGTGTTTCTCCCAGACTTTTTTTCTCTGGGGGCCCTTGATATTTTCGGGGGGTGGGGGGGGTGGGGGGGCGGTCAACATTTTTCGGGGAGGGGGGGGGCCGGACACTAGTAAAAGTGTATGTTTACTATATAAAATCAATCTCGTTCGGGGTAGGCTCCGCCGCCCCCCCCCCCTCCCCCCGGTAGAGATGCCTGGAAGAAACTCTGGATGAAATGTGAAACATCGCATATTTGCTACACTGGCGGCCCGTACATACACACATATCAAATACGGTGATACACAACTCAAATACAATATAGACTTAAGTATACGACATGATTTAAAAGAGTAAAAAGGAAAATGAAAACACTACAACACGTATTATGGGTCAGCTCCACCAAAAGTTCAACTACACCCAGAACTGACATAATTATCGTAATTGTTTTATAGTCAGGGGATGAAGAAAACTGACAGTGGAAGCAGGAAGGCTTTATATAATGTCAGCCTTGTCAGGAAAAAAAAATATATTTATAGCTCTTTTCTCGCCTTCATACTTTCTTCAAATACGGTGTTGTTTTCTTAATTGTATATTTGGCTATTACACAGAAACCACTCTTACACAGAAGCCACTCTTACACAGAAACCACTCTTACACATAATCCACATGTACAGAATCAAAGTTACTAACTGATCACACTGTTGCGGAACCTACTCTTACACACCACATTTTAACCGACGCCTTAAGAACCCTATTCTGACAGATCCCACTTTAATAGACCCCTTTCTAATGACCCCACTCTACAAGGAACTAACTCAAATGACTGTTGTGTTTCATCGTTTGTAAAGGGAAGTAAGAATGCCGATATTTGCGATGAAGTAAAGGGAAGTAACCATGACAACACTTTGGATGACGTAAACTTCGTTGGTAGAAACAGCGAAAATATTTTTAACAATTTAAATGGAAGTAACTATGAAAAATATTTAGGATAACTTACTTGGGAGAAACAGTGAAGATATTTGAAGTAACTTGGAGAGAAGTAACCATGAAAATATTTTCGATAATTTAATTTGAACAGTTTGAAGAAACAATGATAATTATTGCAAAGACTTAAATGGAAGATATTTGAGATGACTTAAAGGGAAATATCTATGAACATATTTTAAATTACATGGCAGAAACTGAAAATACTTGCGATTATTTAAAGGGAAGTAACAGTGAAAATATTTGTGACGAAGTAAAGGTAAATAACCATGAAAATATTGGTTGTGCCGTGAAGGGAAGTAACCATGAAAATATGTGCGAGGACTTACAAACTAGGGTCGTTGATCTGGAGCCACCTGGCAATAAATTCATCCTCCCTGCTGTCTGTCACACTGACTAGCCCGGCTCCGTAGCGCTGTTGACAGACGAATGACACAACATACACATACATCATGACGCCAAGGTCATTAATTTAATCACACAGCCAAGCTCATTAATTTATTTACATAGCCGAGTGTATATGATAAAAATAGATCTGGACACTGACTTGTCCTAATGAAATGTAAAATATGTCACCAGGAATCCCTCTAAGTGACAAGATTATATGCGGCTCAAATTAAACCCTCCCACTTGCCACTGCCTCTGGGCTTGTACATAAATCCAATGTGTACGAAAGTTGGGACGAAAGGTGTACGCATTATACGAAGGTTAAAGACCCGAGATGGGTTTATCCATAGCCCACGTTTTTAACTTTTGCACGTTGCCTGTCTTGGGAAGGGGCTTTAGTGGGAGGGAGTACAACGCCTGTTGTTAAGTTAAAAAAAATGTTTTTGTCAAGTATAGTTTTCAAAAGCGTAAGATTATAAAAATGAAATTTCGTACATGAATTCCAATCAGGCACTGTCAGGAGAGGAATATAAGACCTGACTTGATCACGTGACGTATTGAGACTTGATCACGTGACAACAAGACTTAAAGACGTGATTATGACCAATGTCAAGGCCAGGTATTCGTTTCAGTGAAATAGCTACCACCCGATATGTAAGCTGAAGTGATCTTGTTGTCAGTTAAATGTACCAAAAACCTGGATCAGTTGTGTCAGGACTTACCGCGCATGCGACTGTGGCCTGATCGAATGTTCTGGGCGTGTCGCCGTTAAACTGGTAGCAGCCGTCATCATGGACATGCCAGGTGGACGGACAACCTGCAACACATCATTTCTGGTCATCTTCATTACTCATAATTATTTAGAAATAAGGTTCCGTTTTTGTAGCCCGGTTATGCCTACACCAGGGGTCTCCAAACTTTTCAGTCCGAGGGCCGCATTAACTATTAAATTTCAGTTCGGCGGCCAATTTCTTCCAGGTATGTCTGGGCAAAGTTCCTCAGCCATCACTAACAAACATTTTTTCCTTGGACAAAAAGATCGCCGCGGGCCGGATGAGAGGACATCGCGGGCCGCATCCGGCCCGCGGGCCGTAGTTTGGAGACCCCTGGCCTACACCAACTCTCTTCAGTCCGCTATAGTCACACGGGCAAACACACACAAACACACATACACCCATAAAGGAAATGGTTCTTAACCGTTTTGGAAGTACCGAATTCCTCCAAATTCGTTTGTGTATTTAACGAACACATTTTGAAAGGAAAAAAAATATTGTTTTTAATATTTAAAGCATGCGTACAAATTTTACTGATGCACAAAACGAACGTGTATCAACCGTACTGTGTTAAAAGAACAAAACCATTCAAATCTCATTTTCACTCCGGAACATATACATGAATATTAACTGCAACTCTGGGTGAATTATCGCCTTTCAAAAACCTTGAATTAAGTGAGCCTTTAGTTCTTGTATTTTCTATCATAATGATGCTATAAAAGTATACTCTTAGTTTTGCCGGTAAAAGTAAAGTTCACATTTCGAACGTGACAGCCCAATGGACAAACAAAATAGAGCTCATTGTGTTCAAATATATATATATATATATATATATATATATATATATATATATATATATATATATATATATATATATATATATATATACATATATGTGGCGAACGACATGCGGTAAATCGTCGGCAACGAGTCATCCTATTGTGGTAAATCAAGGAATGCGTATGAAACCCTACCCCCCACCCTCCTTCCTCAATACTATTACCTGCGAATGGTTCACCTTTCAGCACTAGCTCTAGCTAAGTTATGAAAGGAGGGTAGAACAAACCAATCATTTAATTACAAAATATAGTGCTACTGTACATTTTGTGCAAATATCTTAGGTACGGAGTTTGGGTACCTAACTCACGTATAGAAAAGTAAAGCCGGATGTGCATAGTGCTGACCACACTATCCCTTATATGCCGAGGGCGAAGAAACAGGTTAACTCTACTTCACTTACCGTCAGTTTCAAAAGGAAACTTTTTTTAAGAAGTTTGAGTCGATTGAAAATAGAAGAGTCTATTATGTACCAGTCAATATTTTTTGTGTAGAAACAAACGTTCTGTGTTTGATGAATTAATTGCTTTAATTACTTACCAAGTGCAAAGGTCAAGGTCAGGCATGATATCCACAACCGCTCAACCGTATTTGTTCGAATCATCCTACAGATAAGGACCTTTAAACATGAGCTAAAGGAGAACATCCGCAGAGCTAAATGAGCTTAATTAGATGGTATCAATTGATGGTATCTTTAGATGGTATAATTAGATGGTATCATTAGATTGTAGCGTTAGATGGTATCATTAGATGGTATAATTAGATGGTATCATTAGATGGTATCATTAGATGGTATATGAAATGATATCATTAGAGGGTAGCGCTAGATGGTAGCTTTAGATGGTAGCATCACAAATAATGTTTAGATAGTATTATTAGTAGAATTACGGTGTTTTGTTAGGTCGATGTTTTGATGCTATTAACAGGTTATGTAATCTTATGGTACTTTGTGCGATAAGTAACAAATTTATTTATATAGGTTAGGGCTCAACCTTTTAAAAAAAATATTCAGTTTTTCTTCAATTAACTTTAAATAAAAGGATTTTTAAAAAAATGTTTTTTGGGTGTTCTTAATTGTTCTCACATCTTACTTAGCCGTTATGTTTAAAATAGCACACGTATTTACAATATGTGTGTCATTGGATATGTCTCTTACCTGACAATACATACAACCGATATGAAAATTATTACTCAGTCTTCACTTTAAGGAAGTGATAAAAACTATAAACACATGTAAACACATGTTTTAACCCCAAAAATCAATAAGTAAAGTAAAGCTTGATGAGGATGTAACTGAGCTGAACAAACCCTCAGAGCGAAGTCTATTCGTATAACCACAAACACAAAAAAAAACCTGTTCTATACGTTAAAGTATGTGCAACCTAATTCTAAAAATCTGGAACCTGCAACATCAAATACAATGTGTTTAAGAACGTAAGTCCAAAAATTTTACTTTCTTTAAGACGTGTTCCAAATATAGACCCCACCGAATGTTCTCACGTTGGCATACAATTCTGAAACGTCACTGTAAACAGGAACACAAGTAGTGCTTTATATATTTCCACAAGGTAACTGTCCGAAATCTAGACTGTATTCATCCGCCTGTGGTTCACAGCCCTGGCATGTTGTCTCCCTGTATTCGAGTTACCTCCCTTCTGACTTGGTTATGGCTGGGATTAGGCTCATATCATATAAACTGTTTTATCCTGCCATCTTGTTGACTGGACATGTTGTCGTGGCATGAGGGATAAAAGGATTTTATAATCCTTTTTGTCACTTGGTTTCAGCATGCGCAGTAAATATATTTGCTCGTTGCTTAAACTTTTGTAAATGATTTCCAGTGATTAATTAGTCTTTAATTAGTTTTTAGGAGAGATGTCGACACATTTCTTACATAAAAGTTTCACGTATGAGTTTTCCACATATTATTTAGTTAAAATCATTCGGCTTAGGGCTAAAATAATTGTTGTTGAAGTTCATCCGCGCGTTTTGAAAAAAAAATTTGGTTTTAATCTGGTTATTCCTAGGTAAGTAAAGTAAACAAGTTAATTAAAAAGTCTAGTGACATTTAAGCGCAATTTCCTTATGTTATCTAAAAATAGCTCTGTCGTAGCGTAAATCAAGAGCAGGGTTAGTAAAACCATAGGTTAGTTATTAAAACGTTTTTTATTAATTTTTTTTCAGTATTTTACATGTTTTATTTACAACAGAGTTACATGACTAAAAACCATTGCGCGCCTACTGAACGTGATGACGCAATCATTGAACGTGATGGCGCAGCTATTGAACGTGATGACGCGTGTGGTGTGGTTGGATAAATATGCCTACTAATTCGGTCCAAATTTTAATTCATTCAAAAAATATTTTATGACCGAACGAAAGGATATTTTTGAAAACTTTCTTCGGCAATATTGTTCTAAATTATGGCAGGAATCGATTGGTACATGTTTCAAGTTGCTAAGTGGTCTGGTTGCCGAGATATGGGCCAAAAACTGCATTTTTTCGAGGTTTTTTTGGCTTTTCCGGGAAATCCATGAAAGAAACCCGGAATTTTTATGGCCTATGTTCATCCTCGTAATTTGCTTAACATAATTGCTTTTGGAACTAGTCATCGATATTGCTTCGTTGAGGAGGAGATACGACTTAAAGCTGCGGACACACATCCATCTATCCATCCATCCATCCATCTATTCATTCATACCAGAGGGGTGCAAATCGAAAGTTTGAGGGGGGTTGCAAATGAAAAGTTTGAGGGGGGGGGTGCAAATCGAAAGTTTAAGGGGGGGGGGGGGGTGCAAATGAAAAGTTCGAAGGGGGGGGGGGTGCAAATCGAAAATTTGCTCCCGAGGGGGGCGCCAAATTGAAAGTATGTCCCCGGGCGCCGGGAAGGGTCGCTACGCCTCTGATTCATACATTCATACATCCAGAAATGACGGGTTAATAAACGCAATTCTCCAGAATGGAAATTGCGCTAAAAAGTAAGAAATCCTCTTTAGACCTAACTATCCATAGGGCAGATAAGTAGAGTTCATATGTTTCTTGACTTCCCTAATTAAGCGATACGAACTCGATACTTTCGGGTCAGCAGCCTAGCGCTCTACCACCTATGCCACACCGTCCCGCATTATTGCCAAAAGGTGTCGTTCAAATCCTATCATAGAGATGGGATAAAAACCAGACAGGCCGCCATATCCAGCCTTTAACAGCTTGTTTTCATTGCAATACAACTTCGTGAAATATGTGTTAGTATCGGAAGTTTTCTCAAATACAAAACGACCTGCTTTGTCCATCAGATGAAGAGTTATATGCCGAAAGAAGCCTTCAGTCGACAGTGTTGCAACTAAAACCTTAGAGATGCCTAATTAAAATCCCAGCACTTAGCTTAAGCATTATAAATTCCTTCTAGAAAAAACAAGTCAATAATAAGTCAATAACTTCGACAAGTCAGGACTAATTTAAAGACCAATTCCGAGCTAAGTGTAATGACACTATGAAAACGTCACCCTTTTGAAAGTCAACACCTGTTCTACATGAAGGTGTATGGTGGGGAGTGGGGGGGGGGGGGGGAAGGTGAGCAGCCATTCATCACTTTCTGGCCTGACGACACAAAGGGATTTATTCCGTTGCAGAGTGACGTCATATTTTGTCTGACCCACCCATGTGTTTTACAACCACCTGCGGCGACACGGTGACTGTACATGTCTTGTCGTTTTATTCCACAAAAGTTGGTTGTAGAGTTTTCTGGGTAGCATGGTGCCATATTTACATTTTAAGTCACACTTCCATACGCTTTAAGTCTAGTCCTGTGTATTGGATAAAGGAGGTTGGGATGGAGGGGAGAGGGTTCGCCTCACACTAACATACACACATACACACACACACACAAACACAAACACACACACACACACACACACATATATATATATATATATATATATATATATATATATATATATATATATATATATATATATATATATATATATATTTATATTAATATAAATATATAAATGTCATTATGAAAATGAAGCTACTATTGCATATTTCTTGTTTTATATGTCTTTTGTATTTCTACGTTTATATGCAGAAAAATTATTTGGCCCACTTTTCTGTCTGCGCAAACTACAGTGCCGGATTGTTTTACTAACCGTAATGTTGGCATTAGAATGCAATAATGGTTAGATAAGCCTGCAGAGCCAGAGCTGTCAGCTCTAAATCAAACCCTCTGATGATAGCACCAGAATCATTGTCTGCCTGATCTTAAAGATTCCATATGACAAATGTGGCATTACTGTTAAAGAAATGCAATCCTGATCTACTGTAACTTTTTGGTGACCTGTTTAAACCCCTTCATGAAGCGGGCCATATCATACTGCATTAATTTATACTAATTAAATCTGTGTTACATAAGTGTGCCACTATCCCCCTTTTGTAGACGAACATAAATAATTTACGACATTTAAAACAAAAACCCACACAATTTAACGTCAACTAACAGTTGCTTATAAATTATTCAGTCCAAAGCATAAATAAGAGCGGAGATCCCCATACTGTCCAATATATGCGACACTTAACATAACTGGATTCGCTTTTGCGACACCCATTTTATAAAAAAATTATTGTAAATTGGGTCATTAAAACAAATAAAAATAAAAAATTATTTTAGCTTTATTAATTGTTTCATTTTTTTAAAATGGTGCTACTTATAGCTTGATTTGAGAACCATTGAGTTGGAAATGAAATGTTTGCCGTTTTTCTGTGTACACGCCACAAGAAATACCCGAAAAGACAAGACGCGTACAATTTCCTGTTTAGCAGGGGACATAACCATATGTCATGTCGACAGAGTTAGCAGTCCTGTACTTGCATGAATGTAGCGGAGGGTTACGTTTCCTGGCGTACCTATGACACGTCTTAGGTAGGTTGTTTGTTGTGACGTACTACACATGTTGTAAGTGGTTTGGGAGATTAGAAATTCTACATTAGAGTCAGTTGCTTTGTTTGGTTGGTCTTGAAGAAACGAGAAGAGAAATTAAGGCGGCTGTATTAGCTTGAGCGAGGCGGGACAAATTTAAGAAAGCTGCCTAAACAATAAATAACACACGTCATATAGAAAATTCTACACAACTTAATTATTAACCGCATTTTTAAAAAATTATAAAGAGTTGAGGTTTCTTGAAATTTAATATATATATATATATATATATATATATATATATATATATATATATATATATATATATATATATATATATATATATATATATATAGGCCTATATATATATATATATATATATATATATATATATATATATATATATATATATATATATAGTGTGTGTGTTATTTTTACATGTAGCATTGCATATCACGAGTAGTTTTGCTATAGTTACATATCTTCACACAGTTCACTTTATTTGGACCACGTGACGTGACTTAAATAGGTGAAAAACTGCAGACACGCTCCACCGATACAATCATTGCCTTGTCGTTTTAAACAAAAACTAAGACACTTCATAGTATCGCCGAATTCATTTTAATGCCATGTTTTCTCGTGTAAGCTTTCAGTGGATTTACATAGGCTACCGACCCTGGATGTACAGTATCAAGAGATGCTGGGTAGGGATAGGTAGGACGGCATATGAAAGGAAAGTTTGGTCAGCACTATGCCCAGCCGTCGTTTTTCCTAAACGTAAGTACCCATCAGAGCTGTTCAGACTCAGGTACGTTCAACTGATTTGAACCCGGATACGAACTCAAGACACTCTCCCAAATGCGATAAACGCCCGGATGGCAAGTGTAATTTAGGGCATTTATTGCATTTGAGCAAGTGTCCATTCGGGAAATTGTCCTTCGGACAAAAGGCATTCAGGCAATTGTCTTTCGGGAAAACGTCTGGCTCCCGAATTATGGGTAGAGAGACGTGGACGTTAGATAGGGGAGTTGGGTGAATCTTGGATTCGAACGAGGGAAATCGTGGATTTGTGATTAGGTAGGCGCGCACTGTTGTTAGCGAAGTCGTGGGTTATGGTTAGTGGAGGCATGGATTAGGTTTAGGGGAGAAGAGTTATGCTTGGCTCGGGAAAGGTGTCAGAGAGGCGTCGACTACAGTTAGCAAGTCACGGTGTAGAGCTAGGATAGATGCTGGCTACTGCTTGGTTAGGTGCGGACCAGGCGTAGTTGAGGCGCTAAAGGCGAAAATGCCAATCCATGTTATCCAGAAACACTTTACAGCTATAAATTGGTAGATATTACTCATAAAAACTTGCCACAGATATAATTTAATTCAATCTTTTCAATTGCAATTTGTCTTTTAATGGCAGAAATTGTACTTTTTTTTCAAAACAGATGCTCAGCCACAAAAATTGGCTACCCTTATGTCTATATATATATATATATATATATATATATATATATATATATATATATATATATATATATATATATATATATATATATATATATATATATATATATTAAAGAACTCTTAGTGACGGGCTGATCTCACAGAGGTAGAGCCCTAGATTAGTACACTCAAGATCAATAGCCGGGGCGTAGTTGGGGCGATAACAAACACACCTCTCGTTCCCGCCAATGTTGTTTGGGTCACCTGTAGAAGACGATACAAGGTCAGCCGTTACATAATACAGGATACAGGGTTAGTCAATAGAATAACACAGCTTGCAGGATTAGACATTGGCATAATACAGCGTGCAGGGTTAGTCATCTCGTGATTAGCATTAAACAAGATACAGACTTTGCTTCGACATAAGAGTAGTGCAGGATACAAAGTTTGTGATATTTTAAAGATGGTTATAATTGATGCAGATTTGGTGGTATTTTATTGATAAACTAGACTACCCGTTATCTAGTTAGATCACTGTGGGTTTCGGGGGGGTCATCCATAAATGACATTACGTCTGTCAGCACTTATCATCCCAAAATAACCAGACCCCACATTCAAAAAGACGTTTTTTTATATTTTAAAAACTCTACTGAACTCTACTTCACCTGCCCAGTGTCCCGCCAAGTCTCAGACTTGTTTGAATTAAAAAAAAAACGATTCCGGTCGAGCATGGCTCTGACCACACTATCCCGACATATGCTGAGAACATAGAAACACGTGAACTCTACAAACAAAAAAAACAAACAAAAAACAGAAACATATTCAAACATGTAAACAAACTTGAGTTTTAGTAGTATATAGATGTACATGATACAACTTGTTTTTCGCAAAGTGTTGTTGATAGGTAATGTTTTAAGTTGTCTCCGAATTATAAAATATATTTTGAAGATGTTTTTGAGCGATGTTAATATATGTTAATTTCTAATTAGCAGAATTTGCCAATTGTATATTCTATTTTTTTTAATGTATATTTTGTCTGACAACTCTTGCCACACATGTAGATGGGTTAAGAAAAAAAAAATTCATCGCTGCTAAATTTTGTTATTTTCTAGGCAAATTTGTTTTAAAAGTTCTTAAAAGTAAAAGAGTTACATTTTAAAACATTGATAAGATATATAATATATATATATAATTCTAGAAGATAAATTAAAAAGTTGTGTAATGATCTGTGTGTAGCCGGTAGTAACTCACCTGCATGAAACAAAACAGTCCACCAGGACTTCTGCATGACAGTGCCATCATCTTCCCAAACAAATTCAAAAACTTTGGCAAAACAATTCAGTCCAATCCAAATGAGGCTAGATTTTGATAGTGCAATCTTTAGAAAAATGTCGAGCTTTTCTTGCGTTTTAGGTGTATAAAGATGTGCACCTTTAGCTGATATTACAAGAAACATTTGTTATTTTATGAATACCAATGATTTAAAAAAGTTAAAAAGATTTGCATAACTTAATTGTATATATATATATATATATATATATATATATATATATATATATATATATATATATATATATATATATATATATATATATATATATATATATATATATATATATATATATATATATATATATATATATGTGTGTGTGTGTGTGTGTGTGTGTGTGTGTGTGACACATATATAAAGAATTAAATATTAGGCTGCTACTTCCATTGACTTCAACATATCTATAATTATGAGCGTGACCTTTGCACTGGTCCCTGGCTGCTATATAGCCCAACTGGACAGACGACAGCCACACACAGACGGTGGTCAAGCCCCGGCTGATGACCTGAAATCCTAGCTCACTGCTGCAGTAGGCGCCATTAGAGTATAGGACACCATCGTTCCTGGCTGAAGTATTCGTGGATGCAACCAACCATGTCCCTGGTAGAAAATACATTGTTCATACTCACTTCTAAACAATAAAAGTTACTTTATATGAGAAATTAGCTATTTTATATCAAAAATATTTTGTTTAATATTTTAATGAAGTGCCAATAATACTGGATAGTTGTGAGATCACCGAGACGTTAACTTTGATTAAAAATTGTATCGGGATGGTTAAATGACCAAGTAAGTAAGCACAAACTCTAATTAACACATGTATAAAGTTGGCTAAAAGACCGAGCAACTAAGCACTACCATTGATTAAAACATTCACCAGAACGAGTTAAACTTGTACCTGTGGTACACAGACGTGACACCGTGTGATAGATGAAACTGTAACAGTGCTGAGGACTGTCTACACATAGTCTAGCACAGCCCAGCAGGTTTAGTACAGGGACGTCACTCTTCAGTTGTAACATGGTCAGGCTGGAGTTATCTACCATGTAAAACTTTTGGGTGCTGCTAGTAGATGCCACCACTTTTAAAATTGAAATATAAAAAAAGGTAAAAAAATATTTTTATTGTATTTATTAAATGCAAAAACTAACTGTACAACGAATAATGCATATTTGCTGGTTAGATAAAAGAAGAATTAATTTACATAGTTAACTTACTTAGATTATTAGAAGACACAGCGAAAATGATAGCAACAATTAGTTGTGTGTTCATTTTTGTGTCAACTTCAACTGTTTAATATTAATAAGTTCTACAAATTAAGTATTTTGTCTATTTCCGTCTATTAAAAAAATCTATAGCATTTAAAATTATTTCCTTAAAAATTAACTAAGATCGTTTTATCTAGATCATTTAAAAATATTTTAAAAACATCTAAATCTTTTAAAATTTCAACAACTATAACATTTTAGCAAAACAAATCCAATCTAAAAACGGAAACCAATGCCTAGTTTTAAATAATCCAGGTGATAATTTCTTTATTGACTTCCTAAGACAGATCACATCATTTTAACTAAATTAAAATATTTTTTATAAGAACACCGAATATTAAAGCGAGCTGCTACTACTGAAATACACACTAGTCTAAGATGGACCCCTGAGGAATAAAGTGTTGCATTAGGTGCAATTGCACTTCATTTCAAGTTCAATATCAGAAATCAATGCCGGGTTTGAAAATTAACACAATGAAATTTATTAATCGTATTTTAACAATTTAACAAAATATTTTTATAGGGTAGTTGTGAATGTTGACAGAAAAACATTCTATGGGCTATTTGTAGTGGGTGATAAATACTCTCAATGGCATGCGCAGGGTGCAAAATCGGACCGGATGTCACACCTAGCAGTTTACCTCAGTACGTGATCAATACCAATACCAATGCAATCAAACGTTTTACTGATGATATAAGTCAAGTGTAGGTTTTATTCCTTCACACAAACGCTGCAATTTCCTGACTTTTTACTAACGTGATCTTGATAACTTTACGAACTGTAGAGTGATATATGAGCTGATATCTGTAATAATAATTTTTTTTTCATAAAAAACGTTTTAATAACAAGCTTTTATGTAGGCTACTAATGCTCTAAAAAGTTGAAAATAAATTATAGACTATTATTTAAATAAAGAAAAGAGTGCTTTACATGTTTTTATTTACAATAGAGTTTCATGACTAAAAACCATTGCGCGCCTAATGAAACGTGATGACACGCTATTGAACGTGATGACGCGTGTGGTATGGTTGGATAGAAATGCCTACTAATTTGGTACAAATTTTAATTGATTAACTAGGCATCCAATTAAGTCAAATTTAATTTCAGATTGCATTGTCTTCATGTCTTGACCCACGTGCCAACTGTGAATCGTATCGGTCAAGTAGAACTGTCCGAATTTTCACTCCTACGTTTCGATCTAGACTGACGACAGACTGTCGACTGACGACAGACAGAGGAAGTGAGTTAAATAAAAGCTTGTAAAAACAACTAAATTTACGTTGTAAAACTTCGAAAATAAAATTTTATTTATGCGTTGTTTCCAAATTATTAGCATCTTTTTCTTATTTAAAAAAAAATAATGCTGCACCAAGTGGCCTACATCTGCCTAGTCAGTTAAGTTCCCCTCCCAAGTCTGACAGTCTATGCGGCAAGTGAAGTAGAGTTCACCTGTTTCTGTGACCTCGGTATATGAAGGGATAGTGTGGTGATCACTATGCCCAGCCGCCTTTTCTTTCTGTTCGTCTTTAGGTACCCATCAGATCTGGATTTGAACTCGAGACTTACGGGTTAGCTGTCTAGCTGTCTACCGCTAGGCCATTCCGTCCCTTAGCCTACCCAGTACGTGTCTTTCTGTTTGCAGTACATTGCCATTATTGCTTGCATTATACGGAGGAGTCAATCATAATGAAGAAATCAAGTTTCTGCTTTCTTTAATAAGTACGACACAAGGAACTTGACACTGTAAACATTACACGTTCTGAAATAAAACTGGAGATTGTTGTTTTTTAATTTAGTACATTCACAAGACGATTTTCGATAATTTAAGCCCAACTTTAGCGCTTGTTTTCAAATTTGTATTGATTATAATAATACCGCGTTGCCTAGAGGTAGAACGCTTGACTGTTAACCCATGTGTCTTGGACACAAACGGGATGTAGGATAATGAGTAGAGGTCGAGTGATTTAAAGCGTTTTTGTCATGGTGTATGGGATGTAAAAGTAGGGCTGTGTGGTTGTGATGATGTTTGAGTCTGGCAAAAAGTAAAAATTGAACTTTTAAAAAAAAACCACTTTGTTTATGATATCATTTCCCTTACTAAAAATAGAATACTTCTGGAATGTTGAATAATCATCGAATCTTTCTGTATTGTGTCATTTCTTTTTTTTTTCTAGATACTTGTGGAATGTTGAATAATCATCGAATCTTTCTGTATTGTGTCATTTCTTTTTTTTTTCTAGATACTAGTAACTAGTAACACCCCAATGCCCCTCCCCACATAGAAAGATGTATAAGAAAACACTGAGTGATGGCTCAAAAAAAAAAAGTCTCTAACTCTTGTGATATCGTATTGTATGCAACTCATCCATTCACGTTCATATATTTGACGAAGTAAAATAACGCGTTTTTACGTAATACAACAGTTTTTCTTTCTCTAATTCCTCGATTAACTAATACACAATGAGATACAACCGCACGATACATAAAAAATGCAAAATTTGGTTGAGGTAATTATAATAAATTTATTATAGAAATAACAAGCAAAAGCGAGAGAAATTCAAATTCAGAGAGAATAACACTCAATTTATTATACAAAGAAAACAAGTGAGAAGGAACGGGTGTTTGCGCAGTATATTTATTGATACACTTCTAAGCGGGTTTTTATTTCACTAGCTCTTTTCACCCTTTGAGAAAAAAATACAACGGGCGGCAGGCTTTTTATTTTTCATAATTTCTCTTACACTTAGCAATGACTAAACGCAAACACAACGCCACTGTGACGTTAGTGCGGTAGGGTTCAAGCATTTAATATTAAGTACGAATAAAACCGGCATAACACGAACTAAAAAATAAAGAACTTTGTCTGTTTAGGACTAGTATCTTAACTCCATATTATTGTTTTTTAAAAGATGAAACATATATGTTCATATTTTTCATATTGTTGCGTGCATCTCTGTAGCTAGGTGTGTTAAAATTGGTTTCAAAATTGCCCCAAACTAATCAGTTATATCATCAGTAAGGGCATGGTGAGTGCTGTAAGTAATCTTTCTAGAGTTTATGTTGTTTTGGGCATGTGTAGTGGTTCAAGATTTATCTTGGTCATGTGCACATATTGTTTAACGTTTATCTTGGAAGTTTGTAGGAGTTGTTCCAGTTTTTCTATGTGGATTTGTTCAAGTTTTGTCTATGTGGATTTGTTCAAATTTTGTCTATGTGGATTTGTTCAAATTTTGTCTATGTGGATTTGTTCAAGTTTTGTCTATGTGGATTTGTTCAAATTTTGTCTATGTGGATTTGTTCAAGTTTTGTCTATGTGGATTTGTTCTTTTTGTCTTGTACGCGTGAAATTAACCACACTTCTAGTTCCGACTAATTACAGTTTAATCAAGAAAATCTTGAAATTTAATAGCCGAAACGAAGAAATAATGTGCACAGCAATCGCCGGTATAGATTATTATTCCTAATGTAGCAAATAAGTCCATCTTATAATTTAACCCAATGACTATAATAATTTGGTATTATAAATAATTAACTGCAAAAAAATGTTACACAGATAATAACAAAAACAAGTTATTTGTATCTATATAATTATATCACCCTAAGTACTAGTTTACAAGATAAGTTACATGTTATCTCCTAATTATACAATCTCCGAGTCAGCATAAATCTAATGGATCCTGACTCACGTGTTAAAAAAATTACACGTTACTGCCATGGCCATGGATAGCCACAATGTCAATCTCTGGCTTTACAGCTGATTAGGCAAGGGTAAAGTATGCTGTCAAAAGAAACAAGAGTTGCATCCCCTATTTTAGTCTTAGTTTTTATGCCTTTGACTTTCTTCATTTATTAACTACGAGCCGACCCGCATCGTAGCATACGCCGCTATTTAATTGTTTTACTTTCTACTTTTCAGTAATTCGTAATTTGTTAATTCAACACTACCCACCTCACTTTCCAAAGCTCACCAGACTGGTGGGGCTGGGCGTGGGGGTGATAGCTATATCATACTATATGCCTAGAGAGCGGGGAGTAACTGTGTGCGTTTACATGGTTGTGTCTCACATGGTCCCCCATGAAAAGAATTATAAATAGATAGTAAGGCCCACAATGTATGATCATCTGTATGAAACTGTAAACAACTACGAAATAAATTATTATTATTGTAAATATTTAAAATAAATGTATTAGAAAAATGTGTGTCGACTAATATAGATTTAGTAGCTGTTTGAAAGTGCAAAATGTTAAATTTGATATTTCTCATTGTACCCAACATATCATCCAGTCTGATTATAATATTTGTTATTTTTTAAATCTTAATTCATTTCAGCTTTGCTTTATAAGCCCATACCCCTCAACAAACTTCACCGAAAAAATAAATACCCATTTAATTTCTCTTTAAAAAAAAACAAAAAAGAAATACCCGCAGAAACAAGACGCTTACAATTTCCTGTTTAGCAGGGGACGTAACCATATGTCATGTCGGCAGAGTTAGCGGTCCTGTACTTGCATGAATGTAGCGGAGGGTTATGTTTCCTGGCGTACCTATGACATGTCTTAGGAAGGTTCTTTGTTGTGACGTACTACACATGTTGTGAGTGGGTTGAGAGATTAGAAATTCTACATTAGCGTCAGCTGCTTTGTTTGGTTTGTCTTGAAGTAACGAGAAGAGAAATTAGGGCGGTTGTATTAGCAAATAAAATCTAAGAATGCTGCCTAAAGAAAAATGAAATCGAATGAGCAAGTAAAGATAAATGTTTTAACACACGTCAAATAGAAAATTTTACAAGACATAATTATTAACCAGATTGTGGAACAATTACAACGAATAGAGTTTTTTTTTTAAATTTCATTTCTAGTTTTTAAAAAGCGTAAAATTTAGCTTCCCGAATCGAGCCTATTCACACACACACACACACACACACACATATATATATATATATATATATATATATATATATATATATATATATATATATATATATATATATATATATATATATATATGCTATTTTTATAAGTAAAATCGCATATCACGAGTAGTTTCGCTATAGTTACTTATCTTCACACAGTTCACTTGATTAGGACCACGTGACGTGACTTAAAGCAAGGACAAGGACCTCCTTGAGAAGGTAAACTCATTTATTATCCTATATTATCCACTCCCCTAACCTCAGCTGGTGCGGGGTGTGTAAAACCTTTTGTTTACAAAATGTCTCGTCCATGTGTAACAGTTACCAAATTTTAAAATACTTGTGTTCCATAAAACGAAACAAACGAATGTGTAACCTAGTTACTTGAGAAGTTTATTTCAGTGTAAGTAGTTTAAAGAAGCATATAGCCAGATCATGAAAGAAATGTACGAGCTTATTCGGGGAGACATGATAATGAACTAGAATTGTGTTTTCTTAAAATGCATGTAAAACTAAAAATAAACTGTCTACCTTTTTCCAGGTGGAAGATTTATTTTGTTGACATTTACATAAATATATTTAGTAACACAAACTAGACGCTACATGTTTTGCTTATTAGGTTGTTTCCTTCTCTTTATTTTATTACACACTGCAATTAATTTTTTTTTTACATTTTTTACTATCGACATAATGTAATGTGTTAGTTGAGGCAAGATATGAGTCCTCACTTGTATTACCGTATCGCATCAGAAACATCACTTTGACGACATAATAAGATGCCAATTATACATTATTGGATAAAGTTAAACACCCTTGCATCGTGCATGACATACATTTCATTCCAGCTATTGTCCTACAATAGATCTAGAGTATCACAACATACAGGCAACGTTGTCAAAACTGCCTAATGAAAGTAAAAGAACATTTTCGTCTACTAAAATATTAACAGATACAAGAGAGTTCAATAAATATATGTTTCGAATTATTTTATTAGCATAAGTTTTATTTGACCTAGATATGTAGATTATGATGTCAGCTATAGAAAAGGGTTGGTGTCTCACAGGGTTGGTATCTCACACGGCTGGGTTGACTTCACACAGGTAGAGGGCAGGCGTGTCGCAGGGTTGGTCAATGACAGGTTCGCTATCAGGCTGGTAACACACACATCTCTCTATGTCGTACATGTTATTTGGGTCTCCTGGGTATGTACAATACATCAAATTATGTCTGATCAATATACGGCAATGATGGTTAAATACAGAGTACAATAAAACTATATAGGGCTATCTTATGGTAAAATGTAGATTAAAATAGGATAGAACTGGAATATCTGATGGTAAAATGTACGTCAGTATAGAACTATGTGATGGTCAAATGTAGTTAACTGTAAGACTTGAGCTATCTATCTGATGATAAATACAGAGTACAAAGGGTCCATATACAGGGCGTTCTGATAGTACAATGCAGCTAACAGTAGGTCAGTATTAGCCACAATAAAAAAATATAAATTCTTATGGAAAAAAAAATCAATTTGTGGTAGGTCTTTAAAACATTACTCAGGCTTTCGTGTATCTATAAATCTAACATTTCTTTAGATAGCAATTCAAAAATTAATACGTTCTGATTCAATTTTTGTGCTTAAAACTATCCATGTCACCTTTACAAAAATTTAAAAATAATGCTAAAATCACCTGGATGAAATAGAACTTTGGCCCACGAATCGTCTAACACGCTTTGGTCGTCCTCCCACACAAAATTAAAACTTTCTTCCATGTCGTTTAATCCTATCCAGATGGGACTGCTCTTGTCTGGTACAATGTTCAGTAAAATTTCTAGTTTCTCTTGGGTCTTTGGCGTGAATAGATGAGCACCCTTTGCTGAAAAGTAAATTCATATTTGATTTATAACAACACGTACATATCTGGTCTAAGTGACGAAATACATCATATGACGTCATACAGACCTTGACATTGGTCTCTAGCTGATAGATAGTCCAGCTGGTCAGACGACAACCACACACAGACGCTGGTCAAGCCTCTGGTGATGACCTGGAATCCTAGGCTCATGTTGCAGTAGGGGCCACTAGAGTATAGGCCACTCTGGCTAAGGTCATCCACGTTTTGTGAGTCGATCAACCATGTCCCTTTGTATGTAAAAGTTTTTGGGAAATTATATATATATATATATATATATATATATATATATATATATATATATATATATATATATATATATATATGCATAAACTTTGATTGTGTTGGTTACCTCTTGTGCATTGCTTGTTTTGTCTGTCGTAAATAAAAGCATAACATTGTGGTAAACTTTCCATACATAATTTCCCACAGGACAAGAGGCTTGACACCAAACTACTGTGTTCTATAGGCGATAAGGTTAAGTTCGTCTCTTGAACTAACTTGAAGGTGAGCGCTCTCAGATCCTTATCTGACGCTAGTACTGATAATACAAAACATATAGTATTGTATTAAAACAAAAATACTTCTAACATAGTAATTAGCGAAACGTAATCGAACACATACTTTAATAATGTTAAACCGTTCACTTATGTAGCAGTGTGGACTTAACTATAATGTTCATCTCTCGTAACATTGGTCAAGTATGTAGCTGTTTCACTATCCCTTCACACAAACGGAAAAAACATTACTTCACCTGCCTCGTTTTCCGTGATGTCTAAAAAGGCTTACACTATCGTAACCTGTAATTGTCAAATATTCATAAACAGACACGTATATATTAAAAGGTGACTTACCCTTACATTGGTAATAGATGGTAAATATTAAAACGTAAGCTATTCTTTGATCCATTTGTTAGTGAACCTGGTTTCTTAAATAAATAACATAAATGCACAGCACACCATCTATTTTTAACTTGGTAAGGAAATTATCTTAAACGTAGCTATTTATTTTAATGTAAAATGCAAATTCACAGTGGTTTTAAACAAACATGAACAAAACACACGCTTAAACTAAACATTTTTTTTTAATATTGGGAATTAACTATTTTAGATAACGCTAAAAGCTTATGCTGATATGTAAATGTATTCTGTAGGTTTATGAAACACGACCATTGGAAAAACACATTAAACCATCTTCTCCAACAAGCCCAATAGAAACCACCATCAAAACAAAATTTACGTTCTTAAATGACAGTTTAGTTTAAAGTTACATTTTATCACCCTCCTGACCTAGTAAATTCCTACCAGATTTCGATATCTCGTTTCAGCTGCTTGCGTCACCTTGAATCCAAATTTTTTCTTTACACTGTAGGAACTAGACTTATTTGGTTTTAATTACAAATCAATAATCGATTTCGACGGTTAGTTTCTGTGATTAACTAACTGCACACAGAGTCCTTGAAAAAACTGTGATTAGAGTTTAATGAGGCGACAAATCGATTTAAATGAATCTATTCCTTGAAGAATTGTGTATTGGATTTCTTTCAAAAATAAATCTTTTAATCAACCATTGGAAAAAAGCGAGCAGTTTAGAATCTAACGGCTTTGAATATCATCGTTAGCTAGGGTTAGGGACGTGAAAAACTGCAGACACGCTCCACCAATACAATCATAGCCTTGTCGATTTAAACAAATGCTAAGACACTTCAAGGTCTTGCCGAATTCATTTAATGCCATGTGTGCTTTCAGTGGATTCAACCAGGCTACAGACCCTGTATGTATAGTATTAAGATATGCTGGGTAGGGATAGGTAGAGCGTGTTACAATTACATTTGTTGACGAATATAAAGTTGGATGACTTACAAGTGTTCTTATAAAAAGATACGGGTTGTAGTAAAATGTCTAGATGTATGGTGAAACTCTGAATTGTCGAATGATTGTGGGTGAACATACACTGATATATCATAAAGTTTAATTTAAGGAATATTAAAATGTTTACAAACTATATCAAAGAATTCCAAGCTCAAGATATGCCCTAAACATATACATAACAAACCGACGACTTCATTATTATAGTGACAGAAAAGCTGTTTTTTCCCATATATTTAGCTCTTTTAAATTGATATTTTAAAAAAAATAATATTGTCGTAAGACGATTGGAGTGGTCAGCTGGTAAGCGCATGATTGCTAAACCGAGGAGTCCCAAGTTCGAACACTGAGCTATACGAGGCTCTTCAGCTGGGGGACAGCAACCCACTAGCAGAGAATACTCTAAAATCAAACAGGAGTGGAGTCCCTTAAACAATAGGATTCATGATCATGACCATATTCCCGTTCCTGCCCAAAACACATGGGGCAAATGACGAAGAGTTCGTCTGCTTTTGAGAGCTCGGCATGTGTAGGGATAGTGTGGTCAGCATTAGGTAGGCGAGCACTGTTGTAACGAAGGGGTGGGTTATGGTTAGTGGAGGCACGGAGTAGGTTTAGGGTAAGAGAGCTATGCTTGGCGCGGGATAGGCGTCAGAGAGGCGTCGACTAGAGTTAGCAAGTCACGGTGTAGAGCTAGGATAGATGCTGGCTAATGTTTGGTTAGGTAAATGCGCAAATGCCAATCCATGTTATTCAGAAACACTTTACAGCTATAAATTTGTAAATAGTACTCATAAAAACTTGTGGTAGATATAATTTAAATTAATCTTTTCAATAATAGTTTTTTTAATGGCAGACATTGTACATTTTTTTTTCAAAACAGATGCTCAGCCACAAAACTTGGCTATCCTTATGACTATATATATATATATATATATATATATATATATATATATATATATATATATATATATATATATATATATATATATATATATATATTAGAGAACTCTGGGTGACGGGCTGATCTCACAGAGATAAAGCCCCATACGAGTGCAGTCTAAATCAACAGCCGGGGCGTAGTTGGGGCGATAACAAACACACCTCTCGGTGCCACCATAGTTGTTTGGGTCACCTGTAGAAGACGATACAAGGTCACCCGTTACATAATAAGGATACAGGGCTAGTCATTAGCATAATAAACAATGCAGGGTTAGTCATTAGCATAATACAGAGGCGTAGCGACCCTTCCCGGCGCCCGGGGACAAACTTTTCGATTTGCACCGCCCCCCCCCCCTCGAGATTTCGATTTGCAACCCCCCCCCCCCTCAAACTTCCGAATTGCACCCCCCTCGAGATTTTGATTTGCACCCTCCCCCCTCAAACTTTCAATTTGCGCCCCCCTCAACCTTTCAACTGATTTTTCCAACCCATTTTGGCGCCCCCTAAGCTCGGCGCCCGGGGACATATGTCCCCCCACCCCCCCCCCCCCCCCCCCTCGCCACGCTACTGGCATAATACAGCATGCAGGGTTAGTCATTAGAATAATGCAATATACAGGGTAAGTCATTAGAAAAATATAGGATACAGGGTTCGTCATTAGCATAATACATGAAACAGGGTTAGTCATCTCGTTATTAGCAACAAGATACAGACTTTGTTTTGACATTAGAATGATGCTGGATACAGGATCTTTTAGAGATGGTTATGATTGATAAATATTCGGTAGTCTTTTAGTGATAGATATACATGATCCAACTTGTTTGTCACTAAGTGATGGTTATAGGTAATGTTTTAAGTTGTCTCCGAATTATAAAATATATTATGAAGGTGTTTTTGAGCGATGTTAATATATGATAATTTATGATATTTTTTTGAAATGTCTTAAACGTTTTGCCACAAATGTGAATGAGTTATGAAAACAAAATTCATCGCCTTTAGTAGCTCACCTGTATGAAACAAAACACTCCACCAAGACTTCTGCATGACGGTGCCGTCGTCCTCCCAAACAAATTCGAAAACTTTGGCAAAATCATTCAGTCCAATCCAGATGAGGCTAGATTTTGGTAGTGCAATCTTGAGAAAAATGTCGAGCTTCTCTTGTGTTTTGGGTGTATAAAGATGTGCGCCCTTAGCTGATTATTACAGGAAAAAAGTTTATTTTATATATACCAATAATTTCAAAAAAGATTTTAAAAATGGCATAACTGTGTGTGTGTGTTTGTATGTGTGTGTGTGTGACACAAATATAGAGATTGAAACATTAGTCAAGCACTTCCATTCGACTTCAACATATCTATAATTATGAGCGTGACCTTTGCACTGGTCCCTGGCTGTTATATAGTCCAGCTGGACAGTCGACAGCCACACACAGACGGTGGTCAAGCCCCGGTTGATGACCTGAAATCCTAGCTCCCTGTTGCAGTAGGCGACAGTAGAGTATAGGACACCATCGTTCTGGGCTGACGTATTCGTGGAGGCAACCAACCATGTCCCTGGTAGAAAACAAATCGCTTTACTGTCTTACAAGAAATAACGTTACTTTGTTTATGTTAAATATGGTATGACTAATAAACTATTTTAAATCAAAAATATTTAGGTGAATAGGTTAATGAAGTGCTAATAATACTGGGTAACTGTCGGATCAACTTTGATTAAACACTCTATCGGGATGGTTAAATTACCAACTATTTATGCACAAACTATAATTAGCACATGTATAAAGATGGCTAAAAGACTGACCAACTAGACAGTACATTCTATTAAAACATGCACCAGAATGACTTAAACTTGTACCTGTGGTACACAGACGTGACACCGTGTGATAGATGAAGCTGTAGCAGTGCTGAGGACTATCTACACATAGTCTAGCACAGCCCAGTAGGTTTAGTACAGGGACGTCACTCTTCAGTTGTAACATTGTCAGGCTGGAGTTATCTACCATGTAAAACTTGTGGATACTGCCCGCAGATGTCGCCACTTTTTAAATTGAAAAACAAATTAGACAAAAAATATTTTTTAATGTATTGAATGCAAAAACTAACTGAAAAATGAATAATGCGATTTTATGTTTAGCTGAAAGTAAAATTAATGTACACAGTTAACTTACTTTTATCAATGGAAAACACAGCAAAAATGATAGCAACTAGTATTTTTGTGCTCATTGTTGTGTCACTTTAACCGTTTAATATAATAAGTTCTACTACTTAATTATTTTTGTCTATTTCCGTCTATTAAAATAAAATTTAGAGCAGTTAAATATTATTTCCATAATAATCAACTAAG